GCGAATCTAGATTCCTAAAATGAAGACCTCCAGATTCTAGATTGCATTCTGCAATTTCAATGCACAAGGATGAGTTTCAGTCCAGTTATGAAACCTGAAGGACAAACGAAGCATTAGTTCGTGGAATTAAGTAAGGCTGCAAGCTTTGGTCTACTTACTTGGAAGCAATATCCACTGAATATTGTCTCTAAATAGAAGATAGCCCTTCAAAGCCCCAGGGGAAAGAGTGCAGAGTGGAGACTGTGCTAAAAAAACCACCCCTTGATTCTCTGCATATTTGATAGGTTCCAAATGCATGTCTCTGTTATAATGTTTTCCCTTCTGGGCCTGACCAATAATACATTTCTTTTCAACTGGGCTGAGCACTAAAGGAGCATTGGTTCCTAATTCAGTAGCCTCTCTTGGAACTATTAAAAATAGCTAAATCCAAGAACGGGTGCGTACAAGAGATAGTAAAGAGAGAGGCCAGGAAAAACGAAAAGCCAGCTGTTCTGTTCTTCCTTTTCAGACCAGGCTGATGTAGACACGAAGAGACAGATGGGCAGACCTTTGCCATGCAGCCAGAGACAGGCAACACAATCCTGTCTCTTCCTTAAATGTAAACCTTTTGTCTTCAGTGAAGTTGTTAATGAATGAATCATTCCTTTGTATAAAAGGGTCATCATTTATTTAAAAAACAAAACAATAGCCAGAGCTAGCTAGCCTAATAAGGAAAGCATCTGAACTGAGAATTTGAAATTTAATGGGATTAGCTAAAATTTAACTAGTTGTGATGAAACTTTTCTGAAAAGGCTAGTTAATCAACCAATTGTCAGTGATGGTGTTTCTCTTTAGCGACCCTGCCTTGCCGCCCTCGTTCCTCTTTTTCTATGCCTTTTTGTTCTTTGAAAGATAGAAATGTTGTATTAGCTGTCAGCTCCAGAGCAATGTTGCCCTTGTGTTGTTGCTGTTAAAAAGTTTTTCCTTTATTTCCCGCTCCACAAAGGAGTAGGTCAGAGCAGCATATAAAAAGCAGACTTTTAAGAACGATCTAACCTTGAAAACGTAGGTCAGCTTCAATAACAGCAGCAAAAAGCAAAAAACTCAGAAAGAGCAGCATTAACAAGCACCCTACTCTTTCAAACACTGCTTTTATTTGTTTTGCTTTTATTTGTTTTGTGCTTGGGAAACCATCATGGTAATGGATGGGCAAATTGACTTTGGGGAGAACCACCACCAAGAAGTCTCTGTCTCTCTTAGCCAGCCACCTTGCCTTGGAAAGGGGTAGGGAGAGGGAGAAAGTACTAAAAGTTGGACCCTGGTGGGAATTTTTAACAACCAGGCAGGTTCACATGGAGACCATTTAATGCTTTGTGGATCACAACCAACATACTCAATTGTGCCAGAAAACAACCTGATAGCCAGCAACGCTGTTTAACTATCATATATTGTTGCTTTGCTGTCTCATTTCAATATGGCATTGACAACTTATTTCAGCATCCTCTCTGTTACTTAAAAATGTGAGTGGATACCAAAGTTTCCATGGAAATAGGTGTAGAAAAACCAGCTGTCCTAGCAATTCTAAGTGGAGGTAGAATTCTTGTGGACTATTGCTTGTTATAGTTTTGGGACTATTCACTCAACTGAAGAGCCCTATTTTCCCCCCATATAATCATAGACTCCAGAGAAATCAAGAGTGTGAATAAATATGTATGTATGTTGTATGTACTTAAAAGCAGTTATGTAATTTTTAAAATTTCAAAAAAATATCTTACGTGATTGCATAACTAGGGAGAGCTGCAACAAGGCTGCTTCATAAATGCTAACATAATAAACCTCTTTTTATCATTTCTCGTATGTCTAGTAACAGAACAGAGTGCTTTCTAGATCCAGCTCCATCCTGTCAGGGTCCCCCATCGCAACAAAAATAAAACAGGACATTGTCCGCTTCACTTTCTCAGTTCTTTGGCAACCTAATATAAACTAACATTTTGTAAAGCCACAAAGTGTGGCAATTCCCACTATTCCTTTTTCTTTCTTGTTAAAAATCTAGCCAGAGAGGATTTACCAGGCATTCCCATTATAATTGGGAAAAGAACTAGTAAAACCAAAGTGAGATGGAAGCAGAATAAAAATGAGGTAAAAATAAAAGAAGTCTTCTCACAGCGAGAGAGGAGAGCCATACCGAAAACACAGAGCTATCAAATGAATGGTTTGGCGCCGAATATTTCACTCTAAAAGACAATTACAGCTTAGGCCTTGCTATTGATTTCAGTGGGAATTTAGCCACCAGCCTTTGGTTTGGGTGTAGACAGCCCTACACAGCCTGGAACCAGGATACTTGAAAGATAGGCATCTCACCCTTCATATGCCCTGTTGATCACTGTGTTCTGTGTTCCTACCAATACCGCCTTAACTAGGAGGTCCATTCTGCACAATGTAGGAAATGAGGATCGTCAAAATGTAAACGAAGGGGACATTGGTCAGGTGAAAAGGGATAAGGGAGGGTCGCAGCCCTTAGTCTTTTATATTTGTGTTTCTCTAACATTTAGGTCTTCTTAGAGACTATCCTTAAAGACAGCATATCCCAACTCTGGACTGCTGTTGCGAATTGGAACAAGCCTTTTATGAGTTCCATATCTGTGTATACCTGGTCAGGGTTTTGTGTCTCACGGTCTTTCCAATGAATAGTCCAATAAATAGTCATTGAAAGTTGTTGTCAAAAATGAACCTGTTGCCTTTGGGTTTCATAAGGTGGTGTAGCAATCAAGATTTTAAGGGTCGCAGAAATAAAAGCTGTGGGTTTTCTCAATTCTCTTTCCATCCTGCCACCCAGACAGGTTTTCCGTTGACCAACGGTGGTGGTCCAGAGAACTTTAAGCCTTCTTAGGTTAAGCCAGCGACGAGGTGGAGCTCGATAAAATTTTTGAATTGTCCTGAGAATGTTCCTCAAGACAAACCCAAGTCAGTTAGACACACACACTGTGGGTGGGTTGAAGTTCAAAAGGAAATGCATATTTGCTTAGGGAACACCCAGTCCTGTCAGCCAACAGCTACTAGTGTGCTTATCAGCGGCATGTGATAAATTTCACCTTGATTCCTCTTTTATTGCCCTTTAAATATATGTGCTATAAAAGAAACTTGTAGGCATATTTCATTTCCTCCCTTTCTTAAAAAGTAAAAGGGAAATATATTTGTGTGCATGTGTCACACACACACACACACACACACACACACACATATATTTAATAACTTTGGTTTCTTCTAGATTTGACTTCTTTCGGTCTGATCCTGTGCTTTCTGTCTTAGAAGTAAATGCCACTGAGTTCAGTGGAACTTGCAGGTACAGCAGTTCCAGGGAATGTTTTTTGGAGAAGAAGTTTTTACTTTCTTTCCAAGGAGCTGAAGAGGAAGATGATTCAATGGTTATTCATAATAATACAGGTTGTGAAAAGTCCAGTGATTGACAGGCGGTACAGGACAAACAAAAGGAAGCACTTCAGACAGTGTTGATTAATTTATTGAATTCACGGCCATAAAATGTGGGCATGGCCTCTGGCTTTTAATGACTTTTAAAGAAAGGGATTAGATTAAACATTTCCATGGAGGACGGGTCTTTCAGAGACTGCAAGTCAGGGCAGCTGAACGAAACAGGCCTGTCCAGAGAGAGAATATGCAGAGACAAACATCCAGTAATGAGATTACCAAGGGTAGTTGGGAGGCCACCTTGGATATACATTTGACCCTGACTGTCTACATATTTCTCTGCCCACTGACCCTTCATAGCAGAAGTGGCGAGTCCTGCTTCGAAACTGGGACCGTTTCTAGCAAGTAAATGTGTGGTGCTGCCATATTCAGGATTGGACTTGTTGCAATCTGTCTCGTCTCAAAAGATAACGGAGTGCGCCTCTGGGGTTGAAGTCCAATGGCTGCATTAGCAGCACCGAAGGGACCTCCTTGTGCCACAAGCCTGGGTCTCCGTATATGGAAGTCCTGGGCTTCCCAGATAACAAGACTCCTCCTTGGTGTGGTGTAGTGGTTAAAAGCGGTAGTCTCGTAATCTGGTGAACCGAGTTCGCGTCTCCGCTCCTCCTCATGCAGCTGCTGGGTGACCTTCTCTGAAGTCTCTCAGCCCCTCTCACCTCACAGAGTGTTTGTTGTGGGGGAGGAAGGGAAAGGAGAATGTTAGCTGCTTTGAGACTCCTTCGGGTAGTGATAAAGCGGGATATCAAATCCAAACTCTTCTTCTTCTTCTTCCCCTCTTGGCCTCGTTGGAGGAGCATTTAAAAACCAACGGAGCATAGTTACCTGGTGGCTGAAGCGGTATGATCCATACTGCTACCAGACCATTACTCTTACCACCTTGTTCTGCTGAACTTGCAGATAAGACCCAAGATCAGTTTTAGGACAATATAGGCTTGTTGCACCTGGAGTAGGCAAGAGCTGGGAAGAGGGGTGGAATGCAGCAACATTTATATTGGCACCGTGCCCACCATGCGAAGAACAGCTCAGGTAGGAAGTTGGTGCTCCACGCCATTCTCTGACATGTCTTGCAATATGTTATTTGTGGGAAACAGCCCGTGCCCTCCAAACTAGACAGAAGCGGAATTGTAAAACAAATAAATGTAAAATGTACACATACAGTCGTACCTTGGAAGTCAAACAGAATCCATTCTGGAAGTCCATTTGACTTCCAAAATGTTCAGAAATCAAAGCGCGGCTTCTGAGTGGCTGAAGGAAGCTCCTGCAGCCAATCATAAGCCGCGGAAGCCCCATCGGACGTTCAGCTTCCAAAAATAGTTCACAAACCAGAACAGTCACTTCCGGGTTTGTGGTGTTCGGGAGCCAAAACGTTCGAGAACTAAGCTGTTCGAAAACCAAGGTACGACTATTGCATTTTATTTTCTTCTGCAAATTTTTGGAAGTTCAGCTTTCCTCCAACCCGGTTTTGGCATTTCCTTTTGCGAAATTCCCCCACTGTCTATTCCTCAGACGGAGTTCTGCTGTTTGTCTCTCAACAGGTTGCTAGTTGGTGCCCCTCGAGAAAGAGGATTCCCGTCACAGCTAGCGAATAGAACTGGAGGGTTGTACAGCTGTGACATCGCAACTCCAAATGCGAAATGCACACGGATAAAATTCGATGAGAAAGGTGAGCTCAGCAATATCTAGACTTTGTTCTGTTCTGTTCTACGCAAGGTTCAAATGCTCATTTTTTAAAAAAAAAATAAACCATTTGGGAGGGGGTGGATCTTATTTGTTGCTTTAATTTGTTGCTCTGGGAAGTTATTGACCATTATTTGAGAACAGTGCCATGGTGCCTCTGACTGAGACATGGGCACAGAACCCATATTTTCCTAAATCAGCCTGGTATGTTGTTGGGCGACTCTCATTCATTTCTAGGAAGGTTACGCCGAAGAACTTCCTGATGCTTGTGTCCTTTTTAATAAAGCCTTTTCATAATACAAGATAAATAACACAACAAATGTTGGTGATGACCTTTAAATCCTAAACGGCCTTGGCCCAGTATAACTGAAGGAGCGTCCCCACCCACATCGTTTTGCCCAGACACTGAGGTCCAGCTCCGAGGGCCTTCTGGCGGTTTCCTCCCTGCGAGAAGCGAGGTTACAGGGAACCAGGCAGAGGGCGAATGCCCTCCCATCAGATGTCAAGGAAATAAACAACTATCTGAAGGCAGCCCTGTTTAGGGAAATTTTTTAATGTCTGATGTTTTATTGTATTTTTAATATTCTGTTGGGAGCTGCCCAGAGTGGCTGGGGAAATTATTATTATTATTATTATTAAAACTAAAAAAAAAACATACAAAGGGAAAGAAAAACAAAAACATCCTCTCTCAAAAGGTAGCTCTTAACCTTTGTCTCACACAGAAAGTGGTGGACACTCCCAGCTTTCACCTGAAAGCTGAAAGAAAGTGGTGGACACTCCCAGCTTTCACCCTTTTTTCCCAGTCTTTCACTCTGGGAAAGCTTCCCTTCCTCTCACTGCCATTACGTTTGGATTTTCCCAGACATTACTGGGATTTCAAAGGCAGAATTGACATGGGGGGTGGGGGGTGGAAACGCAACTTTCCGGTTTCTCCGGGGGGGGGGGGGGAAGCTTAACAATTTTTGGGTCTTTCTTTTTTTTTAAAAAAAAAAAGCTCAATTAAGGCACTAGAGGAGTTACAACTTCATTATATAGCTCTGCAAATCACTTAATCCTCTCAAAATTGAATATAATATTAATATTCCCAGACCGAAATGTCGTATTGATGCTCATTTGAAACGTCCTGTGTGAATATTGTAGGCAAACACTGCCATCTAAAGACAGTTTCAGGTACTGAATGAATAGATGGTGCAATCGTATGCATGCCTACTCGGAAGTAAACCCCACTGAGTCCAACGAGACTTTCCTCCAGGTAAATTGTGTATAGAATTGTAGCCTTACCTGTCAGTGGAGTCGTAGTTGAAATAATATGTTTGTAAGTCACTAAAGAAATGTTATTTTATAAGTTGGGTTTGTTTGTTTAAAAAACACCTTGTGATAATTTTTCAGCTGATCTGAGTAAAGAAAGCAAGGAAGACCAATGGATGGGTGTTACTGTCCAAAGTCAGGGTCCTGGGGGAAAAGTCGTGGTAAGTTCTCCGTGAATCGGCAAACATTTTGTTAATGGTATTTCTCACTACATTTTTATTTATTTTTAATTGAAAAATACTAGGAATCGAGAGAGACATTACCTTGCCAACAAAGTTCCGTATAGTTAAAGCTATGGTTTCCCCAGTAGTGATGTATGGAAGTGAGAGCTGGACCATAAAGAAGGCTGATCACCTAAGAATTGATGCTTTGAATTATGGTGCTGGAGGAGACTCTTGAGAGTCCCATGGACTGCAAGAAGATCAAACCTCCCCATTCTGAAGGAAATCAGCCCTGAGTGCTCACTGGAAGGACAGATCGTGAAGCTGAGGCTCCAATACTTTGGCCACCTCATGAGAAGAGAAGACTCTCTGGAAAAGACCCTGCTGTTGGGAAAGATGGAGGGCAGAAGGAGAAGGGACGACAGAGGACGAGATGGTTGGAGAGTGTTCTCGAAGCTACCAACATGAGTTTGACCAAACTGCGGGAGGCAGTGGAAGACAGAAGTGCCTGGCGTGCTCTGGTCCACGGGGTCACGAAGAGTCGGACACGACTGAACGACTAAACAACAACAACAGGAATCGACCTGAGAAATAATTTCCTCTATTTCCAGTTTTTGGACCGTGAATGCCATTGGTTACGAGGTCAAGAATGGCTACTATTATATTACTATCAGCCACCATTATGTAGCCAGAGCAGGCTTGAAGGAAACCTGGAAGCTACAGAAGCACAAAAATATTTAGTGGGGGGGTCCTAGTGGGAAGGAACCCACAAAATAGTCCAATGGGGAGTAAACATGCTGAGTGGCCATGGAATGGCGACTGAATGTTGGGGGGTGGAAATGGAGTGGTTGGAAATCGGAACAACAGCTCTCCACACTGCAACATTTTGTTACAGGTTTCACTTGCATCCTGTGTATACTTCTCTTGATTCTTAGTCACTGGTGGTCTTCAGGTACCATTGCAACATTCATATTCTCAGGAAAAGAGAACACATGCACAGAACCGTTAAAAAGGTTCTTTTGCTAGTGCAGAATTCAGCAGCCAGGTTTGAGCATATTACACCGATCCTGGTCCAACTGCACAGGCTACCAGTTAGTTTCTGGGCCCAACTCAAAGTGCTGGTTTTGACCTATAAAGCCTTAAACAGCTCAGGACCGCAATTCCTCAAGGACCGCCTCTTTCCATATGAACCTACCCGGACCCTGAGATCATCTTCTGAGCCCCTCCTTCGTATGCCCCCTCCTCCAGAGGTCTGGAGGGTGGCAACACAAGAACAGGCCTTCTCTGCAGTGGCTCCCCGTCTGTGGAATGCTCCCCCCAGGGAAGTTTGCCTGGCGCCTTCATTATACATACACCTTTAGGCACCAGGCAAAAACGTTCCTTTTTAACCAGGCCTTGGGTTGATTTGATTTACATCCCTTGCCCTTTTAAAATGTGTTGTTTTTTGAGGGGGGCTGTTGAGTTGTTTTTATTTTTATTATGTATTTTGTGGTTTTATATCTTGATTTTATCCTGTGAACCGCCCTGAGACCCCCAGGTATAGGGCAGTATAATAATAATAATAATAATCATAATAGTAATAATAATGCCATCAAACTGGTGAATGCTTCACTGATACCTTCCCGCAACTGTCCTAATGAAAAAATATTGTGAGGCAAAATAAAAACGCATACTTCCAGATGATTTAAAAGTCATCTGTCCTTTGGTATGGCAGCATGTTGGCTATTCAACGCAGAAGCATTCCATATCAGTGAACTTGATGTCAGCCAGTCTAGGACTGTAGCCTCTTAATTCCTCAGCCCTGCCAACCTCCATACAGTTGCCCTGCTGAAGTACCAGTGGCCGCTTTTCATTTCTCTTGCGGATAAGGCAGCTCAGCTTTGCTTATTGCCTACGGTGTTCTTAATGCCTTGCAGACTTGTGCCCATCGCTATGAGAAAAGGCAGTACGTCAACACGATCCAGGAAACCCGAGATATCATTGGAAAGTGCTACGTGCTGAATCAGGACCTCTCCAGCAGCGAGGAAATGGGTGGCGAGGATTGGAGCTTTTGCGATGGCCGGTTGCGAGGCCACGAGAAGTTTGGCTCCTGCCAGCAAGGCGTAGCTGCCACTTTCACCAGAGATTTTCATTATGTTGTGTTCGGGGCACCGGGTGCTTATAACTGGAAAGGTATGACTTGGATTTTTCTTCAAAGATCGCTCCTGTGGGGTAGCTTAGTCAGAAGAGCATGAAACTCTGAATCTCAGGGTTGTGGATTCAATGACCCTCGTTATTTCTTCCAGTGCTATGATTCTATGATTTCTGTTGTCTGTTTAGAGCTTGGCTGCTATTTCAGTATCTACAACTTTGTTATTTGCTATTTGTAGATTCTTGATCTGTATACCCCCCCACCTACATTGATGCTCTTTCCCCCAAAATCAAAACGTTAGGTGTACAGTGGTACCTTGGTACTCAAACGGCTTGGCTCCCGAAAAAATCAGCTCCCAAACACCACAAGCCTGGAAGTGATATCTGGAAGTTTGCGAACGTTTTTTTGGAATCCGAACGTCCGGCACAGCTTCCGATTGAGTGCAGGAAGCTCCTGCAGCCAATCGGAAGTGGCGCCTTGGTTTTCGAACGGTTTCAGGAGTTGAACGGACTCCCAGAAACGGATTAAGTTCGAGAACCAAGGCGAACCACTGTATCTGCTTTTCATGCTCCCGAATTGGTGCTTTCACTAAATTACATGAAAGTGCTTTACACTGAGTCAGACCATTGGTCTATCTAGGCCAGTAGTTCTCACATTTCCCTGCCCCCATAAACATCCATAGATCAGCTGAGAACTGGGGGCATTTTATCGCTAGGACTGGGCGATACCTGGTTTCAACGTCGTGATATATCACCAATGAAACATTGCAATAAACGGATATATCACGATGTCTGAAATAAGGGTGGAGCTACGAAGAGGCATGGGCTAGCTTCATGGGTTTTCCCGCATAGTGATTTTTGCCAGTGACTGCTCTTGAGATTCGCTTCCTTCTGCAGGAGGTGAGGGAGAGCTGAACCAGCAGAGTTAACAGGCACTGCAGGAAGCATCAGTTGGCTTCACAGTTTTCCTTACATTGTGATTTTTGCATAGCACACACGTGCACGCACACACACACATCATGATTTGCCATATATTGCCAGGTCAAAAATTATGAAAACAGATATCACGATATGGACTTCAAACTGGTTCTGGACGATATATCGATATATCACCCAGCCTTAATGTAATCTCCACCCCCTGTGTGTGTGTGCTCATGTGAAAGTATAGGGTGGCCTATACAATATATTACCGGGATGCGGGTGGTGCTGTGGTCTAAACCACTGAGCCTCTTGGGCTTGCCAATCAGAAGGTTGGCGGTTCGAATCCCTGCGAAGGGGTGAGCTCCCGTTGCTGTGTCCCAGCTCCTGCCAACCTAGCAGTTTGAAAGCACACCAGTGCAAGTAGATAAATAAGTACCACCAGGGGCGCCGACTTATAAAAAATATTGGGGGGGCCCATACCGACTTATAAAAAATATTGGGGGGGCCCATACTGACTTATAAAAAATATTGGGGGGGGCCAAGACCTCCAAACCGCTGCTGCTGGGGGAACAAAAGGGGCGAGCCCCGGGCTGCCCTGACCTTAAGTGAACCTGTGGGCGGTGAATATTAATGAGCTAGGGGGAATCCCCGCTTCTCGCGGGGCTGACGCCAGCCCCCGAGATTGTTGATGGGTCGAGAGCCCGCAACCCCACCCCCTCTCTAGATCGGGAGTGGCTTTGTTTTAACTCATTACTGAATGTATTTTAAAAGGTAACTACCGTCAAACAAGGAAAATAAAAAATACCAACATAATTTTGTGATTTTACAAAGCATAATATAACTAATAATTTTCTTAAATTATTGGGGGGGCGGAGCCCCCCCAAACGAATTTTTGAGGGGGCTCGGGCCCCCTCAGGCCCCATGGAGTCGGTGCCTATGAGTACCACTGCGGTAGGAGGTTAATTGCATTTCCATGCGCTCTGGTTTCCGTCACGGTGTCCCGTTTAGTCATGCTGGCCACATGACCTGGAAAAACTGTCTGAGGACAAACGTCAGCTCCCTCGGCCTGAAAAGCAAGATGAGTGTCGCAATCCCATAGTCGCCTTTGACTGAACTTAACCGTCCAGGGGTCCTTTACCTTTACCTTTTATAGGGTGGCCATACTCACTGCAGGCATGTGGCCCTCAAAGGGTTGACCAAGGGTAAATGTGGACTCCGGAACAAAAAAGGGATAGTTGCCACAGCCGAGATCACTGTTAATTTTTTTTGTAGCCAAGTTAAAAATGCACTCAGTTGGGGGGAAAGTGTTTGAAAAATAAAAAGACATTAATAGTAGTAGTAGTAGTAAATAAATAAATCCTGTTGAATTTTGTGGCCTCCAAATTAAATAAAAGCCGATGGATTGGTTTGTGCTTACTTAGGCTAAAAAGCTGTGAAATACCACCTTTCTTTTTTAAAACAACAAGGTTGTTGTTGTGGCCTTCTATTCTCCTCTGACCTTTCTCCTCAGCAAAAATAGCAGCGTGCCCCTGTGCCCGGCACGTGAACCATGCAAAACCCTTGACCCTTGGCACAAGGTGTACTTGAGTTTACCCTTCCAAATTCTGAAAACTGGACCACCCTGATGCGGTGCGTCAAATAAAGAGCCATTGCTTTAGTTGAATTGCAGGTACTTATTGCCTCAGTGCTTGGTTTGAAGAGTGCTCTTTTACGGCCCGGAGGAAAAACACATGTTTGTTTAGTTGAGAGCATATTGTATACCTGTCAAAACCGAAGTGCTTGCTTTCTAAATAGTGCAGAAGTGTGTTTTCATAATTAGGGGACGGCTCTTTACCTAAGCAGCAGCAGCAGCAGGGATTTAACATAATGGACATTTTTAAATGTTATGGTATTAGCACGTGAAAAAAAAAGTTTATAAGAAACATCCACGCTGAAGAGTCTTTGCGAAATGTCACCTCTCATTTGCAGATGCAGATAAACAGGATCCTCCCTGTTACTGCAGCCCGTCCCAATTTGTCCACATGTTGCAGTGCATGTCTGTTGGTCACGCTGGTAGGGGGCTGATGGGACTTATAGACCCAAACAGCTGGAGGGCACCACTTTGGGAAAGGCCACGTACTTAAAAAAAAATAATCTCCCCTTGACCCAGTGTTCCACATCACTTGGCTTCTGTTTTAGCTAAGACAATTCCTGATTTTAAATGACTTGTCTGTGGACTTTGGACTCAGAATGTGACTCCCTAAGTAACTTAGTTTTTCATTATCAGCACAAATCACTTAGATTTTTTTGTATCAACCCTCAGGGTTGTGGAAGTAAAACTGCCCTTGCTGAAGGTGGAGGATGGCTGAGGGAACGTAAGGTGCTGAGGACCTCCCTCTTGGAGGATGATTTGGCGCACCGGAGGAAAACTCCTTTGCCATTGTTGTGCCGTTGCCAGTTCTGTGCTGTTTGTACACTGGGGCTCGGAAGAGGCCATTTTGAGGGTGGGTGGGTGGGTCAAAAGAGCACCCCAAGTTCCCTTGTTCCCCTGACAGCCACCACATGGTCCAAATAAATACCTTGCCTAGAGTTGGTGCTCTCAATTCCATCCCATTAGAATTGAAGGTGGTGGAGTTGAGAGAGCAATGCAAGAGAAAAGTTATGTCTTCTCTTTCTCTTCTTACTTGGCCAATTTTCCTTGGTTACCGCAGCTTAGGACCGCGATACCTCAAGGACCACCTCTCTCTCTCTCTCTGAACCCACCTGGCCCCTGAGATCCTCTTCTGAGGCCCTTCTTTGTGTGTCTCCTCCCTGAAAGATCTGGAGGGTGGCAACACAAGACCAGGCCTTTTCTGCAGTGGCTCCTCACTTGTGGAATGCTCTCTCTAGTGAGATTTGGCCGGCGCCTTCATTATCCACCTTTAAGGCAAAAACTTTGTAAACAGAACTTTGCCCGATTGATATCTGACGCCCTTTAAACAAGTGTTGGGGGAGGATTATTGGAATGTTTTTGTTTTTATTATGTATTTTGTGTTTGTATATTGTGATTTTATGTTGTGAACCACCCTGAGACCTGCAGGTATAGGGCGGTATACAAATTTAATTAAATAATAATAATAATAATAATAATAATAATAATAATAATAATACGTGGGGCTACCTTTGAAGGTGACCCGGAAACTACAACTAATCCAGAATGCGGCAGCTAGACTGGGAGCGGCCGCCGAGACCATATAACACCGGTCTTGAAAGACCTACATTGGCTCCCAGTACGTTTCCGAGCACAATTCAAAGTGTTGGTGCTGACCGTTAAAGCCCTAAACGGCCTCGGTCCAGTATATCTGAAGGAGCATCTCCACCCCCACCGTTCTACCCGGACACTGAGGTCCAGCTCCAAAGGCCTTCTGGCGGTTCCCTCGCTGCGAGAAGCCAAGTTACAGGGAACCAGGCAGAAGGCCTTCTCGGTAGTGGCGCCCTCCCTGTGGAACGCCCTCCTACCAGATGTCAAAGAGAACAACAACTACCAGACTTTTAGAAGACATCTGAAGGCAGCCCTGTTTAGGGAAGCTTTTAATGTTTGATGTATTACAGTATTTTAATATTTTTTTGGAAGCCGCCCAGAGTGGCTGGGGAAGCCCAGCCAGATGGGTGGGGTATAAATAATAATAAATTATTATTATTATTATTATTATTATTATTATTATTATTATAGCATCACATATTTGCTGCATCCTGCAACTTCAACCCAAGTCTAGAATGGGGCCCATTACACAGTGTTGCATCAATGTTCTTCCCTCCCTTTCCCACAAGGATTATACCATAGTTGCTTTGTCTTCTGTTTCCGTTAAAGTTTATTTTATTCCCCTCCCGCTCCCCCTTCCTTTGTCATTCATCCCACTTTTTTGTTCTTTGCCATTTCATATTTTTTTCCCTAGGAGTGGTGCATGCAGAGCAAAGGAATCAGTCATATTTTGAAATGGGTATCTATGACGATGGGCCTTACGAAGTTGGCGGGGAGAACCAGCTTGATGAGAGCCTAGTTCCTGTTCCATCTAACAGTTACTTAGGTAGGACAAAGCTCTTCAGAGATCTCGAGGAAATTTCACTACCCAAATGTGGAGCGATAAAGTGAAACGCTGTTGGAAAGTAATTCAGTTAAGGACCCTCCCCACCCGCTTTCGTTTTAACCAAGAGCTTTTTGTCCGTGCCCTCCTTTGCCATTTCCACCACTGCTTTGAAGTGTAAAATGGTACTCTTGGTTGAGGTACCTCTAAGAGCTGCTAATGTAATGAGACATTTCAGAGCACCGATGAGGACTTGCAGATTTTTACATCGTGATTATAACCTCTCTGTTTCTCTCTCTATGTCTCTCTCTGTCTTTCTCTTTCACACACACACAGTAAGTACTGTATGTGGATTAGTAGCCCTAAGCCATTTTACCTCAACATGTGTAGCACAGGGAAGTTTAATGTTACTCAACAAGATTGTGATGGCTAAGAAATGACGTTCATGGTATATCTCCAGCGGATAGGGACCCCGAATTTGTCAGCTAACTTCTGAGGCCTCTTTGCAATGCTTTAATGGCTAACCCCCCCAAGATTGGTGTGTCATATGGCAAATTGTCGAGATTGCATTTTTGTTCGCCCTCGCTTTCTGAGTGCCAGTTGAGTGCAATTTTTGTGGCGTTTTGCAACGAACGGTGAAAACAATTCCTTCTTAACGCAAACAGTGAAGAACGGCAAACAGCTCACCGGCGTTTGCGCATGTCTCCTCCAAGAAGGCCCTTAAGGATTGAATAGCAACCCATCTGTAAAAGCACACTTTGGGATGAGATTTTGTGGGGAGCGTTTGAGGCCAAGGATGATATTTTGCCATTAAAACTGATGAAGGAGATGGAAGGAAAAGTCTGTTCATGTGTAAGCTGCGTTAATATAGCGTTGTTTTTTTTAAAGCTCTGAGGCGGGATCCAAATTTACCGTATTTTTCGCTCTATAAGACGTACTTTCCCCCTCGTAAAAAGTAAGGAGAAATGTGTGTGCGTCTTATGGAGCAAATGCAGGCTGCGCAGCTATCGCTGAAGCCAGGAGAGCAAGAGGGACCGGTGCGCGCCGATCCCTCTTGCTGTTCTGGCTTCAGGGATAGCTGCGCGAAGCCTCTTCAGGGCAATGGGAGGAACGCTCCTCCTGCCCTGAAGAGGCTTGGCATGGCTATTCCAGAAGCCAGAACAGCAAGAGAGATTGCTGCTTTCGCTGCGCAGCGATCCCTCTTGCTGTTCTGACTTCATTTCGCTGGAGAGGCGCTGCGCAGAGAGGGAAAGCTGCGCAGCGCCCCTTCAGCAAAGTGGGCGGAGAAACGGAGCCCCTTCCGTTTCTCCTCCCACTTTAGGCACTGCGCAGAGAGGGAGAGAATATTTTTTTTCTTGTTCTCCTCCTCTAAAACAAGGTGTGTCTTATGGTCGGGTGCATCTTATAGAGCAAAAAATACGGTACTTTACAATCCAGGACCTTTTTAACCCTCACAGCAATCTGATCAGCGGGGAGGTTTCCACGAATCTGACTCCCATTTGCCATGAGTGAAAATCTGCAGATGTTAATGGATATTGAAGGGTTGGAGCGCTAACCCCCAACCTCTTGTGTGGCAACAGGTCACATGCCCTGGAGCTTCAGGCAAGGCCCTAAAGGATGTAGATTGCCTATACAGTGGTACCTCGGGTTACATACGCTTCAGGTTACAGACTCAGCTAACCCAGAAATAATACCTTGGGTTAAGAACCTTGTTTCAGAATGAGAACAGAAATCGTGCAGCAGCAGCAGCAGCGGGAGGCCCCATTAGCTAAAGTGGTGCTTCAGGTTAAGAACAGTTTCAGGTTAAGAACGGACCTCCGGAACAAATTAAGTACTTAACCTGAGGTACCACGGTATTTCCATTGGTAAAACTTCTGCTCTCCTTCAGGTTTTCCCCCCAAGTCTGTTGTTATGCTCTCTGCTTAACTTGTCCTTCTTTCTTTCTTTCCTTCATCTTCTTTCTCCACCCACATTTGCAGGTCTCCTTTTCCTGACAAGTGTGTCTTTTGGTAGCCCCGATCAGTTTGTGTACAAAACACTGCCTCCCAACGTCAGGGTAGGCAAGGCCACCGATCTGATGATGAATAGCTATCTAGGTTTGTGACCTCTGAATAGCGGTTGTCCATCTCGCTTCCTTCGTTACATTCCAGACTTTCAAAATCATTGTTTTCCATTTCAAGTTGATGCGTATTGTGGAAAATACTCAAAAGAGACGAGGGAACTTCTGAAAGTTTTGGGCGAAAAAGAATCCTCAGGACTCGAGCTTTCGGGGTGTTGGCTTGGCTAAGGGCCTGCATGTCATGGATGGAGAACCTGTGGACCTCATTGACTGCTCCACCCAAACGTGGATAGAGGGGAGCCAATAAGATGAAGGTGGCCGCTCCAAAGAGGGAGTGCTCAAATTGTTTACTGTACCTGTGTGAGCTGAATGTAGAAGTTCAGCATCCATACCTGGGGGAATCACACCATAAGCATGATACATTTTTCATGAGGTCTTAACATTCCTTTAACATCATGGGAGTGCTCTGTTAAAGCAAGTGAACGCTTGAATCGATTTTTATTTATTACAAAGTCTGAAGAAAGGACAACGAAATTGCTGTGAACGTGGCACTGTATACAGTGGTACCTCGGTTTTTCAAGCGACTCGGACGCCGAATGTTTTGGTTTTCGAATGCCGAAACCCCGGAAGTAAACACTGCTGTTTTCGAACGCTCCTCAGAATTTGAACAGCTTCCTCTGCATCCCCCCCCCCCAATTTTCTCCACTGACTTTGCAGACCGCCCTTTGCGCCTCGGTTGTTGAACATTTCGGAAGTCGAAGGATCTTCCGGAACGGATTACGTTTGACAACCGAGGTACCACTGTATGTGCTGCTTTGAGTTTGCTTCAGTGTCTGCTGGGAGAGGACAGGTTTAAGCTTTTAATGTACATGTGTAGACCCTGTTAGGTGGGTTTTCATTGACCCTGTGCTTCCTGTCACACCTTTAACATAGCAACAATCACAGAGGCTTTGCCCTACAATAGCACCACACCTTCAACTGTTCGTCTGTTTTATGTTGTGCGGTAGGTTTTTCTCTGGACTCTGGAAAAGGCATCACTTCGCAGGATGAGCTCACTTTCGTGTCTGGAGCTCCGAGAGCAAACCACAGTGGAGCGGTTGTCCTTTTGAAAAAAGACACTGTCATTCAACGGGCATTGTCTCCCGAGCACACATTTGAAGGCGAGGGGCTGGCCTCCTCTTTTGGCTATGATGTGGCTGTTGTAGACCTCAACAGAGATGGGTAAGTCTGCCCTCTGGCTCCTCTTTCTTCTAGTACCATGGGGAAATGTGATCGCATCTTTCTTTTTTTGCAAAGTGGGAGAAACATAGCTGTCAACGTTTTCCCTTTTTTAAGGGAAACTCCCTTATTCTGGATAGGATTCCTCGCAAGAAAAGGGGAAAGTTGTCAGCTATGGGGAGAAATGAGGCTGTTCCCAATCATGAACTTTGACTTGAGTCACTCGTATGAGCGGTACAATCTTGTGCATGTTTACTCAGAAGTAAGTCCCATTGAGTTAAAAGAGGCTTACTCCCAGGTGAGTGATCACAGGAATGCAGCCCAAGTTCCATACATGCAAAAACTGGACGAGCAGTGACCAACTTGGCAAGATTGTCGTGAGTTCAGTGAGAATAAAACACTGTAAAAAAAGACAGCAAAGTACTGTAGAAATGGCCAGGGGGGTGGAAATCTAGCCGTTTATCACCGAACTTCTTAAAACTGAATTCAAGAGATCTCTCTGAGCAGCTGTTTTGTTTGGAAGCCTTGTGTTGAATTGTGCAGTCTGCTGAACATGTTGTCGTTCTGAGGTCACGTTTATCACCTGCTTCTCACAGTTGCCTTAAACACAATGAACTTGTTGTTTTCTCAGTTGGCAAGATATTGTTGTTGGAGCACCACAGTACTTTGACAGGGAAGGAGAAATTGGCGGTGCTGTGTACATTTACATTAACCAGGAAGGCAAGTGGGAAGGAGTCAAACCAGTTCGGCTCACAGGACCAGCAGACTCCATGTTTGGAATCGCAGTCGAAAATATTGGTGACATTAACCAAGATGGCTTCGAAGGTAAGCCGGAAAACGATTGGCCTGCTCTTTGATGATGATAATGATGATGAATTTCATTTCTATACCACGTTTTATTTTTAAGAACAATATTTCAAGGCGGTTTACAACTTACATCAAAACATCATATAAAACAATTCAGAATATTATTATTATTATTATTATTATTATTATTATTATTTATTAAATTTGTATACCGCCCTTCATCTGAAGATTGCAGGGTGGATCACAAGATAAAAAAGACAAAATGAGGACATAAAAGACATGATAAAGCAAAAAAACAAAACAAAACCCAATAGCCTGCTCTCTGGCGAAAGTCAAATAGAAAGTATACATTCAAAGCAACATGACTAACGGGAAACTAAATATTTCAAGATGAAATATTATAAAGGAGGTTCGACTACAAAAGCACATTTAACACAGCAAAATTAACAACAAAAACCACATGAATATTTCAAAGGAAAACACTACTAAAGGAAGTCAGATATAAAACGTATATTTAAAATGGCATAAATAGCAAGAGAACATTATCATAAGTATATAACATATCTACTGCTGTTGCTGCCAATCCTGGCTATGGTGGTTCATGGTGGGCAGCAGCTGTGGAAGATCAGGTTCCATGACCTGGGTCCGCACTAAGAGACAGCCAAGTTGGTCTGTGGCCCCAGTTTTTGGAGCTGGAGTCAGTCAGGGCTCTGGAAAAAGGCCTGCAAGGTCTTCCAGGTCTCACAGCCAAGGTGGTCCTTGGCCTCTTCAGCAGCCTCATAATCCCTGAAATGAGAATGCGATGGATTGGTTTGGATTCACAATTGCTGAATTTATCCATATGCTAATTTCCTCTTACCTCAGTGTCATGTGGTCCCTCCCCGACGCTGTCCAGAGAGTTCCAGCTAACGGGCAGCCTAGGCGTGTTCAAAGCTTCCTCCAACAGGTGGAGAACATTTTGAGAGAGGCTGGGAGGTTGTGACATTGGGGACATGTGAGTGCGCATAGCTCTGCTTTCCCTCCATGTCATGTTAAAATACTTCAGGATAGAACACGTGATTCCAACAAAATGTGTGCTTATTTTTTTGTTTACGGGTTGTTTAAAGTATTTGTACCCCACTTTAATCTCTAGATCTCTGAGAGTTTCATTCTTACAAAATTTGCTTTTGGCAGAATGACCTTTTGTTTCCATTTTGTGCGTGTGAAATTTGTAGCAGCAGAGAATGCGGTACATCTCCAGCCCTTCACACACAGCTACTGCTTCTTGGCAGTGATAGAAACATAGATACCGTACTATTCCATGTATAAGACTAGGTTTTTTTACTTTAAAATTATGTGAAAAACTGTGGGTCGTCTTATACACGGATAGTGAGTGGTGAGGATTTCTTAAATTGGAGTCCCTAAAAATAGGGGGGAGGCGTCTTATACACAGAAAAATACAGTAATCTAATTGCCAAATGGCAGCTTAAACCTAAGTTACAGTCGCTACAATGGAATGTCTACGCACCATTCCCGCCCCGCCCCCCACACAATGAAGTTGTCGCTATCGTTGTTGTCATCATTCATTCCATCTCTATACCGCTTTATATTTTAAAGAACACATCTCAAAGCGGTTTACAACAACATGACAACATCAAACAAAACAAATTCAAGCTCCAAGGAAGAAAATGTTTCAGATCCTTCTCTAAGCGAACATTTTGCTTTCCCCAGTCGCCAGCCTGGGGATCCAGAGATCTCCACATGGTCACCATTGGACCTGCGCCAGCCGTAAAATGCGGCTAATTTCTGATTCTGGGGCCTGGACAAACTCCACGGGCCCTGCCTTATTTGAGCAAGCCATGTAGCTTTGAAAACCTGCATGTTCAGTTTGACTGTTGTTGTCCTTCTCTCTTTTTTTTTATGCAACAGATATTGCTGTAGGGGCTCCATATGACGACTCTGGCAAGGTATATATTTATCATGGCTCCAAGGATGGGATTAACACAAAACCAGCACAGGTACTAGCTAGTGACGTTCGCTTCTCCTTCCAATGTAACTGAACTATTTATTTCGCTTGTTTCCTAAGCTTCTCCCAAGCAGCTGCCCACTTATAGTTCTCTGCCACCTGCTTCTCTCTCTCCTTTGACTTTGCACAGCCACTCTCTTCTCTGCCTAATATCTTTTCATGTAAGACCCCATCTGCACTATACATTTAAAGCAATATCATACCACTTTAAACAGTCCTGCTTTCCACCAGTGCATCCTGGGAACTGTAGTTCTTTATAAGGGCATTGAGTGTTGTTAAAAGGTAAAGGGACCCCTGACCATTAGGTCCAGTCGTGGCCGACTCTGGGGTTGTGGCGCTTATCTCGCTTTATTGGCCGAGGGAGCCGGCGTACAGCTTCCGGGTCATGTGGCCAGCATGACTAAGCCACTTCTGGCGAACCAGAGCAGCGCATGGAAATGCCGTTTACCTTCCCCCCGGAGTGGTACCTATTTATCTACTTGCACTTTGACGTGCTTTCGAACTGGGATCCCTATTCCCCTAATAGAGCTTCAGTTCCGGAGTTTCCTGGAAAGAGGGGTTGCTTGTTAAAGCACGCTGGAAATTGTAGCTCTCTGAGTGGAACAGTTTTGTCCTACGTTTCTTCAAGCTATTCCTCTTAAGAGACGCTGCTTGCTAAGTCTTTTGCCTTCTGTAGAAAATAAGATGATAATAATAATAATAATAATAATTTATTATTTATACCCCGCCCATCTGGTTGGGTTTCCCCAGCCACTCTGGGCGGCTTCCAACTGAATATTAAAAACAGTACAGCATCAAACATTAAAAACTTCCCTAAAGAGGGCTGCCTTCAGTTGTCTTTTAAAAGTAAAATAGTTGTTTATTGCTTTGACATCTGCTGGGAGGGCGTTCCACAGGCGCCACTACCGAGATGGCCCTCTGCCTGGTTCCCTGTAACCTCACTTCTCGCAATGAGGGAACCGCCAGAAGGCCCTCGGCGCTGGATCTCAGTGTCCGGGCTGAACGATGGGGGTGGAGACGCTCCTTCAGGTATACAGGACTGAGGCCATTTAGGGCTTTAAAGGTTAGCACCAACACTTTGAATTGTGCTCGGAAATATACTGGGAGCCAATGCAGATCTCTCAGAACCGGTGTTATGTGGTCCCAGCGGCCACTCCCAGTCACCAGTCTAGCTGCCGCATTCTGGATTAATTGCAGTTAATCCAGAATGCGGGAGGAAGATAAGAAGACAGGAAGAAGATAAAAGACTTCTTCCTGTTGTTGCAGAATTCAGATCTTCCTTCAGATTTGCATTATTATTATTTGTATTATTATTATTATTTTTGCATGCGTGGAGCATGGCCTGCCTCCTAATAAATGCGGATGTGATATTCTTCTATTGTTTTAATTGCCATTGATTTTTCTGTTTTTATTTATAAGCTTTATGCAGACAGGAAATCTTGGGGGGAAATTGACTTTAAAAAAAAAATTGACTATGTGTCCCGATGGCTTGTCAGTAGACTCTTTTAACTGCATTAATCAATAATTCTTATAATGACTTATGGTTCTGGAGATTGGTGTTGATCAGATAGATGCTTGGCTAGTTCTTTTCGGTTGGAAGTGCTCACCTAATTTCCATTGATACCGTATTGGTCTGAATATAAGCCTCACTTTTCCCCCAAATTCCAACCGTGAAAAGTTGAAAGTGCGGCTTAAATTCACAACCTTACAAAAATGGGCTTTTATAAGATATCGGTGCTGAAACAGACATATTGTAAAACAGAACAAAAAAAGTTTTATTGCCGATTTGAGAGCTTGAGACTGTTCATTTGCCATTTACGGGAGTGAGTGCTGGTAGAATTGCAGCCAGTTGAATAGCGATTTGCGATTTCAGCGATTGTACGGTAACTTTTGCGGGCTTACAAGATCAAAGGCTTAAATTGGATCAGAATTGCAATTCTACCAACCGCAGCGATTTTCAGCCTGTAACCCAATTTTAAGGGAGGGGCTTATATTCGGTTATTGTCTCTCCCCCCCCCCCCCGAATTTTTAAGGTGCGGTTTTTTTGCGGGTGCGGCTTATATTCTGGCCAATAAGGTAGCCTATAGTTCTGTGACATTTGACAGCACCCTCTTCCATAGTTTGTACCCAATTGCGGCTCATTTCTGACTTCCTTTAGCTGTGCTCCCCTTTTCATGACCCTTTTCTATGTCTGATTTACTCTCTGCCTTTTTCCTAATGGGACATTCCACAAATTGCGGGGGGAATCTTTACCCTCCAAGTTGTTTGATCCTCCAAGCCCCATCAGCCATAGTAATCCTGTTCAGTGATTAGGGACGTTGTAGTTTAGCAACATCTCAAGGGCCAAAGGTTTCCCACACCAGATGAAGCTGCTAAATGAATACATTTATTATTTAAATGTTTTTAAACCACCCTTCATCTTTAGAGACATGAGGACTTTATACAGGGGCATGAACATATCAGAATATTCCAAAAATCCAATACACTGAAAACAAGTGTATATGGATCACAGTCAAGTAGCAAAATACAGCATAACAATTTCCATTTTTTCGCACTGTTTCAGATTCTGGATGGTGGGGCAAACGGAGTCTCATCCTTTGGTTATTCTATCACCGGAAACATGGACCTTGACAAAAACTCTTATCCTGATATTGCTGTTGGGTCTCTTTCAGATTCTGTAGCTGTTTACAGGTGTGTGGCACCTTCTTGATTTAACCTTGATTTAACTCTGGTGTCCTCAATGTGGCACCTGTCGCACCCTGGTTGTTCTCAGACACCTCCTTTGTCACCCTTAAAAAAATAACTGAGGGTTTGGGGCATTGTTTTTGGGGCGGTTTCCTGCTTTCTTTCTTTGTTTTTTTATTTGTTATGGGGTGTGCACAGGTTTTTTGTTTATTTGGAGGGGCGGGGGGGTGTCTGAGCATCACCAGTTTTCTTCTGTGAAGTGGGTACCCTAACAATTTCTTGGATTTCCAAATGTGCCACTGATCCCAAACATTTTTGAGGAGACTAGACTTTACAGTTGGCCTGAGTTTCCACAGTGTCTTTTTCATCTTTTAAGAATGGCTCAGCCCCAAACTTTCATAAATATTAAAAGGAGTGAGTCCTTGAACAAGAGCACAGTCACTTGGGCATAATTCTTTCAGACATAGGAATGATGATATAGTAAATGTGTCTTGGACTATACCATTTCAGACTGTTGGGGGCCTAGAGTCCTCCCCCCCTACAATCAATCTTTCAGTGTTCAGGGAATTGTTTTCCAGTGTGGAGGGCCAAGCCAGTCATGTGACTCTATCTGCTGCCCAGTGGTGTAGCGTGGGTTGCCAGTACCCGGGGCTGCATGGAGGGAGGGAAACAGATGGGAGTGCATTCAACTGCCCAGTGACATCCATGTCACCCAAGAGATCGCAGCCACAGCGATAAGAAAATAAGAGCAGTTCCATTGTCTGGAGAGGTCACTTCCTGGTTCGCACGTAGAAGTTGTTTTCAATGGAGCTCTGTGGCAGAAGCGTGCAGCTGTGTTGAGGCAGCAATGGGTGTTGAAATTTTGCGCCCCTAACTGTTTTGAGCATGGGGAAACCGCCCCTTTGGCCCCCACCCCACGCTACAGCGCTGCTGCTGCCTGAAGTAGAACAGTCCAGACACAGGAGGATGTCATCCAGGCCTAAGTTGCCACTGTTGTGGGAATAATTGTGCATAAAAACAGAGACAGACAGAAAGAATGACAGTCTAGGATTGAGGAAGAGAAGTCAGTTTTATTCTAAATGCAGTCACCCAGCCTTTGTTTATCAGATGTGCAACATATTTTGACGAAATATTTTACTCTAAACCCTCTTGTGCTTTCGGTGCTAACACACTGCAAAGAACTAGGCCACTCTGTCAGAGCTTCTCCATCCTACAGTGTGGAAATGGAAGGCCCAACGGACCTTTCCCTGTTTATTAGCCTAAGAATTCCTTCCTCGAGTGCCATTCATCGAAATAACAAGTTTCTTCCCCAACCTCCTCTTCCCTCTTGACATACAAGATCGCGGCCTGTGGTGAACGTTAAGAAAACTATTAAGATAGACCCCGGAAGAATAGACCTAAAGAAAAAAAACTGTGAAGTCCCCAGCGGGATTTGGTAAGCCATTGAATTCCTAATATTTGTTTCAATGTTTTGGCAAACGTTCATGTGTTTCATATGCACGAGAATTTCCACTATATGGTGCATGGGAGGTTACTATGCCAGCCTGCAAAGACACTGTTACCTGTTAGGTTGGATTGTTGATGTTACTCCTGTATTGTTGGGTGTTAAGAGCTACAACAATGCCTCTTCTTGCCATGTTGCCTTGGTAATGTTGGAAGCAAGGGATCATTGCTCCAACCCATCCCTCTCACTTATTGAGGCAGCAGGGCCTCATGGGTCTCTTCCTCCTCGCCGTCTTTACCAATATCTACTCTCCTAGCCTGAAGGCCGCAGTTCTTAAAGACCCGGCCTGAAGAGGAACGTTGCTTTGCCTTTCTGTGGCCGCTCAACAGGCACACTTCTTCCCTGTGCCGTTGGGCAAGTGTTGTAGTATGGAAGGCACCCAATTCTTCTGGCCAGCCGTGCTTAGGGGACTGTGAGGGTCCTGGCTCAGCTCTGAAGGGTCCAACCCTCAGGTTCTGTGAGCTCTGAACCACCAGTCTCTGATTCTATGGGCTTTGAACCACCAGCATGGCAGTCCTGGTCTCAGCTGGCTTCTTCTCCTTGGAGCTCAAGGCTGGAGCCCTACAAACCTTTTATGGTGGAGACCACGCTGCCAGGTTTTTGAAGACCCTTGGACAAGGTGTCCTCAGTGCGCCTGTTCCACGACTCACCATTTTTGCTACAGTCACCATTGCCTTTTCTCTTTGGAACCAGCCCCTACCGTTGCCCAGAACACCAAACAAGCACTTCTTCCCATTGTTCTTGTCCCTGATCACTAGGGTTGGGCGACATCCGGTTTTCAACATCGTGGTATATCAGCAGCTTTATACCGCAATACAGTGGTTCCTCTGGTTACGAACTTAATCTGTTCTGGAGGTCGGTTTGTAACCCGAAACTGCTCATAACATGAGGCCAGCTTTTGCTAATGGTGCCTCCTGCTGTTGCCGCGCTGCCCGCACGCGACTTCCGCTCACATCCTGGGGCAAAGTTCTCAACAAGGGGCATCTACTTCCTGGTTAGGGGAACTCGTAACCTGCAGCTTTCGCAAGGAGGACGGTACATAACACGAGGTTCCACTGTACGCTGATACATCACGATGTCTGGAACGTAGCGCAGCTGCGTCTTCCTATCCCCACCACCTTACAGGAAGAAGAAACAGCTGAGATACATCACCCAGCCCTACTGAGCAAGCTGGAGGGACATCAGGGCTTCGTTAAACTGCTCAGGTGGGGGGCAGGAAACGTCCTGTCCCCCATCTGAGCAAGTACCAATACCACTCAGGCTCACGCAAGCTGGAGGGGCGGGGGGCTTCCTTAAAGACGCAGGCAGGCAGAGCCCAAGAAGGTTCTCCCCCAGAACCTTCTTCAGCTCCGCCTGCAACTTGAGCTGGCGCAACGTATTGCCAGCTCAGATTGTTTGAAACCGGTAGCGCGATCTGAACGCCGTACCAGTTTCAGACAATTTATCAATATACCGACTAGGAGAAGGTCAGCTGGAGCCTGCCGTTACCTGGCCCTCACTCTGCCCCCCAGCCTGCATCTGATTGGCTAGCCGGGGAGGGGGCGGAGCAACGGTCCAGCAAGCAAGGTGGGGTGTCACCCAGGCTCGGGAATTCTGGGCCTGGTTGCAAACCCCGCCCATCGCTTAGATGGATGAGTGGATGAGCTGGTAAAATTGTCTGAAACCAGCTAAAATTGTCTGAAACCAGTATTGTGATCTGAACGCCATACCGGTTTCAAACAAATAATAATAATAATAATAATAATAATAATAATAATAATAATAATAATTTATTTATACCCTGCCCATCTGGCTGGGTTTCCCAAGCCACTCTGGGCGGCTTCCAACTGAATATTAAAAACAATACAGGTTCAGACATTAAAAACTTCCCTAAACAGGGCTGCCTTCAGTTGTCTTTTAACTGGTATGGCGTATATATCGCCCAGCTCTACTGATCACTTGCTTAGAGCCGATGGGGTAGTGGCAGCGAAGAGGCAGAGGAGCAGCAAGGATTTCAAGGGGTTGACCATAGCAGTCTCATTCCCTTTCCCTTCTTGGGACAATGCAAATACCAGGTCTCAAGACGACAGAAGATGTGTTTATGGCACCAAGTACCTGACTATAGAGGGTGGGCATTGAAGCAATGCATTTACTCTCGAGATTTCAGCAGCTTTTGGTGAAATGTCTCCAGTGCTGAACTCTTTGAAGTTTATTCCTGTGCTCTTGAATTCTTCCAGCGTGAACATTGAAGCCTGCTTTGAGTACACAGCTAGTTCCAGTGACTTCAACCCCAAACTAAGTAAGTTGCTATGATATAACGATACTTGCATATCGTTAAGTGTAGCTCCCACAACATTTTTTCCCATTTGCAAATGTGTCTATGGACCCCAATTTTTATTTTTTTTGCAATCCCCTGTTCTGCATTGTTTTAACATCACGTGTTCATGCAAAAATGCCTGAAGTTCGACACTTGTGTCCTTACAAAGCCAGCTCAGTGGTGCAGCTTGCAAGGTGACCAGGTCTTAAAACTTGTTGCCTTCCTAGGTGTGTAGGTATGTTGATATGTACAGTATAGGTAGGTATTATATAGAGCAGTGTTTCCCAACCGGTGTTCCGCGGCACACTACTGTGCCGCGAGACTTTGCCTGGTGTGCCGCGGGAAAAATTGGCGGGGGGGGGGGAATAAAGGGGAAAAAATTTATTCCTCCACCGCCAGGCGTGGGGCTGGGGCGGGGGAAGCCCGAGCTTCCCCCTCCCCCAGAACGGGACCCAGAGCCATGCCGAAGCTGCGCGCAGCTTTGGCATCGCTCTGGGAGCTTGCGGGGCTGGGGGAGGAGGAAGCCCTCCGCCAGCCTCCAAACCATGTCGGGAAACAGCGGAATGGCGCGCTGCGCCTCTCCCGCTGTCCCCCGAGTTTGCAGGGCTGGCGATGGGGAGGAGCAGGCTTCTCCCCCCGCCAGCCTTCCAGCCAAGTCGGGGGACAGCGGGATGGCGCGCTGCGCCTCTCCCACTGTCCCCCGAGTTTGCGGGGCTGGCGACGGGAAGGAGCAGGCTTCTCCCCCCGCCAGCCTTCCAGCCAAGTCGGGGGACAGCGGGATGGCGCGCTGCGCCTCTCCCACTGTCCCCCGAGTTTGCGGGGCTGGCGACGGGAAGGAGCAGGCTTCTCCCCCCGCCAGCCTTCCAGCCAAGTCGGGGGACAGCGGGATGGCGCACTGCGCCTCTCCCGCTATCCCCCGAGTTTGCGGGGCTGGCGATGGGGAGGAGCAGGCTTCTCCCCCCGCCAGCCTTCCAGCCAAGTCGGGGGACAGCGGGATGGCGCGCTGCGCCTCTCCCGCTGTCCCCCGAGTTTGCGGGGCTGGCGACGGGAAGGAGCAGGCTTCTCCCCCCGCCAGCCTTCCAGCCAAGTCGGGGGGCAGCGGGAAGGGCGAGCTGCGCCTCTCCCGCTGTCCCCCGAGTTTGCGGGGCTGGCGACGGGGAGGAGCAGGCTTCTCCCCCCGCCAGCCTTCCAGCCAAGTCGGGGGGCAGCGGGAAGGGCGAGCTGCGCCTCTCCCGCTGTCCCCCGAGTTTGCGGGGCTGGCGACGGGGAGGAGCAGGCTTCTCCCCCCGCCAGCCTTCCAGCCAAGTCGGGGGACAACGGGAATGGCGCGCTGCGTTTCTCCGCTGTCCCGGACGGCTTTCAAAAGCCTGCCTTCAAAAGCCGTCCGGGACAGCGGAGAAACGCGCTGCCTTTCTCCGCTCTCCCGGGAAGGCAGGCAGGGGGGAGCAAAGGCTTTCGCCCCGCCCGCCTTCAGAAGAGGTCCAGGACCTCTTCTGAAGGCGGGCGGGGGGCGAAAATCTTTGTCCCCCCTGCCTGCCTTCCCAGGGGCTTTTAAATCGTCCCGGACAGCGGAGAAGTCCTCCGCTGTCCCGGGCGATTTTAAAATGCCGCCCGCCAGCATTTTAAGATTGCCCCGGACAGCGGAGAAGTCCTCCGCTGTCCCGGGGTTTTTTAAAATGCTGGGGGTGGGAAGAAAAGCCCTTGTCCCGCCCCCAGCCCTCAGAAGAGGTCGGGGGACAGACTGCGGGGAGAAATCAGGGTGGGAGTCACGACCGTGAGGCAGGGCTGCCAAGTGTGGCAGAAGAGGACATGGCCGTCGCACCTGTCCTTAGGTAGGAGCTTCTTCCGTGTCGACCTGCTGCCCTAAAGTCTTGGCTTTTTTCTTGGCTTTTTGGCGGTTGGCACAGAAGGAAGGCAAGGGGGAGGGGAAAAAATTGAAACTTACACTTTCGTGCGTCCCTCCCGGCGTGACGCTGCGCGCTGACGTCACGGGGCTGTAATGGTGGTGTGCCTCGATATTTTTTTCATGAAACAAGTGTGCCTTTGCCCAAAAAAGGTTGGGAAACACTGATATAGAGTAATGTAGGTATGTTTTATGTTATGAAAATAAGGTAGTGTGTTATGTATGTGTACTAAATGTATATGTATGTGTTTTATATGCTTATAAAAAAATCTAAAAATAAATAAAAATAAAATAAAACTTGTTGCCTTCCAGGGCAAGGCAGGGAAAAATGGGATAATGTACAACATCTGTAAGATAGTATACCAGCCTTTCCCAACCTGGTGCCCCTCCCCACGTGTTAAGGTAAAGGTAAAGGGACCCCTGACCATTAGGTCCAGTCGTGACCGACTCTGGGGTTGCGGCGCTCATCTCGCTTTATTGGCCGAGGGAGCCAGCGTACAGCTTCCAGGTCATGTGGCCAGCATGACTAAGCCACTTCTGGCGAACCAGAGCAGAGCACGGAAACGCCGTTTACCTTTCTGCCAGAGCGGTACCTATTTATCTACTTGCACTTTGACGTGCTTTCGAACTGCTAGGTTGGCAGGAGCAGGGACTGAGCAACGGGAGGTCACCCCATCGCGGGGATTCGAACTGCCAACCTTCTGATTGGCAAGTCCTAGGCTCTGTGGTTTAATCCACAGACTACAAATCCCATAAGCCCCCTAAGGCAGGGATGGTGGGATTTGTAGTCCAGCAATATCTAGAGTGCACTAGGTTAGGAAGGCTGAACTGCGTTGATTTCTAGTACCATTTAAACAAAGAGCAGTGAATTAAACATGGTACAACTTGTCTTCCCTTATACTATTTCTGAGGGTTCTTTTTCTTTCCACTCCAACCCCCACCCCCCCTTCCCAGTTCTGAACTATACAATTGAAGTAGAAAATGAGAGGAGACGATCGGGCTGGCCATCCAGAGTGCAGTTTTCTGATCGACTCTCTTCCAGAGGGCAGTCTCTTGAGCGACTCTCCGATCAGCTGAGTGGGAGTGTGACTCTCCAAGGACAGAAGAAAGAAGAGTGTGTGACAAAAAAACTCGTATTGCAGGTATGAGAAGCCCAGAGGCTTCTGTTTTTAATGCTGCCCCATTCAGGTCTAGTTTCGCCAACAATACGCTTTCAGGTAAACTTGAGGTGGCCTTCGGCTTGTGGTCACATATGAGATCCGTTGTGATGCCGTGATTAGAAAGCTGGCTTGGGAAAACCTGTGGCCAAGTTCCCACACAGCCATGAAGCCCATTGGGTGACCTTTGGCCAGTCCGTCTCCATCAGACTTAGCCTACCTCAGAGGGTGGTTGTTAATATACAGTAGAACAAAATGTATGCCAGCTATCGCGAGCTCCGTGAGTTTGCATGTTCAAATCATTGCACAGAATAACAATGTCATGTTTGTTTCTTTAGTTCAGGCAAAAGGAGTTTGCATAACATAATAATAATTTATTATTTATACCCCGCCCATCTAGCTGGGTTTCCCCAGCCACTCTGGGCGGCTTCCAACAAAACACTAAAATGCAATAACCTTTTAAACATTAAAAGCTTCCCTAAACAGGGCTGCCTTCAGATGTCTTCTAAAAGTTTGGTAGTTATTTTTCTCTTTGACATCTGGTGGGAGGGCGTTCCACAGGGCAGGCGCCACTACCGAGAAGGTCCTCTGCCTGGTTCCCTGTAACTTGGCTTCTCGCAGGGAGGGAACCGCCAGAAGGCCCTTGGAGCTGGACCTCAGTGTCAGGGCTGAACGATGGGGGTGGAGACGCTCCTTCAGGTATACTGGACCGAGGCTGTTTAGGGCTTTAAAGGTCAGCACCAACACTTTGAACTGTGCTCAGAAACGTACTGGGAGCCAGTGTAGGCCTTTCAAGACTGGTGTTATATGATAGAAATATCAAAACATTATGCATGTATGTAAGCACCCTAGGAACAAATTCCTTGCTTGCGTCCTTTGGTGTTACAAGCAAGGAATTTGCCCACCATTTCATTTGACTTTAATGTTTTTTAAAAAAAATAGTCCACTAAAGGCCTCCATTCCTCTATAAAAAGTTCATCATTTTGAATGCATAGACCTTTACTTTCAAAAGCCACTCCTCCTTCATTGGAACCTCCTCTTCTTTCCATTTCTGCGCATATAATATCCTAGCTGCTACTGCTGCTGTCACATACATAAATAGTTTGGCAATACGAGTAGTTACTTTTAGGTTAAATATTTGTGGGTTGGCCCTAGCCGGTTGAACTAATATGCCAATGTTGGAAACCGAAATGTTGTCACAGTGATGGCATTGTGGAGGCTGGGGCCGTCGTGAAAGCTGAACACAGTAAGTTTGAAGCCAGGATATTTGCTGCCAAACCCAGCAGGGGGTTATTCTGTGTGCTAATAATTCAAATGTATGTATCTCTTAGGAAAATATCAAAGATAAACTGCGTCCAATTCCTATAACAGTTGGCGTCGCAATAAACGGCTCCGAGTCCAGCTCTCAGTCAAGGAGGAGACAAGGACGGTCGCTCCCAGAACTTCTTCCCATTCTAAATTCCAATGAACCAAGTACAGTTAATGCAGAAGTAAGTTCCCCTCCCTCCTTTTCTAATCCTGAGATCTGTTCCAGCCTGATTAGTTCATTTTGTACCACGTCTCAGAAACACATAGAAAGAAGGAAAGGTTTGTCTGAGTAACAATTCAGAGATCTGTGTTTGTAATGCCTGCATGCTTGTTGAGTGCGCTGTCTGTTAATCCAAAATTCACAGGGGGCATGAGATATGACTGTAAAAGCTAAACGTTTAAAATTGGAGGTGGGGGGAGAAAGAAAGAAAAAATACCCCAAAATAAGCCACTCCATTCCTTGCTGCTCCTGGCTGCATACTGCATTGCGGGTGGCCTTTCCCCTTCCTCGCTCTCTCCCTTCCCAGCCTTGCGGGGAGAGGATGGGGGGCTGCGCACAGGGCGGGCGCCGCTTTGCTGTTTGCCCCCGCTCCTGGCTGCATACCGTAAGGTCGCGAATATAAGCAGCACTTTAACTTTTCACGGTCGGGATTTGGGATAAAAGTGAGGCTTATATTCAGGCCAATACGGTATATAGGCACAAGACCAATAATAGGTACACTGTCAGGCTTTTCAAACTCCTTGAAAGCCAATTCTGCACCTCATAAATATTTGGGTGTAGAAATTTGGCACAGCACTATTTGGGTTGATTGAATTTAGGTGTCGTGTGGAAAAAGACCAAAAAAGTGACTCGTGGCGCAAGATTACTATACCTCCTCTGTTTCCTATGTGGCTGTAATTCTTTAAATTCGATGCTGTTTCAAATCTAAACTTGTGTTCATTGTAGGTACAGTTCCTGAAAGAAGGTTGTGGAGAAGACAATATTTGCCACAGCAATTTGAAGCTTCATTACAGATTTTGCACCAAAGAAGGAAATGAAGACAGATTTTCCTATTTACCAATGTAAGTCTTTAAGGATACCAGTTTTGAAAATAAAGTCGCTTGTGTTCCTTGGAGGCTTTTCTTCCCGCCAGTCCCTAAAACCTGACTCGTTCTGTGTCCTTAGTAAGAACAACATTCCAGTGCTTGTCCTCAAAGACCAAAAGGATATTGCCCTTGAAATCACAGTGACAAACAATCCGTCGGACCCGAGAGATCCTGAGGCAGATGGCGAAGACGCCCACGAAGCTAGACTCATAGCTACCTTTCCAGATAGCTTGACTTACTCTGCTTTTAGGGAGCTGAAAGCCTTTCCGGTAAGTACTGTTTCCATTTTAAAAAAGCATTTCAGGAAAACGCATCGTAAACTTTATCAGGGAAATCACATTGGTGAAAGACAGGACTCCACAATGTCATCTCGTGTCGCCATGTTATAATGCACGTAAAATGCTTTTTCTTTGCTAATGAGTCCCAGGTGATGCGGACGTTCAAAGAACCTTTTTGTTATTTCATTTAACTCTTTGCATTGAAATATCGATCTCTTTTAACTCAGGAGAAACAACTGACCTGCGGGGCTAACCCAAATGGCTCTCAGGTAGACTGTGAACTTGGAAATCCTTTCAAGAGAAATTCTTCCGTAAGTGGTTTTTTCTTCTAGAGCCAATGCTTGGTACCTTGGCTTTCGAACGTAATACGTTCTGGAAGACCATTTGACTTCCGAAGCATTTGAAAACCGAGGCACAAAGGCCTGTTGGCAAATTCAGTTGAGAAAATTGAAAAATACGCAGCAGAAGCCGTTGGACTTCCGAGGCGTGTTCGAAAATGGAAGAATTTACTTCCGGGTTTTTGGTGTTCGGGTTCCTAAACGTTCGTCAACGGAGACGTTGGAGAACCGAGCTTCCACTGCATTTTAAAACCAGTGTTTACTCAACATCTGATAACTGAAATGTGCTCCTTTTCTTCCAAGCTAAAATCACTCCCCCCAAAAAGCTATTGTATTTTTCTGTGTATAAAACGTCCCCATGTATAAGATGACCCCTATTTTTTTTAACGTAAGAATTTAAGTTGTTTAGCTTTTTGTGGTGGGGTGGGGGAGGTCACTCCCGCCAATCGCTCACCCGCCTCCCTGCCACTGCTGCCTGCTTGCCACAGCCACTGCCGATCACACACCTTGCCACAGCCGCCAATTGTCTGCTCACTTGCCATCACCAACATCCCACCCGCCCACTTGCCGCAGCTGCCAATCACCTGCCCACTTGCCACAGCCAATCGCCAACAGGCCTTGCCGCAGCCACCAATCACCCACCCAATCGCCGCTGCCAATCTCCTTCTCTTGCTGCTGCCGTTAATCGCACGTCCCCCCTCTGCTTTCACTTTATAAGACGACATCCAATTTTTGCCTATTTTTTTAAAAGCAAAAAGCATCGTCTTATACATGGAAAAATACGGTATTCATTAACCATCTAGTCAGGACAGAAACTTATAATAGCAATCAAAAGTAACGTGAAGGAGCATCTTACAGTTGATATGTCAAAGAAAAGATCGGAAACAATGAAGCACAAAATTAGGGCATTATATTTATACCATATGGGACGTGGGTGGTGCTGTGGCTTAAACCACAGAGCCTAGGACTTGCCGATCAGAAGGTTGGCGGTTCAAATCCCCGCTACGGGGTGAGCTCCCGTTGCTCGGTCCCTGCTCCTGCCAACCTAGCAGTTCGAAAGCACGTCAAAGTGCAATTAGATAAATAGGTACCGCTCCGGCGGGAAGGTAAACAGTGTTTCCATGCGCTGCTCCGGTTCGCCAGAAGCGGCTTAGTCATGCTGGCCACATGACCCGGAAGCTGCACGCCAGCTCCCTCGGCCAATAAAGCGAGATGAGCGCTGCAACCCCAGAGTCGGTCACGACTGGACCTAACGGTCAGGGGTCCCTTTACCTTTATTTATACCATAGTAAACAGAGGAACCCAAACCCCGGCCAGGCATCGGGGGGCATGATGGATTGGCATAGCCATCACTGCACCTGCAGCCCTGTTAACTCATGCCAGCCAAAGTGGGAGGCAGGAGAGACCAAAGCTGCCTCTGGGGCACATAGGTCTGGAGTTGGCATGGTAATCAAGTGATGGAAGTGGGACTGGCTCCTGGGTCTGTCTCCATCCCTGGAATGCCTTGTGGGGAAAACAGGGATTCTCCACCCTTGGAGTGATGGCAGAGCTCTTCCCTCTGCTCCAGCTTGGTGTCCCCTGAACACCATTTTTTAATAAAAAAAATAAACATCTTTATTGAAAGTTCATAAAGTACATAATTATATGTGTACTAAACATGGTGAGACATAAATAAAAGAGAGAGAAAAGAAACAGAACCCACGTAGAAAGGAAAATAAAGGGGGGGACCCAAACTATACTTTAAAGGTAAAGGAACCCCTGACCATTAGGTCCAGTCGTGGCCGACTCTGGGGTTGCGGTGCTCATCTCGCTTTACTGGCCGAGGGAGCCGGCATACAGCTTCCGGGTATGTGGCCAGCATAACTGAGCCGCTTCTGGCGAACCAGAGCAGCGCACGGAAACGTTGTTTACCTTCCCGCCGGAGCGGTACCTATTTATCTACTTGCGCTTTGACGTGCTTTCGAACTGCTAGGTTGGCAGGAGCAGGGACCGAGCAACGGGAGCTCACCCCGTTGCGGGGATTCGAACCACCAACCTTCTGATCGGCAAGTCCTAGGCTCTGTGGTTTAACCCACAGCGCCACCCGCGTCCCAAACTATACTTTACAAGGTTGTTATTGTACTTCACCAGATCTTCACCTATTTCAGTATCTGTAAGAATGGATTCCAAATATCATTGAATTTGTCCAGGGCAAGTCTGCATTCATATGCAACTTGTTCATATGTTGTGAGTTTGTGTAAGTCTTCAATCCAATCATAGAAGGGAGCCGCATTTTTATTTTTCCAATTATCAAAATCAGTCTTTTTGCTGTGGTCAGGGCACCGAGAGTCCATTCATATTGCCCTTTCGTAAGGTTCCATGTGCTGGGTATATCATTCAAGAGGGTATTTTGCTCTGTAAATGTAAGGCTGTTCCGTACAGTTCTGTTGATAGTTTCAGTTACCTTCTGCCAAAAATATTTCAGTATAGGACAATGAAAAAACATATGTGGCCTAAACACCTTGCTGAACATTTCATAGTCAATTCAAGTATCTAGCCAATGACTGCCAGCCCCTTAAAGCATCTATCAGAATTACCTATCTAGTACATAAAGCAAAAATTGATATGTCTCTAATATATTAATCACTTTGCATTTATTCCATTTCTCAGGTTACATTCTACGTGATTTTAAGTACAACTAAAGTTAATGTCGATACCAAGGACTTGGACATTAATCTGAAATTGGAGACGTAAGATTTATTTATTTTTAAAGGCATTAGTTGCTTTTTCTAACGTTTGTAAATATTCTGAAATGGTTGTGACTTGGTTGTGAATGCGGCGTAATTATGACATGGAAATGGTTAGTGGTTTTAAAAACAAAGCAGAAAAAAACAAGTGTCCTTTTGTTTCCTTTTTGTTGCAGAACAAGCAATCAAGTTAATTTAGATCCAATTACCGCTAGTGCTAAAGTAGTTATTGAACTGCTTTTGTCACTCACAGGGTAAGTGTCTTATATTTAGCATAACAAATCAATGCTAGAGACAATCCTTTTGTGATGGCCATTAAAATGTGATGTTTCTTTTAACAATAGGGTGGCTAAGCCTGCCCAGGTGTACTTTGGAGGCAACGTCATCGGTGAAAGTGCTATGAAATCTGAGGAGGAAATTGGCAGCTTAATAGAATATGAATTCAGAGTAAGTTGATATATATATATGAAGGAATAGTTCTAGCACCTTCATTACACATCTTTAGGCGCAAAGCGAAAACGTTCCTTTTCAACCAGGCCTTTGACTTGTTGACATCTGATGTCTTTTTAAATGTGCAGATGTGTGTGTGTGTTATTGGTTTGTTGTTGTTGTTCCTTTTACAACGTATTTTGTTTTGTAATGTTATCAGGGCCAGATTTAGGTTTGATGAGGCCCAAAGCTACTGAAGGTCATGGGGCCCTTTATATGTCCAGCTTTCCTTTGTCAACAACAAATTGTTGCTGTTTTTGTGTGTTGAATATATGGTAATTTATGGACCTAATAGGTATCCAAAGCCATTTGGACATGTTGCCGTGCCACCAGTCCATGCAGAATGCAGGCACCCTCTATATAGAAATGAGCAAACCAGTGATATTTTAGGGAGCAGGCTAGCAGGCGGGGCCTATTACTTACATCATAGGAACCCACACAACACAAAACACTGTTGCTGTATGTAGGTTTTATTTTATTTGTTTTTTTATCTTACGTTTTGGAAATGTACATCCAGATTTTTTTCCTTTAACTTTTTGGGGGTCTCCAAGAGAGTGGAGCCCTAAGCTATAGCTTGTTTTGCTTATACGGAAATCCGGCACTGAATGTTATGTTGGGAACTGCCCTGAGATCTGGAGATGAAGGGCGATATGCAAAAAACCCACAACCAATATCGATAATGTCTTGTTGCATGAGAAAATGCATGCTTGTTTTGTTTTTAATATTCTTGACAGATAATTAACTTGGGCAAGCCACTGAAAACATTTGGCACTGCTTCCTTGGACATCCTGTGGCCAAAAGAAATCAAGGGAGGCAAATGGCTGCTGTATTTGGTATCTATCAACTCCAAAGAGTTAGGAGAAGTCCAGTGCGAACCTCGGAATGAAATAAACCCTTTGGGAATTAAGGTAAATTAAGCGTTGCCTGTCCGAACATTGCAGGGATTTATTGCAGCTCTTGGCAACTGGAAGAAGGCTGTATGTTGTTGTCTTTGCAAGAGTGCCTGAGAAAAAGTGCATATAGGAAATTGGGTGGTGATGCTGCTGTATATACTTTTGACAAACCTGCAGAATTCAGTTCTCCTGCATAAATCCTGCTCCAACTACTCAGCTGTGTTAATCTTTTAAATCTTCTATAGCAGGGGTGGCCAACTCCCAAGAGACTGTGATCTACTTACAGAGTTAAAAATGGGCAGTGACCTACCCCATTTTGGGGGGTTCAGGTCAAAGTTCCTGAGCTTTGTTTAGGGGAGCCGAAGTTGTTTAGCATCTTTGTGGGGAGTCGGTGATCTACCGGTGATCTACCACAGACGTCCCGTGATCTACCAGTAGATCACGAATCTACCTGTTGGATGTGCCTTTACTATAACACACTTCTTTAAAAAAAGATCCGACTGCATTTATATCCCTGTTCATTTTTATAGATGTCTCGAAGTTCAAGGACAAAACGTCAAGTCGCAGAGAAACAGACAGAGGGTGGCAAAAGCTTTTCTTTGTTTTCAGAAAGAAAATATAAGACTTTGGTAAGCATTTGCCTTAACCTGTTACCAGCTGCTTTGTATGCCTCTCTCCCCCTTTATTTTCCAAATTAGTCCCTTTATTTTCCAAATTAGTCATCAAGTATTTATGCAGGGAGATATTAGGCCTAAAGATTATGAATTCCTGTTGAATAATTTTATTGAGTTACATGTAACACGTATTTTAAAAATAACTGTTGTTTTGAAATTTAAAGGATTACAGTCGCTTGTCACCTTAAAGATGACCACTTTTATCTGGACATAAATGTTTGCAGATTAGAGCCCAATTTATTAGTGGGCACTAGTCTGTGACAGTTTACGTCCTAATAAAATGATCCACAAAGTAACTGGCTGTGTTTAACTATATAAATTCTTTATACATCATATAAACATAACTCTTTTCACATTATCTAACCGAGTAGAAGCAATAAGGACCAACATTTAGAACAGGAAATAGAAATAGATCAGTTCTTATATACGTAATGTCCAAATAGAAGCTTTTGTGTTCCACGTATGTACGAATGAATCAGATGTGAACCATACTTTCCAAAGGCAGATGTGGAACATTACAAAGAAAAGATAATCTTTTGCAAGTACTGCTCCTTAAAGTTGTTACGTTTGACACTTGTATTCGTTAAGACATACGTGGAACACAAAAGCTTCTATTTGGACATTACGTTTAAAAAAACTGATTCATTTCGACATACGTGGAACACAAAAGCTTCTATTTGGACATTACGTATATAAGAACTGATCTAGTTATATTTCCTGTTCTAAAAGGTTTCTTTGTTCCCTTTGGCTGCAAAACAGCACATTTGGCAGAAACATTGGGTATTCACCTTAAAAGTATGCACTTAAAAAAAAGTTTTGCGTATTTAATGCAGGAATGTAACAAGGAGGCAAACTGTGTCACCATAAGATGCCCACTACAGGGACTGGACAGCAAAGCATCTGTTGTGTTGCGATCAAGACTGTGGAATAGCACTTTTCTAGAGGTATGCTCTGTTAACTTGTCTTAGATAGATTCCCTGTTCAGGGAAGTTTTTAATGTGTGACATTTTAATGTATTTTTAATCTTTGTTGGAAGCCGCCCAGAGTGGCTGGGGAAACCCATCCAGATGGGTGGGGTACAAATAATATATTGTTATTGTAATTATTATTATTTGGACCACCTCTTTTTATTTTACCTAATCCAAATCTTTCTTTCTTTCTTTCTTTCTTTCTTTCTTTCTTTCTTTCTTTCTTTCTTTCTTTCCTACCCCGCTTTACCAGGAGTACTCTAAAATGAGCTACCTAGACATTGTCCTTAGAGCAACCATCAGCATCGCTGCGGCAGATAACATTAAGCTGGCAAACGAAGCTACTGATGTGAGTCTGTGACATTTCTTTTAACGATGGAGGCCGTACGTTTCGTAGGCAGGGAGGGAACTGTTCCTTCGGGCACAAGGCACGCAGCCTTGTGAATCGTCTTTCAGCCTGAGGGCGGAATTCCCTTCTGGCTGATTTCCCATATATGTGGTGGGTGGGGCCAGGGCAAAAGTGGATGGAACCACAACTGTAAATCTCAACTTTTTACAGTGGGCTGATTTCTGCACAGACGCCTGCATTGCAGGGAATTGGACCACCTGGGTCCCTTCTAACTCTACAGTTCAGTGAGTCTGTGCAACTCAGTCCAGGCAAGCAGGAAGCACTGTTGGTAGTGCAAGGATACAATCCAGCCTGGCAAAGACACCCGAGGAGGCTGCATAGCAGGGGGAGTGAGAAGGGTGTAGCCTGGAGCGAGGGGGTGTGGATGGCGAGAGCCAGATAGAGCTGCTTCCCCCCGCCAAATAATATTTATTATTTTCAGTAAATAAACATAGTAAAGAAAGAAAAGATTAACAATAATAAAGACAAACAAAAAAGAAAAGAGAAAAAAGAAACATACAACATATTACCACTTAATTAATTAAAATTAAGTACAGTGGTGCCTCACAAGACGAAATTAATCCATTCCACGAGTCTCTTCGTCTTGCGGTATTTTTCGTCTTGTGAAGCACGGCTATTAGCGGCTTAGCGGCTATTAACGGCTTAGCGGCTTAGCAGCTATTAACGGCTTAGCGGCTTTAAGAAAAAGGAAACAAACTCGCAAGAACTCGCAAGACGTTTCGTCTTGTGAAGCAAGCCCATAGGGAAATTCGTCTTGCGGAACGACTCAAAAAATGGAAAACCCTTTCGTCTAGCGAGTTTTTCGTCTTGTGAGGCATTCGGCTTGCGGGGCACCACTGTACCATCCATCTTCATAAACATAGTATTTGACTTCCTCAAATCTTTTCCATCCGAATTTCTTAGTAATTATATGTAGCAGTTTTCAATATCAGTGTTTCAAAAGACCATATCACAGTCCTAATCATATTACATAGCTTTCCTTATCATACATTTTCTTATTTATAAATTTAATTCCATTTTAATCCTAGGCCTAATTGTTTCTTTCAAGTGATTACATATCTTTAATATTACAATATTTATTCAAGTAGTCTTTAAATTTCTTGATAGAGCTGCTTTTCAGGGCTGCATTTGCCCCCACCCCACCGAACCTATGATTTCCCACTTTGCTGTAGACCAGGGTTTCCCAAACTGGGGTCTCCAGCCATTGTGTGGACTACAACTCCCATCACCCCTAGCTATCAGGACCCAATGGTCAGGGATGTTGGGAACTGTAGTCCAAAAACAGCTGGAGACCCAAGTTTGGGAAACCCGATTGCAGACAATACTGAGCTAGATAGCCCGATGGACTTGCTTGGGTATAAGATAGCCTTCCTACGTTCCTACTTTTAGTTGCTAGTAATAAACCACCTGAAAAACGGTTTAACACTGCCCACTATGATTCCATTGCTCAAAAGGATGCAGATTTTTAAAGTTCAGCACATTGTGCCAAGCTATCTTCTCGAGACACTGACATCTATGTATTTTCCCGATCTGTAGGTGCGGGTGACGGTCTTCCCTGCAAAGACGGTAGCTCTGTATAAAGGGGTGCCTTGGTGGATCATCTTAGTAGCTATTCTCGCAGGCTTGTTAATGCTTGCTCTGTTGGTATTCTTGCTATGGAAGGTGAGTTGTTTTACTAATATGCTGTTTTAATATGTGCTCCATACTTCATGGGGTTGTTTTTTTTTTACAGGTGGAAAGATACCACCATCCACTTAGTATAGGGAAATGTCTTTCCTTTGGTTGAGATGTTAAGTGAAACAACTTGCCTAAGCAAGCAAGTAGTAGGATTAAAAAACCAGTTTTAATGTTATAATTATTTGTGCTGAATAATACCTGGTGATAATTTTAAACTCATGCGCATTTTGTTTTTTTGTAGGATAGCATTTATCTTCATAAGATGTCAAAATAGTATTTATAACATGAAAATTAATTTTGAGACTTGTTATTAAATGGGGAAGCGATTCCTAATTTTAAAATAAATATGCATAGACATGACTCAATCTCGTTAGGATTGAACGTTGGCACTGAGGCTATTTTTTTTAACAAAGGACAGGATTCTGAAATTAACCAAGATCATAAAGGACACCACATGTAATGCTAAGCCAAACCATAGCTTAGCACAACCAATCAAATGTCCAGATTCCTGGAAAGAATATCATGACTGCCGTGTTCCTCTAATACTGCTCCTTCTGCACTGCTGTGAGATAAGCTATGGTTTGGCTTAGTGTTCCATCTAAATCAGACCCGCGGTTTATCTCCCCCAAACCACAAGTAGCAAGCCATAGAATAAACCTTGACTACTGTTCATGGTTTATCTGCAGCATGATAAATCTTGAGTCTAGATTTGGATGCAACCAAGCCACGCCATGGCTTATTTCACCGCAGCATAGTAGAAACAGAACTGGAGGAAGAACAAAGCAGCCACAATCTTCTTCCCAAGAAACCCACAAATTTTCCCCATTCGTGCCAAGCTATGATTTGGTTTAGCATTTTTCTGTATGAACTGGGCCAGTCTCTTTCATGATCTCGGTTCGCTTCAGAATCCTGTCCTTTGTAGATATGTAATAATAGCCTAGCGTTATGTGTGAACCAGGTCACCATCTTGAGATGTTTTTCACATATCTACATCTAAACACGCTCTGTGTGTGTATGTGTACATGAATGTGCTGCCCCTTGCATCAAAGGATAATTGATAAGCTCGCTATCTAATGGACCCAATCATTCTCTGTGTGAAGTGTTGTTGCCCAGGTGTATGGGGATTCAATATGTCACCCTTTTCACTACCTCAGTGTGCAGGACGATGCCGAGTGCCAAAAACCTTACAGGAAATGGGGGGTTCATGAACACCTCCCACAGTTCTTCCTCTCAGTGCTATTCAGATTATTTGAGGTCAAGGTGTTGAGTTGCCCACACAATAAATGGGACACAGAAATTCGATCAGAAACCGTTTTATACATAGGCCAAAAAAGGGGGGGGGTCTTCACAGTCACTCCCTCTTTAAAACACCCATTTGATTTCTCAGAAAAACGAATCAGGTTTTGTTTTCTGCTAGAGAAAACAAACATTATGTGATTTCAACAGTGCCAGCCTCATGCACGGAGCATTTATATCCGGTTCCCCGTATTTTTTTAAAATTGAATGTTTGCCAGCCTGCTGATAATGTATAATGTATATAACTGAAGGGTAAAACAGCAAGTGACAAAGCCAGCATGGAAAAGTCCTACTGCAAGCAAGTCAGCTTCAAAGGTTATTGTAGAACTGTGACATAAATGGACAGATATTTTAACATGCACATACATCTGGTTCACTTTTTTTCTTTTAGCTTTTCACATTAGTCCGTAACATTGACTAAATGCCTTGCTTCCTTATAGTGTGGTTTCTTCAAGAGAGATAAGAAAGATCATTATGATGCCAAATATCACAAGGCTGAAATCCATGCTCAGCCATCTGATAAAGAGAGGCTTACTTCTGATGCATAGTATTGATCTACTTCTGTAATTGGTAATTGATCAGTTTTTTTTTAATTTGTTAGCTGCTGCGGGACATGCTTTTTGGTTGTGGTGGCTAATGACTGGAAGCTTGCTGCATCTGTTTCCATTAATTGCTGCGTTTTCAAAATATCAATTTGCGCTTGCTTATGTCGTTTATAACCGTCTCTCCCTCTCTCAATGCACGAAGACGCAAATCCTTTCGTCAATTATTTTTAACAGCTGTTTACTTGTGCGTTCTTCCTTGAAATTCTGAAGGCTTTCCGCCTAAGGATGGCAATCCAGCTTCTCAACATGTAGGCTCATGATCCAGGTGACAGATTGTGCCGATGGAGCTATGTTATTCTGCTATGGAAAAAAGGAAATGTTCTAAGGAGTCCCCAGGCTCCGTTCTTCATTGAGAAGATGGCTTCTATCAGGAGCAAACTAGACATGATGTTAAAGGCATCTGCACCCTTCAATATGCAGATTGTAAAAAAATGGAAATAGCATCATCTGGAAAGAAGAGGGGATGATAGATAGACGATCAAAGACCAGCTTGCATAACACAGTAAAACAGTGTTCATAAAGATAAAATATTCAATCAGAGCAGACTGCAGCAATAGCTCATGAGTTAAAACTGAGATATAATACACCCGTACAACTGAGATTTGGGCTACCATAAAAATTGACCCTGAGGCACCCCAAAGGACGACTTCAGCATTTCCCTTGTAAACTATTTTATTCTAGAGGAATGATCTGTGCCTACAAATCTGGGCGCAGAATCTGGCTACCAGCCAGGTTGTCTTGTGATCTTTGCCTAAGAGGAGAGAATTAAGTTTAGACTCATCTGAAAGACTGGTGAGCCTCTTCAGCAAAGGATCAGTGGTGTCTCTACGAATCTCAACATAAAAAGGACACCTGAAAAAATATATGTTCGGGGCTTCCTATTTCCCCTAAAGGAGAGGGGATGATAATTGTCAGGATCCCTCCGTTCTCCGAAGTTGCTGTTCACCTTGGGAGGAAATCCCCACCTGGGTGATTCCTGCACCCACCCTGGTCAAAGCAAATGTGAGCTCCAGAAGAGGGAGGGAGGCAAAGGAGGAATTAGTTAAATTACCCCTTACCACATGCTGCAGTCCCAATAATTATCAGTCCTAGCCCTATGGCTGATGCTAGATATAATTTTTAATACCTTCACATTAAACTAAATGCAAAAATTGAATGTCCTATATAGTTTGGCCCAGTGGCAAGCTTTCCTGAAGGCCACATTGCGCAACCACAATGGATCTTTCTCTGCAATATGCAATAGAGGATTTGATGTGCCCTAAATCAAACTCTAGATCCACATGGACCTATGAGGATTTGACCTCCTGCCCCATGTTAATGCGTGTGGCTCCTAGGACATGTCTGAGAATCCTCTGCAAGGTGCTGGGATTCTGTAGGTGCCTTAGAGGTAAAGTGCTGTGGAAGGGAAATTGTGGAGCCAAGCTGCCATTCATTGGCAAACAACGAGGAGCTAGGTAACTCCAGCTCGCTCACCTAGATATAGGAGCATTTTCAGATGTGAGGCTTGGACAGCCTTGGAATCTCCTGTGCTGTTTTGTTTGAATGTGAGTTGATAGCATGAGAGAGAAAGCAGGAGAGACCTGAATAGAAATGAGCACCGATCCCAACTTTAGCTTTCCCACTAAAAAATGAAGCAAGAAGCTCTAAGCCTGTGTGTGTGGGAAAATGGTTTTCTTCCACCGACTGTGGTGCAAGTTTTCATATAGGTAGTTAATGAAACTATTAGAGGTGGTTCATTTAAACCTGCCTGTGGGTTCTTTCAACATTAAAAACAATCGTCTGGCATTAGCATTTTAAGGTTTTACTTCCCCAATCCATCACATAGTTAAAGCTGCAATCCTGTACCCATTTACCTGGGAGAATGCTCTGCTGAACTGAGTGGGACTTTAATCTGAGTAGACATGTATACGATTGCGGTGTGTGTGTGTGTGTGTGTGTGTGCGCGCATGTGCATCTGGACTGTGGGCTGTGATTGCAGTCCACAACAATTAAATCAATGTGAGATTTGACATAGGCTTCAATATAGCATGAGCCATACCATATATAGATTGTAGGATTCTAGGTATGTTTTGCTCCTGCGCTCAGAAGTTCAATAGCTCTATTAACCACTAATGCATGCCGAAAGCCTTTATTGCTGGTACTGCTTTTTCTCGTAAAGGGCTGTTCTCAATTTGTCAATTTCTGTGGGAAGTGTATGGTAAATTTTGAACTTCTGTTTTCTATCCTTAAATATGCATTTCTCCTCTGAAGCTTGCCTTCTGCATGATGCCGTGTGCTGCTGCGAAACCTGAAGTCATATTTAAGTAAATATTGTATTCTGCTTGCTGGATCGCCAGGACAACCACTTTGATCTTTAATGTGCAAAAGCATTACCTCTAAAAGAAGCTGAAATGAGTCATTTGTCAGACAAAACGAGCATTTATCTTAGGTTCTGAGTGTTGAACAATCTCAAGACTCAGGCACTGAGGTGACGGATGGATCCAAAGGCCTATGAGCACCTAATAATAATAATAATAATAATAATAATAATAATAATAATAATTTATTTATATCCCGCCCTCCCCAGCCGAAGCCGGGCTCAGAGCGGCTAACAACAATAAAATATTACAGTGGTACCTCGCAAGACGAATGCCTCGCAAGACGGAAAACTTGCAAGACGAAAGGGTTTTTTGTTTTTTGAGCTGCTTCGCAAGACGATTTTCCCTATGGGCTTGCTTCACAAGACGGAAACGTCTTGCAAGTTTGTTTCCTTTTTCTTAACACCGTTAATACAGTTGCGACTTTACTTCGAGGAGCAACTCATAGAACGCGGTGTGGTAGCCTTTTTTGAGGTTTTTAAAGACTTTGGTGATTTTTGAAGCTTTTCCAAAACTTTTCCAACACCGTGCTTTGCAAGACGAAAAAAATCACAAGACGACAAACCTCGCGGAACGAATTAATTTCATCTTGCGAGGCACCACTGTACAGTAATCTGGTGCCCATTTACCATGAGTGAAAAACCGGAGGCAAGATAATGCCTGCGGATATTTGTGCTAATTCCCTGTATCCATTGGTGGTCTTCAGATCTCGTGAGATTTGCAGAAACCAATCAGAAGCACCATTAAGCAGAACATTCAACATGCTGAACAGTGAGATCCCCAGCCAAGCTCAGCTTGAGAGACTAGAGAAAAAGGCCCTTCCTGCGTGGCATGCACTCTCAAGACCGACAGGTCCCAAAGTTCTTGCAGGCATTCCTCATACGTAGGCGAGAGGAACCAGCAGGGCCTGTCCTTAGAAAAACGGGACATCTCAAGGACATTGAGATCCCAGGGAAACTGGCGATGAGATTTACAGGCCCATGGAAGTAAACGAGTTAGGCTTCTGGCCTCCAGAGTGCATACCCTGTTTCCCCGGAAATAAGACTGTCTTATATTAATTTTTGCTCCCAAAGATGCACTAGGTCTTATTTTCAGGGGATGTCTTATTTCTCCATGAAGAAGAATACGGTACACATTTATTGTTGAATAAAAAAAAGGAAATTTATTACCTGTATACGGTACAACACCTTACGGTAGTTTCGGAGGCCTTATATTCCAGGGAGGCCTTATACAGTGGTACCTCGGGTTAAGTACTTAATTCGTTCCGGAGGTCCGTTCTTAACCTGAAGCTGTTCTTAACCTGAAGCATCGCTTTAGCTAATGGGGCCTCCTGCTGCTGCCGCACCGCCAGAGCCCGATTTCTGTTCTTATCCTGAAGCAAAGTATTTAACCTGAAGCAGTATTTCTGGGTTAGCGGAGTCTGTAACCTGAAGCATATGTAACCTGAAGCGTATGTAACCTGAGGTACCACTGTATTACAGCGAGAGGCAAAACTGGAAGTAGGTCTTATTTTCGGGCGATGTCTTACTTTCGAGGAAACAGGGTAGAATAAGCAAGGCTCCCCACCCCCCGCAGGGATGGAGAACAGTGCCTACAGGGCATTTCTCTCTTGTGTATTATTAATTATTTGTCTCTTGTGTATAATCAACGCATGCCCTACTGTCGTGTCTGGCGGCTGCAAGTAGAAATCGGGCAGCTGGGGGCGAGAGTCAGCATTCATACCAAGCTAGGAGGGAAGGCACTGGGAAATAGCAAGGCTGAACAGCCTCACTCTTCCACCGAGTAGGATGTAGCTTTGAGCTTCTGTGAAGTGAGAAGGTCGATCCCTTCTCTCCCTTCCTCCCTCCCAAAGTTCTTTGGAAAAGTGGGGAGCCTTGCACAAGAGAAGTTTTCACTGCTGGATGACTTTTGACCTGGTCTTCATCCCCTTACTTCATCTCTTGTGAATCCTCAGTTTGTGCTAGAGCAGGCATAGGCCAACTCGGCCCTCCAGATGTTTTGGGTCTACAACTCTCATCATCCCTTGTTAACAGGACCAGTGGTCAGGGATGATGGGAGTTGTAGTTTCAAGACATCTGGAGGGCCGGGTTTGCCTATGCCTGTGCTAGAGAGTTGGGTTTTTGTTTTTTGGAGGGGGGGGGAAGAGTTAGGTTTCTGCCTTTCTATCCAAACTGGCACAAAGTGAGATGCCACTCCCCATTCTGCCCACCTCACCCCCAAGTTCTGATATGCAGAACTTGAAATGAATATTTTGCTCTGTTTGTCACTTAAGAAATTCCTCACCACCACCAGAGACCGTATTTGTGAGACCTTGGCTCTACAGGGAACTGTTTTCATAGTTTACTAATAGAGGATTATTAAACCAGAATCCACAAACTCACCTTTTAGCTTAAAAACATACAGAGTATAACTATGTTGGCTCAACTTTTTTTCTTTTTTTAAAAAAGTATTATTTTTATAAGGTAGATTTGAGATCAATGGAAGTGATTTCTATTTATCTGCTTGGATTGCGCTCTTTGCCGACTCCTCCTGCTGCTGCTATATTTGGGGTGCTGCATTTTGCCTGTTCTCCTTAAAGGAAGGCTTGTCTGTGTTCTGCCGGCGCAAAGACGTAACCACACATCTAACTCCTATCTTGGATTTCCTTCCCCTATAGTGTGGGTTCTTCCAGCGTTCCAGGTACGATGACAGCGTCCCACGCTACCACGCTGTAAGAATTCGGAAAGAGGAGAGGCAGATCAAAGAAGGAAAAACTAAAGAGAATTATGCAAAAAAACAGTGGATCACAAAATGGGATGAAAACGAAAGTTATTCCTAGGGATCACCCCTGAACTGAAGGCTCATTAAATTAAAAAAAAAGTGTATTTGATTCACATGATGGAAGGATGGAAGTCCTATGTAGAGAAACAGCTGCCTTAAACAAAATATTGTTACTTCTATACGAAAGCATTTTTTTGTTTTACAGACCTAACTTTTAAGACTGCTAAAACCAATCTACATGCCTTATCTAAAATGTCCAATGTTCAAAAGCCATTTCAGTTTTAATCGAAATTATCAGGCAGGAAAGGAAGAGGGAAGAGAGTCTGTAGAGGCAAAATAATCTCAGGCTGCTGTGTCTCTGTCTGAAATGGTCGAGCCAATTGTGTGGGAGAGCCGATTGTCCAAGAGCTAAATAGAGATGAAGTAGCCTGAGATATGTGGCTTATTAGAACTCTCCTGCGAGAATTTGGAGTGTGCATTAGTTTGAACTGCATGTTCAGTCCTGTCTCAACCTGGCTAACCTTCTTGCCCTGTTTTCTTGCAAACCTGAGCAGCTAACCTATGAAAGATACTATGATCATTTCCCTAAACATGGGTGCTCCTTAAGATTTCAGTTCATTGGTCTTTTGTTATTTAAATCTGTGTCTTGGTAGAAGGGGATATCGCCTTGCATGGAACGCAATGCCACTTTTTGTGTGAGGAGAGTCCAGCCACACAACACTACACAGACACATATATGGTATGAGACTTGAGTGTGACAGAGTGGCATTGCCTACCTCTCCCATTTGTGGTTGCAACTTCCCAGTGGTAGCAAGCCAAGCATTAACTTTGGAACATGCTTTATATTCCCTGGTTTTTAGGGGCATCCCAGCCCCCCCAAAAAACCTGGAAGATACTCTCTCTTGCTCTCATGCATATGGAAGCTGGTTGTAAGTATTCACTTGCGAGAGACACTCTGCAAATGGTCGCAAGTTTATTCCTTCCCATTTCTAGGATTAAGCCATGGCACTGAAAATAGATTGTAAACTTTAATGGGGGTCTGCTAAAATCAAACCTTTCACTTTGCCCATGTAAAGTAACGGGTTCTTTCATTTTGGGGGGAATGTATGGCTTGGATTTTGAAAGGCTTTTTTTGTTTTTGTTTTGTAAAAAAACAAAACCCCACATGCAACAGAAGCAAACGTTTCCTGACATTTTGTCAAGCTTTCGTACATTTGGTTGATTGTTGGGTTTATTTGTTTTTTGTTTCTGCCAATACATGTGTATGTGTTCTTGTAAAAAAAAAAGTATGCATTCAAGAACCGATGCAAATTGGTGTGGCTAAATTTCTAAAGGAGAGGTGAAGCTTAGCTTTGTCTGGAAGTCATATTCACGCAAAAGCCATTCCTTCTGTCTATGAATATATGGAGAGTAGGCGATGTTTCTCAGTAGTGAGAGCATGGCGCTTTGCATGCGTTTAAATAGGGTTGCCACATTACCCAAAGCTGGGTTTTTTTAAGCGTTTCTTTTTTTAAAAAAAAAGCCCTCCTTGCCATATGTCCAGGTTTTCCCGATTCATTTTGCCACTTCAGGAAATATCCACCCTGACTCCATTTTGCAACCCAATTCCCACGTGTCCACGGAAAACCCGGACATATGGCAGCCCTAATTTAAAGGCACTCTTTCCTTTCACTACTGTACTGATCCTACTGTGGCAAAGGGAGGGGAGTTTTAAAATTACTGCCCTGCCACCCGAAAAATCATCACCCACCAAAATGCATAGCCGCATTGACATGTGTACGTCAGGTAATTTTGAAATCTCCAACAGTGCAATCGTATACACGTCTACTCAGGAGCAGGTCTTGTTGAGTTTCATGGGTCTTACTCCTAAATAAGCATCTATACGATTGCACCCTAAATCTGCTAATTCCTTGTCCTAACTCTTGTGCGCAGCCATGGTAGCCAGCATTATCTTAAAATGTGCAATAGGCCATCTTTCAATCATGCTTTTTAAAGATCAGTTTGTGTGCCCCTCTTGCTCACCCCAAATATACACAGGTTTGTTTTTCAAAGCTTGAATATTGGTTGTACTTTTTGTATATACTGTAAGTCATTCCTATATATTTATTTTTACCATAAATCTTTGTCTTTGACTAACTGTTAAGCCAAAGATTTTCTTTTTTTAATGAACTTTAAATATAGTGAGCAATAGTGTGTAAGAGTTCAGGGTTTAAGACCGAACACTTTCCACCAGATGTGCCAATTCTTAAACCTTTGGATACCAACGACTAAAACATTCTTGTAAAATCCTTCTTTATACATATTTCTGATTGTGTAATAGAGGAAGTATTGTATCTTCAGAATAATTTGTGCACTAATGCATACCTGCAGATGTTTTATCGATAGAAGTTTTATATGACTAACTTATGTGGCAAGTGTCCCATGGGTGGGTGGGGGGACAGGGGGGAGGTTTTCTAGCTTTGTATTTGCAACAAGATCAACTACTGCAAATGTTATCGCACTTGAAACAAAGGATAAGCTACGAATAAATTTAACTATGGATCTTCACCGGTCCAATTTAAGACTACTGACTAAATGTCCTAAATACCTAAATTTTGATTTTAAGAATAGTTCCATACAGTTTGATACTTGTGATTGTAACCAAGGTATTTGCTGTTGTTGTTTTTTAAGCTACATCTCTATATATTAAAAAAGCCCTCATTGGTACTGATTAAGCAAGGATCATAAATGTGCTGTAACATTTACTATATATGAAATATCAACCGAAGCTTTAGTATGTGCAGATAGTTTGAGATTGGGTGAAAACTATGCAAACTTTTAAATATCTATCGTCAGGGACCAGACTCTATATGCCTTACAGTTACACTACAAAAATAAATAAATAAAAATAAATCACTAGCTGCTGGTGATTATTGTCCTTTCCAAGGCTGTCAAGTTCAACTTCTTTCATTCCACCTTGATCTGGAATCACTCAGTCAGTAGAGCACGAAACACTTAATCTCTAGAGTTGTGGGTTCGAAACCCATGTTGGGCAAAAGATTCCAGTGTGGTGTAGTGGTTAAGAGCGGTAGTCTCGTAATCTGGGGAACCGGGTTCGCGTCTCCGCTCCTCCACATGCAGCTGCTGGGTGACCTTGGGCTAGTCACACTTCTCTGAAGTCTCTCTGCCCCACTCACCTCACAGAGTGTTTGTTGTGGGGGAGGAAGGGAAAGGAGAATGTTAGCCGCTTTGAGACTCCTTCCGGTAGTGATAAAGCGGGATATCAAATCCAAACTCTTCTTCTTCCTGCACCGTTGCAGGGAGTTGGGCAAAATGACCCTTGTGATCTATTTTCCAACTCAAGCCTTCATAGAATCATAGTCTTCGGACCAACCCAAAAAAAGAAAAAAAAAACTCTGACCACGCAGTTTATATAAAAAAGTATTAATTTTCCCCCAAAAAAGCCTTTTTAAAAAATTACATATTTAAACTTATTATTGCCAAACCTCATTTACCAACTCCGGTGCCTTGCAACATATTCCACCAAATACTGCTGCTTTGTCTCAGCTAAACAGGGTCTCTTACAAGAGCCTCATAGCAGCACTTCTTAAATCATTATCGTTCTGGATCCCACAGCTATGGGCTTTGAAACTTGAAAAGGCAGAACTTTAAAACACTACTGCATCTTCTCATTAAAAAAACATACAATTGTAATTCTGGTGCCTTGTCAAAAAAAGTGGGGTGCAAATCCATAGGCAATGGTAAATTAGGGCTGGTCTTTATAATATAAAGTGTCATTTCAAGTCACGTCACTGGTATATATATTCATTTTATACATTGACTGTCGCTAACATCAAATGTTAAATCACGGCTAAAAATCACCTGTGGATATTTGTATAAAAAGTGTGAAATAAATTTTGTATGAAAAGCTCTTTCTGTGATGGTGTATTGTGTACAACTTACTCGTTTTTTATTTCTGAAAACATGTAACCAATATTAAGTCTGGTTGGGGCCACTCCATACAGTATACAGCAGAAAACGCAAAATCAAAACAGCTAAATTAAAAAAAACAAAACACTTGAGATTCAAATTATAAAATGCTTGGCATAGCAAAAGCTATGCTGTTCTCTAACCAGGGTATTTATGATTGTAGAGGCAAATCCAGAAAACCTATTAGTTTCAGACTCGGATTTAAACCGATTCCACCACTAAAACAATCTAAAGGTAATTCCTCCAATGGAGGATGAGATTCAGGAATCCTTACTATACTATAGAAAACTATACCTTTCCTGTATTAAATATAATTCAATTTATAGATTATATAATTTAGGCTGCAATCCTGTTCATTGCATTGAACATACTTGCTCTTGAGTAACAATGAACAGGATTTTCACTGTCAGCAACTCTTAACAAAACATACAGAATTGTCACAAAAAAAGGATGTTGGACGCATGAGTTACTATGTTACACAACGTGCTATACAATCAAAATAGAATAAGGGGCCAGGCCAAGACAATTACACCAACAAATTTCCTAAAGTGTTTAAAGTACAGTTTATTCCTAGATTAACTTTTATAATTTTCATTTGTATAGAAAGAAGGACATTTCCAGTATGTGCAGGGAAATATCACAAATTATACTATGACCCTGGAAAGAAATAATAAGTGGGGATGCGCAGTGTTGAATGTGGACCACAAAATTCTACCCTCAGTATTAGCAGAACGATTCAAACCATGGACTTTTTTACGCACAAAGATCAGTTAAATGTTTAAAACAACCATCAGCTGAGAGAAAATGAGGGAAATTAGTGTTGTTTCTTTGGCTGATTGACAGTAGGCTGTTGATGCAGAAAAGGCTTTTAATACAACAGAGAGGCATTTTTATGAGGGAAGCTTTTGAGGGAACACTGCATGGGACCAGTTCTGAGAGCCTGGGTAGATTACATAGGGCCACTTTGCTTAGGATTCTGAAAAATGCTAAATTTCACAACTCGGGGGAGGGAGGTAAGGTAAGGTTGCCCATTTTCACATTGGAAGGAAGTCCTAGCCAATTTAGCCTCAGCCTAAATAATGCAATGGATGAACATTGCCAAAAATTTCTGTGAAATCAAAAGCTTTGGGAAAAGATAGAACGAATAATTCAGGGAATTATTTGTGACTACTTTACCAGAATCAACAAGCTTGATTATTAAATATTTTCAGGAATGCAGCAAATGAGGACAATAAGGGGTTGGAGGGCAGGAACAAATCTTTGCAAATCTTGAGTTTTTTTGGAAATTGTTGCTGGGGGAGGGGGGAGCCTGGTCATGTCAGAATTGACACAAATTTAAAAGTGCAGGCAAGTCATGGAGCTCTGAAGGGATTAAAAAAACCCGCATGTATTTTGGAATTATAAATATCCTCAGGAACATGCCTGACTGGAAATCCTGCCAGTGTTGGCTGATTATTTCCAAAAGCCCTTGTTTATACTTACGATCTATTCATTTATAATTTGCAGGGATTTCCTGTATTTAGAACTCGGTCATTTCAAGTCAACTTTTAAACATTGCTTTTGTATGTTCTTTTGTACATTTCTGTTTTCTTACAAGTAAAATATTTTTTTAAGTCCTGCTAAAAAAAAAAAGGAACCTCCTTACAGTTTCAATGGAACATTATTTTTGTAAAGACAGGCATGACTAGGCTGTTAGATACACTGCTATTAAGGGCCCCTCATTTTCAAAGAATTGTGTTTAGGATTACGGCTGTGAAACTTAATCCTATACATGTACATGTGAAAAAGGACTGTAGTTTCACTAATGACAGATCAGGTCCCATGTTGTCATTATACCATTGCATTTGGGAGTTCCAGCCGGTTACGCAGCTATGCACAATATACTTATTAAATTAGCATGAATAAAAAACAATCAGATTTTACATGTCCACAATATAGGAAGCAATTCTGTCACGCTGATTCCACATTTGACAGTTCAGGCAGGTGTCTTCAGCAACCAATAAATGGAAGTGGTGTTTGAGAATTAGCAGCCACTACCAAAGGGAGGAACCAACACACAGATACATGAAAATGGTAGTTATGCAGTAAGGTGTGGGTCTACTGCACTGCAGAAAACGAAGGCCTTTTCACAGAATGTGTATGTATTGGCTATGTAGTACTCAGTGTAAAGGATGGGGGGGGGGAGTACTCAGTAAAACATGCATTATGCTTACTAATAACTAAGATACTGACCAGGTTGGGAAAGTAATCAAAAAAGCAGACTTCAATGGAATAAACTATCACGAAATAACAGTACCTACTACTCAAAATTAATCTTACAATACAATCCTACTCTGCTGAGAAGCGATGTCTAGTGAGAAGTAAATCCAACTGGACTTGCTCTCCGATGTGTATAGGGTTGCATCTTTAATAATGTGCTATAGATTCCAATTCGAACCGCTGCAACGGTTCTGCCAACCTAGCAGTTCGAAAGCATGCCAGTGCAAGTAGATAAATAGGTACTGCTGTGGCGGGAAGGTAAACGGCATTTCTGTGCGCTCTGGTTTCTGTCACGGTGTTCCGTTGTGCCAGAAGCGGTTTAGTCATGCTGGCCACATGACCAGGAAATCTGTCTGTGGACAAACGCCAGCTCCCTAGGCCTGAAAGTGAGATGAGCGCCGCAACCCCATAGTCGCCTTTGACTGGACTTAACCATCCAGGGACCGTTTACCTTTTTTTTACCTTATAGATTCCAATCCTGTCTGCCAGAACCAATTGCTCTAATTAGCGTAGTCAAGTCCAAAAGACAAGGCTCCCACAACGGTAATAGTTAGTGTAAAAAGGGCAGTATCTTCTATATTTTATTTTGCATTGCCTTTTATGTAACTGATAACAATTCATTAGCACTGTTCTGTTTTGCATCTGGTCACCCTACTCCTAACAGTCCTCACCAAGTTCTCTTTTTAATCATGATTGTAAGCATGTTTATGCAGCAGTCCCAATGAATTCAGTGGGCCTTACTCTGTAGTAAGTAGACACATAAATATGCCCTACCATAGGCCAGCCTTGAGTAGAACCTCCCAGAGCAGCAGCCAAAAGCTGTTTTCATGTGGGAACTGGGTGTGTGAGAGTCTATTTATGATGCTATCCCCCACGACTGACACATCTTTAAATAGCTGCAGGCCAACAACAAATGGGAAAGTTTAAACCTTTTTCAAAAAAATAAATGCAATGGTGAGAAAAACCTTATTCATGATTTTTAGCAGACAGAAAAAGGGTGCGGGAATTTCTGTTCTCCCCTTGCAGTGCGTAACATAATCCTATGCATGTTTATTTGGAAGTCCTACTGTATCATAGCTGTCAACCTTCCCTTTTTTTGCGGGAAATTCCCTTATTCCAGCGCTGTTTCCCGCTGCTATCCCGGATTGTTAGATATCCCGTAGACTGTCCCTGGGACAGGTGAGGCTGCTGATCCCTTATTTTCAAATCTGAAAGTTGACAGCTATGTACTATATTTTTCAGTGGGGTTTGTTCCCTGATGTTCAGGATTGCAGCCAAAGTCACTCAAGACTGTACTCCTGTGCACTTAAGAATCATAGAATTGCATTGTGTACATTGCAAAAAAAGAGGGGGGGATTGTTATTGTAGTTAACCACACATTAATCAAATATGGTATTTATAAAAACTGAGAGTACCTTTTTTCCTGTTTTGTTTTCCGTATGGGTTTTATTTCTTGCTTTTTTCCTTCATTTTTGTCTTATCTTACTCTGTGCATTTGCAATTTTGTACTTTTTTATTTTTCAATAAAGAATTAAAAAGAGAGAGAGAATAACAGAATTGTACAGTTGGCCTTACTGGGGAGCACATCCTACTTCTGAGCTCCGATGCGAGGTGCGTTAAAGCTAACCCAATTCTCACTGCCATCCCTGCCAGAGTCGTATCCTGAGTGGCTGGGCCAGAGAGTCTGGGGCAACCCAGTCTGATGGGCGGGGTCCAATAAGAAATAATAGTAATAGTAATAATAATAATATTGTGGGATACCAGCTGCTAAAAGAGACACAAGGCACGCACGCAGCGAGCAGCACCGAAACGCAGCCAAAGAAGCGGGTGCAGGTAGCCAAATCTTTGAGGAGAAAAGGCGGCTCGGACTGCAAGCACCGGACTCCCTCAGGTTGGAGCGCCAAGGAGCTGCTCTTCCGGACCCACCCGCCACACCTTCGCGCCGCCTCGGCCCGCCTCTCCCCCCTCCTTGGCTGGGCGCCGAGAGGAGGAGGAGGCGCTGCTGCTGCCGCTCTTGTCGCCCGGCCCCTTGTCCCTGCCTGGCGTCGTCGCCGCCGCCGCCCACCTCCTCCCTTCTATCTCCGCACAGAGCAGAGAACCTGCCCGGGAAAGCCACCGGCTGTTGGGCTTGCAGCTGCCGAGCCTGGAAATGGCGGCGGGGACGACCTGAAGGGGGCCCAGAACGAGAGCGGAGCGCGCCGCGCCGCAGCTTCCCGTGCGCCTTGCGCGCCTCTCCGCGCCAAGGGGTCGCCATGAGGCTCCTCCGGGCGCTGCTGAGGAGCGTCTCCCCGGCCACTATCCCTCAGCAGGTGGACTTCTACTGCCGCTTCTCCCCGTCGCCCCTCTCCATGAAGCAGTTCCTCGACTTCGGTGAGTGAGCGCCGCCGCCAACCCCTGTGGGAAAGCGCGGCGCCCCCTTGGTTTGCTCGCGCCCTTCCTTCCTCCCAGCGGCCCACCATTTTCTTCTCCCCTTGCAGACCCTGCTTGGGGGTCGGAGGGCGCTAGGCCTCCCCTCGGCGACCCTCCCTCCCTCAGCCATGGCAGGCGCCTGGGTGCGGGCCCGGGACGCGCAGCCAATGGGAACGGGCGTCCTCTGTGCCGCCTCCCTCCGCTCCCATTCGGGTTCTGGGTTTGCAGGTCAGGAGGAGGAGGAGGCCTCGCGTTGTCGCTTCGAGCAAAACAAATCCGACTAGGCTGCTGCTTCCGGAGTTGCCTGAGAGTTCAAATGTAATGCTGCGGCGGCAGGCGCAGAGCTGGAAGGGGGACCCCCAGGCTCATCTAGTGCAACCCCTTGCGGTGCAGGAATGTCAACACGCGGGCGGGGACCCCATCCAAGTTGACCCCGCTTAGCTTTGCAAATAGGCTCGCGCTTTCATTGCAACAGCAGCAGCAGCAACAACAACACATTGCATTCCCGAGGCTGAGTAAACACGCTTGCGGTTGGCGGTGCCAGTTTTAATTAAGAGCTTTCATTAACACGCGCGCCCAAATTCCCTTGCTTAGTGTGCAAAGCGGCTGTTTCCAGCAAAGGGAAATTGCCACGCAGCCACCTTCACAGGCGAGGAAGGGATTCTTCTGGAGTCTGAGCAGAGAGGTGTGATGTTGTGTGCAAAGAATTCAGCTTTATTGGATGTAGCACCTTTCCTCTCTGCTCAGATGTGTCTTAGTAAGTGATGGCCCTTTTTATCCTGGGACAGTTTTCTGTCCTGGTTGTCATTATTGCAGAGGCCTGCACTTCCCAATCATAGTGTGTGGAGTTCTCTTCTAAAGCCAGGATTCCATAATGTTAATTTCTCCCCAAAGTGGACCATATATAAAATGGACTTGTGTTTGTGTGTGTGTGTGAATGGCTACTTTTCCTTATTTATTGCAAGTGGCCCTGCTGAATGTTTTATACAACATGTGCATATTGCATCAGCTAAACTCTACACCCTTATCTGTTGAGAAGCAGTAACGTCCTATGATATCAGCCTGCAAGCGCCAGGTTTATATAATATCTTAAAAACATTTCAGCAATATTGTTCAAATCTAATCTGGTTTGTAGCCTGCCATTTGCCTCAATGTATCTAATTGCAGCACTCTTAACACTACCATGTGTGACATGGCAGCTGATATGTTGTATTCGAACAGTGTACCTGATAGCAGAAACATTATGAAGACTAATTTGGACTTTATGCGATAATTTCGCTTTTGCTAAGTACACCTCCGTGTTTGGTGTTTACAGTGCTCAGTAGCGTAAAAAATGTGAAGGAAAATGCGTATCTCCAAATATTGACATGTATCAGGCAAGTGTGGTGAATGAGCTCTAAATTGAGCATTAGCTAATACTGTGGTGATATTGCTAGGAAATGAAAAAATCATTTTGCCGCTCTTCAAGTGTGGGGTGGTTGTTTTTCTTATAGCAGTTGTGTGTTGTTGGCATTTCAACAATGTTACACAAGAAAAATATATTGCAGTGTCAGTGGCTTCTGTTGCATTGCTCATAGAGTACACAAGGATTTCTGCTAAACTTGAGCAAAGCTACATGCTTGTTTATTGTCCAAATCCCTTTTGATAGAAACCAATGTTACTAATTTAATGCAGACCTCAACCTAATTTCATTGTGGCAGGTGACAGATGAGTCCAAAAGGATGGGAGTAGGGTAGGACGAGGGGGGAATGGGGGAACAGCTCAATTGGATGGAGTAATGGAAGGAAGGTGAAGGTTCATATCTCTAGCAAGAACTATTTGACCCTCCCCTTGCAGCCCACTGGAGGAAGAGAGAAAGAAAAAGGGAGACCTGCCCACTGCCAGGTTGTGGTCCATAACAGATTACCCTCAAGTTGATGTAGGGGTGACTAGAAGTGTATTTTACCAACTTTGGTTGGTTAGGAAGTTACAACCATTTCAGGATTGAGATAGCTTGACCTTGGTTGCCCATGCTCTGGTAACTTCAGAGTTGGATTACTGCAATGGGCTCATGGATAGCTCAGTTGGTTAGAGCATGGTGCTGATAACCCCAAGGTTGCAGGTTCGATCCCTGTAAGAAACAGTTGTATATTCCACAGAGCAGGCCTTTTCATGTGACTGTCCCTGACCTGTGGAATAGAACAGCATCCCTGTTGAATTATGTTCCAATTGGCTTCCCCAGCTGGCTAAATAGTTTTTTACCACCAAACGTTCAGGATTCAGTCATGTTTTGTATGCATTTGCTGTTTTTGTGTTTTTAATTACCTTGTGTGTAAATCGCGTTGAGGCAGTGGTTTAGAAGGTGATAGATAAATTAATTGTCAGAATAAGAATCATTATGTAGCCCTCCTTCACAGGAAAAGGGTTCCCCATTTAGGATTTAAATGTTCCGTGTGTGTGTGTGTGTGTGTGTGTGAGAGAGAGAGAGAGAGAGAGAGAGAGAGAGAGAGAGAGAATGAATAACTACAAATTCTGTCCCCACATTTCCTTCTTCCTCATGAATTTGCACATTTCCATACTTGGCTTCAATGTTCCCTTTATAAAATAACATCCAGTGGTTCTGCAGATATTGTTTGATTCCTCTATTTTTCCCCCTTTAGGATCTGACAATGCATGTGAGAAAACTTCATTTATGTTTCTGCGACAGGAGTTGCCAGTAAGATTAGCAAACATAATGAAAGAAATAAGTCTGCTTCCAGACAACCTTCTCAAAACTCCTTCCGTTCAGCTCGTCCAGAGTTGGTAAGAATCAGTTTTTAAAAACGAAAAGCAAAACTGAACTTGGGTATTTAATAGACACAGCAAGTGATGATAGAAAATGTGAAGTGCCTTCACTTATTTTTTACGTACCTTTGCTGCGTGTTTTCTTCTCACTTGTGAGGAAAGATTTGGAAGCTGAAAGCAGCCCTTTAACCCTCTCCAATGTTATTTTGCTGAGTTAATGATCTCGACTTTGTTAGAAAATGTTAGCAGGAAATGGCTAATAATTTCAGCTAGACTATATATATGACAAAGGCCAACCATGTGGAAATTGTGTTTATAGGTACGTCCAGAGCCTTCAGGAGATCCTTGATTTCAAAGACAAAAGTGCAGAAGATGCAGAAGCTGTTTCTTGGTAAGTGCATTTTAATGCATCTGAATATATTGTGGCAATGGATTCTCTAAATTCTTTGTGTGCAGATGTTATTCTGCTTTGAGAAGATGAGTGTCATCCTTTTATGCCATTGAACAGATGTCTTTAGACTATTCTGAATGAAGAGAAGTCAGAGGTAGACACATTTTTCTTAAGCGTTTAAAATAACAAGGGTTGTTGGACCTTGCTCTGAAAATGATCATGGCTATGCTAACAGAGACAGACCCATACAGTGGTACCTCAGGTTACAGACGCTTCAGGTTACAGACTCCGCTAACCCAGAAAAAGTACCTCGGGTTAAGAACTTTGCTTCAGGATGAGAACAGAAATTGTGTGGTGGCAGCAGCGAAGGCCCCATTAGCTAAAGTGGTGCTTCAGGTTAAGAACAGTTTCAGGTTAAGAATGGACCTCCAGAACGAATTAAGTACTTAACCCAAGGTACCACTGTATTTGAAAGTTCAAATTTTGGTTCAGGTTTTGCTTCCTGGATGATTTGTTGAATAGCAAGATACTTTTTTTAAAAGACCATTTTTTAAATTATTTTTTTGCACTGAATAGTTAAGTGGAAGCTGTGACTCTTGAGCAGGGGTGGGAAAATTTTGGCCCTTCAGCACTTGCATCAGCCCACAGTCAGCATGGTCAGTGGGAGTTGTAGTACAGCAATATATGGAAGACCATAGTTTAGCCACCTAGGGCCTTTAATGTCCCTTAGACCCATTTCACAGAGCGTGCACTTGGTTTCAGTTTTACAGATACTGTGATAACAATCCGGAATCGTCACAACGATGTCATTCCTACCATGGCTCAGGGCGTGATAGAGTACAAGGACCACTATGGTGTTGATCCAGTGACCAGTCAGAATGTGCAGTATTTTTTAGACCGCTTCTTCATGAGCCGTATTTCAATCAGAATGCTTCTTAATCAGCACAGTAAGTACTTCGGTTAATCGCAGAGATGAAACGTATGTGTAGAGCAATTGAGAGTGGTTTTCTTTCAAAGCCAGGGGCTTGTATATGGAGCACCGTGTTTTAGCATTTTCCTTGTCTGTAAATGCCTGCCAGTTTTGTTCTTAAAACAATATATTAATTGTTTGTTCCCTGGATGTAAAAGCTGCTGCTCTTACAGCCCATAAATTGTGAATTCACTTATTATCTTCTTCCATTTGGCAGCTTTGTTGTTCGGGGGGAAAGTCAAGGTCAACCCTGCTCATCCCAAACACATTGGAAGCATTGATCCTAAGTGCAATGTGGTTGAAGTCATAAAAGGTAACATCAGGTAGACTTATCAAGGAAAACAGATGTAATAGCAAATTGTTGGTGGCAGTCTAAACGGGCTGTTGACTGTGTTTAACATCGTTCGTGTTGTCAGTTTTGCTGGTGGTTATAATCAGGACTGTGTGATACTTTGCCAAAAAAGGGGGGGTGGGAATTATTGACAAGTTGACCGAAATTATACATAAAGAAAACCTGAATTATAGAACTTGTAGACAATTTTTGTAATTTAGTCCTAAACTAGAGAGAATGTGTGACTTCACTTACTTGGCTGGAGAGTAAACTCCATGGATCTAAACAGGACTGACAACAGAGTTAACGTGCATAGGATCACGGTTACTTCCCTATTATAGCATGTACCGTATTTTTCACTCTATAAGACACACTTTTCCCCCCTCCAAAAATTAAGGGGGAAAGTGTGTGCGTCTTATGGAGCGAATGCAGGCTCCATGGCGTCAGCGATAGCAACGTGAAGCCTCCAAAGCGCAGTGGGAGCGCTCCGGGGGCTTCATGTTGCTTTCGCTGAAGCCTGGAGAGTGAGAGGGGTCGGTGCACACCAGTCCTCTTGCTCTCCTGGCTTTGTTTCGCTGGAGAGGCGCTGCACAGTTTTCCCTCTCCGCGCAGCGCCCCTTCAGCGAAGCGGGAGGAGAAATGGAAGGGGCTCTGTTTCTCCTGCTGCTTCACTGAAGGGGCGCCGCGCAGAGAGGGAGAGAATTTCTTGTTCTCCCCCTCTAAAACAAGGTGCGTCCTATGGTCGGGTGCGTCCTATAGAGCGAAAAATACGGTATTTGGCTGGTCACCGGGGGGCTGTGAAAGGCTACTGGAAATTTTAATCCGCTCTGGCTTCTGAGAGTTTACCAAACATTGCTCACACACTTTCAAACACGTTCAACCTCAGGGACAATATATTTGACCTTTCAGAAAGCTCTGGAAATTAAAATCTGCATTACCATACACTTTTTCTGTACTTTGCACCGAATCGAGGCTTGCATGCAGCTGTAGTTAGTAACTTGAGTTGTTGTGGCCAGAAATATTCATAATTGGTGTCAGCTGCAGTTGCCAGTTCACTCCTGAACAGTTAAGAACTGGGCTGTCGTTAATCTGTTTCCTGACATTTTAAAAAACTTCCGCCAGGATATTGTGCAGAGCTACGAAGTGTAAACCTTTAAACAAACTTGTTGTGCTTTAATTTTTTTGCAGACGGCTATGAAAATGCAAAGACCCTTTGTGACCTGTATTACATGAATTCTCCAGAACTTGTACTCGAGGAGAGAAACGGTAAGGACAGGAAGTGAAGTGAAGTGGGTTATTAAAGGAAGTCACAAGTCCTTGGCAAGGATTTATCATGCACTGCCTCTCTTTTGTGCAGGTCTCCCTTTTTAGACTGTGTCTGCGGTAGTAGTGCTCATTTTTCCATTGGTTGGGCATCACGTGTGTGATGACTGTCTTGCTCAGTCTGCAGTGCGAACAGGTGCTGCCTCTGGTGCATAGAATGTTAATTGGGTATCCTGGGCACAGCCTTAAACATGATGTGTCTATATATGCCGATTTCATTATAGAAATAAGCTATGGGGGACCTTGGGCAGCTGCAGGTCTCTGCGTCGTGTTTGCACAGTGAAAGAAACGTGTTGCAGGGTTTGCTGTGAAAAGTTCATAGCGTGACCTTGTGAAGTAGCTTTCGGTGTCGAGTTACAAAGGGTCAGCAAACTTTTTCAGCAGGGGGCCGGTCCACTGTCCCTCAGACCTTGTGGTGGGGCTGGACTATATTTTGAAGAAGAAAAAATGAACAAATTCCTGTGCCTCACAAATAACCCAGAGGTACATTTTAAATAAAAGGACACATTCTACTCACGGAAAAACACACTGATTCCCGGACCATCCACAGGCCGGATTTAGAAGGCGATTGGGCCGCATCCGGCCCCCGGGCCTTAGGTTGCCTACCCATGAGTTACACCATGGTTCATAACTGCGCCAGGCACATTTTGTTATGAGACAAACTATCCTACAATGATAACTGCAACAGCTACACTGTGGGCGATACTTTTTCTTCAAATACTTCTTTGAAATGACCCATTTAAGGTTTACTTGGAACTTGCACATTCTGAACACATTTCAGCATGACGCGGGTGGTGCTGTGGGTTAAACCACTGAGCCTAGGGCTTGCCGATCAGAAGGTCGGCAGTTCGAATCCCCACGACGGGGTGAGCTCCCGTCGCTTGGTCCCTGCTCCTGCCAACCAAGCAGTTCGAAAGCACGTCAAACTATTTTTGAAGTTTCAGAATAAATTTGTAATATGGTATTGGGGGCAGAGGTTGCTTGTGTTCAACAAGGGGCAGGTGGGAATCCAAAAATAGCCCTGGATAGATATACAAGCTCTGTTTGGCAGGCCTAAATAAGCTTTTTGAATCTGAGCCATTGTAAACTTCGAAGAGGGCCACACTGTTTAGTCATGCTCAGTCAGGCCTTGCCAAAACTGATAGTTCAGCACTTGGTTGTTGTTTTTTTGTTCCCCTCTTTTTACAGTAAAATCACCAGGGCAGCCCATGCAGGTGGTGTATGTCCCGTCACATCTCTACTACATGGTTTTTGAACTTTTCAAGGTTTGTACAAAACACACACTGATACGTTGTGGATCCTCCTTCTCTGTTTTCTGTTGCCAAACTGTCAAGAGACAAGACAAACACGGCAATTCCTGACATTTGATATGCTGAAAAAAAGAGTAGGGGGGGTAGATCATTTTAAAGACAAGCGCTTGAGGCTTACACACAATCTACTGTCTTGAAGGAGGTCTCTGTAGGTATTCTGATGAGGCCGCAGCACCCTATCTTGCCCTCATGCAAATGCTGTTCTCCTGGTCATACCTGATAATGTCCCACATCTCAGCTAGATGTTTTATTTTCATTCCCTTCAAAAGACTCGGGTGAACATAATCTCATAGGGAAGTAGCCAGTGCACCAAGGAGCCCAGAGAAGGGCAGGCTGATTTTTGAGGCATAGTAGGGCTTCAGGTCATAGGACGTGGGTGGTGCTGTGGTCTAAACCACAGAGCCTAGGGCTTGCCGATCAGAAGGTTGGTGGTTCGAATCCCTGTGACGGGGTGAGCTCCCGTTGTTCAGTCCCAGCTCCTGCCAACCTAGCAGTTTGAAAGCACATCAAAGTGCAAGTAGATAAATAGATACCGCTCTGGCGGGAAGGTAAACGGCGTTTCCGTGCGCTGCACTGGTTCGCCAGAAGCGGCTTAGTCATACTGGCCACATGACCCGGAAGCTGTACGCCGGCTCCCTCGGCCAGTAAAACGAGATGAGCGCCGCAACCCCAGAGTGATCCGTCACTGGACCTAACGGTCAAGGTTCCCTTTACCTTTAGGGCTTCAGGTCAAGCTGTGGTCACCAGGATTGGAGTTGGGCTTAGTACTCAAATGTGGGTCTGCAGATGTTGTTGGATTACAACTCTTATCCTATCCAGGATTGCCATATTACAAACAGTGAAAATCTGGACAGTTGTTGAGGCTTTTGAGGGGAGCAGGCAAAATTGTTAAGCTTTTTTAGTTTTGCCCAAAGTTGCATAGTGTCGCAAAAATTGCCGTTTCTCAGCTATTGTTATGGAAAATCAGGAAAGACGACTGCAGTAACATGGGCTGCCATACATCTGGAATTTCCCAGACATTTCACCTATTCCCACCCACACGCAGTATTCCGGATATTTCCAGGAAATACCGGACATATTGCAACCCTGTCATATCTGACCATTGTCCAGACAGTCAGAAGTGGAGTGTCCCCATGCAGGAACCGGCATTATTCCTCTTATGTTTAGGTGGCAGCTGTGGTCATGGCTGCCTTTTAACATCTGGAGATTCCCCACCCCTAGGGGACCCTTTATGTGCACAGGGTCGCATGTGAGAATGATAGAGTTGTCTTCCAGATTTTGTTTCCATGGATTGCTCTGCAAGTAAAGGGACTCGATTTCATATCTAAAATACAAAATATACGTTGTTGCCTGTATTTAAATTCTAAAACGGCAGGGAACAGAATTCAGACTACTGTTCCTGTTCTTGCACTGCATCCATGAAATAACTTTCAATCTTGAAAGACAGAAATAACCATATACTAGTCAAGTCAGTTGGGTAGCTTCATAAAATGTTTACAAAGCAGGAAGCAACTTTATAATGTATTCTAGAACAAGTTTCTTCTAAAATCTTTTGAATCATTATGTGAACACAGCTAAATGAAACTGTTTTATTAAATTACCAAGCTAAAATGATATACAGATATGTAATTTGGCCATTACTTCCATGTTTTGAAATCTTAGAATGCAATGAGAGCTACAATGGAACATCACGCGGACCGAGACATTTACCCTCCAATTCATGTCCACGTCACATTAGGCAATGAGGATTTAACTGTGAAGGTAATGGCTTTGTTTACTCTCTCATTTCCCATTTTGTAGTCCTGGCAAACGGTTAAAGCGCTGGTTTTCCAGTAATTTTCACCTTGATGTACATTTACCTGCCACAGGCATTTTGTGTGTTTACTTACTAATGAATTGCCTGGTCATAAAATAGCAAGTGGAAGCAGCATATATGATTCAAACAGGACTGCTAGAGTATTTTGCCAATTTAGGGATCTTCTGATCCAGGATGAGGAGTTCAGCCTATTTTGGATGTGGTTGTGCTCCCCATAACATTCAGATGAGCAGCTGGGAGATGCTCCAGGATCTATCATTATTCTTGGATATTTGAGTGGCAGCTGTGGTCCTGAGTGCTTTTCACCAGCTGAAGCCCCCTCCTGAACTGAACAGGCCTGGTCACAGTCATAGTAATATCAAGAGTGGACTGTCTGCCATTAAAGAGCGTTCTGAAACTCGATCCAAAAGGCTGCCAGGGTTTCAAACGGAGCCAGACAGGTAGGATGCATTGCTACAATATTGTTTCATCTGCAGCGATGGCCAGGGCCTAGGATTTCTTGATCACCTCCTTTCATATGTAGCTTCCCAATGCCTATTCCACATTGGAGACCCTGCACTATGTCCCTGTATCATCTGAGGTTCAGTGGATGGTTGTATGAGCAGACTCTCGATTGCTGCCTCCTCAGCTGTGGAACATCCTAACTATGACACTCTGTGCTGCATTCCCAGCTTGTGGTCCACACCTGGCTTTGAACAGACCTTGTAGGGATTATACCTTTTGTAGATTGGGGTTGCTATTGAAATGTTTTCTGTTGTTTTTACTTATTTGGCATTGAAAAAGAAATCTTTGGTTTTGTATGATTTGCATTATTATATTTCTATTAGCTGCCTATTATTATTCTATTAGAGGGACGTGGGTGGTGCCGTGGGTAACCGTGGCCTAGGACTGCCGATCAGAAGGTTGGCGGTTCGAATCCCCGCGACAGGGTGAGCTCCCATTGCTCGGTCCCTGCTCCTGCCAATCTAGCAGTTTGAAAGCATGTCAAAGTGCAAGTAGATAAATAGGTGGGAAGGTAAACGGCGTTTCCGTGCGCTGCTCTGGTTCACCAGAAGCGGCTTAGTTATGCTGGCCACATGACCTGGAAGCTGTACACCGGCTCTCTCGGCCAGTAAAGCGAGATGAGCGCCGCAACCCCAGAGTTGGCCATGACTGGACCTAATGGTCAGGGGTCCCTTTACCTTTTTATTATTCTATTAACTGTCTTGAACATCCCAACTAACTGAAGAGTAGTGTATAAATCGTTTTGAAGAAGTACATTTTGTGCATGCAGGCCAACATTCACCATTCATTCATTCAGTTACTTAGTATACCATACTATCCTCGCAGGTCTCAGGGCGGTTCCCCAGGTAAAAGCACAATATAAAAACATTAAATACATAATAAAATATACAAGGTGTATATTTCTAATGTAAGGTTGGGTATGCCAGTGTTTGTTTTTAGCCAGATCTAGAGCGTGTGGCATGAATCGTCCCCAAGTCCTAATCATTCATGCTTCTTATGAATCACATTCTTAATAAATATTATTTAAGGGAATTCTTATAAAGACGGAAACTCAGTGCAGGTTTCCCCCCTCCACATTCTAGATGTGTGATCGTGGTGGTGGTGTTCCTTTGAGGAAAATAGATCGGCTGTTTAACTACATGTATTCAACTGCACCCCGTCCCCGTGTTGAGACATCGCGAGCAACACCTCTGGTATGTAGTGTGTAAGCCATTTTTATGTGATACCTTGCATTGCCAGTTGGCAAATTAGTTAGTTGAAATGGTTAACAAAATATTTTCTTGTACATTGGGGGGGGGCTTTTCCGGTTGAGGGCAGCATTTCTTTGGGGTAATGGGGGGGGGGGGCAAAAGCCAGTAGTGGGTACATGCAGAGCTTCTTGCTCTTTCTTGCTTCTTTCTCCACCCTTCTCTCTCCATTTCTTGCCTACCCAGCAGTTTACAAAGGAAAGGACAGATCACTCTTGCCAGATGTAAATTTGCAGAGAGGTCTTTTGAAATTAGGCAAAGAGCCACGTGAAATTAGGCCACACTGGCTGTAGGTTGCCCATACACAGATCTATTGCTTATGGTAAATATGGGCCAGAATGATGTTGTTATTAACTAAAGCCAGTATACAGAGTTCCACTGCTGCATGTATAAACAAACTTCCAAATGCAAAAAAAACTTCAGTGAAGAAAATCAGGCTCTAGCAAGGCACTGTTCCATCAGCAAAACCCTGCTTTGTGCAGTTAATGATGCATGTAACTTGCTCCAGTTCATGGGCAAGAACAGCCTCACCGCCATTTTTGCTCCCTGCTTTCTAGAGTGGTGTGCAACTATTTTAAATGCTAATAAGTTTAAGTGAAGATTCTGTGAGCTGGTGCCTATGTTGTTTTGGTGGCTTATCTGGGCAGTTTTTTATACTCCACAGCAAGTCAAATAAGAGCATTGTTCAGTGAGACAAATTCATACACCTCTAGGTCCTGTGTCTGCTTGTTCTTACATTTCATCTGAGTTTCTGTGGTATCTACTACTACATTATCTAACACTTGTCTTTCCTAATGCCTAGTGGTTAAACATCTGATAATGCCAGTCATGTCACACAGTGAAATTACTGGATATCCGGTACAGATGCCCATGCGATCCTATCAGAAGAGAAAATTGCATGCAGATGCAATAGGGATAAATGAACAGGTTTTTTTCAAGGGCAGTTGAACAGAAGAACGAACAGGAGAGGAAGGCCCAGCTGTGTGGCTTAGTGGTTAAGGGTGTTGCATCAAGGGCCTGGAAGACTCGGGTTCAAATCCCCAGTGTTGAAGCTTACTGAGTAACATTGGGTCTTTCTCACAGCTTTGTTGTGAGATTAAAATGGGGAATAAAAATGTATGCTACCTTAAGCTCCTTTTTCAAGGAAGGCAAGTTATAAATGTAATAAAAATAAATAACTGCAAGCTTCAGTTTCATCTGGATAGGAAGCCATTGGCACGGATCGGGAAGAATATTAGAGAACACCTACCTGCAGTTTTGTCTTTTCACTGTAAAAGTAACTCCCCTTTTCTCATGTTTGTGTCCAGCAACAGAATGCTTTTTCTCTAGCAAATGTTGATTTTATTGGGCGGGATTCAACAGACAAGTCCCACTAGCAGAAGCTCACACAAGGACGCAATGGGGGTTTCCACTGTCCTTCCATCGCACCCCCCAAAATTGGCGGGGGGGTGTCAAGAAGACCCCAGAACGTCGCAGGGAGGGAGGAAGGAAGGAAGGGGACCATTCTGGATGGCAAGCTAAAATGCTTGCGCTGGTGCAATGATCAGAAGAGTGCAACTTGGAATTCCTCCCATTACTATTTTTGTTTTTCATATGTTTTAGCTAACTCTCTTGTCGGTTTTTGTGTCTGTGTGTGTGTTATGTTTAGGCTGGATTTGGTTACGGCTTGCCTATATCCCGTCTCTATGCTCAGTACTTCCAAGGAGATCTGAAGCTCTATTCGCTAGAGGGTTATGGCACAGATGCTGTTATCTTCATAAAGGCATGTTATTTATCACCCGCTTTGACAAACATCTTTCCATTTAAAAGGCAGGATCTGATGATGGCTAAGTTATATTCAGCATTGCCCTTTCCTTCTCTCTGCAGGCTTTATCAACAGAATCTGTTGAAAGACTGCCGGTATATAACAAAGCAGCTTGGAAACATTACACAGCGAATCATGAAGCAGATGACTGGTGTGTCCCAAGTAGTGAGCCAAAAGACATGACTACATTCCGCAGTATATAGCCATATGGGACAATATGTGGTGTGCAGAAGATAGCCTTAGTACACGGTTCATGTTAGGACTGTGTAAGTCTGGTTTACTACAGTACAGCTCTAATATTTTGTATGGGGGAGCACACAATTTGACTAAACAGGAGTCAGAAAACCACGTCTTTTCTAGAGCAGCGTTCGTTTAAAAAAGTGAGTATGCTAAATTCATTTCAATCATTCCATCTTAAATTGCTTCAGCAGGTAGATCTGGTGTATCAAGTTCTAGATTTTATATAAAAAGGTCAGTGCACAGCTTGTTCAAGTATTGTACAATTTCACTTGCCAAGCATTCTAATGAGACTTCCATGGAAAACTTAGTTGAATTAAATAACTGCAATGTTGTAAACCTTATCTGGGAATCAGTTGCACTAGCACAGACAGCATTACAATGTGAGAAATACTAGATAAAACGTGATCATGCTCTTTTTCTAGGAATCAAACAGTTTGAGCCTTCTAATATTAGACACCATAGTTCTTCTAACAAACCACATGCATTTAATTTCATACATGATCCAGCTTGAGTTTCATTAATATTAATTTGGAGGTTTAGCACATAATTAAATATCTCCCACTAAAATCAGTGGCACTTGATAACATTTACATTTGGCTAGCTTGTGCCTTGTGTTTTTACCCTCTGTAGGAAGTTTGAATGAAAATCTCAAATCTGGTAGTGCATAAATATGTTATTCTTTAGATGGAGTTCCAAGAATGAATATTTGCCTCTCTTCAGAATATTCAGGCATAATGAATTGGATCCCAAAAATGATGAGTTGAACTTCACTCATGTAGTGGGACTTTCCTGCCACCACCAAAGTTGGTTCTGAGAATTGAAGGACTGTCTGGAATGGCATATGATGGGGTACAGGGGCTGTAGTGGGATAGGGAATTATGGAGAATTCAGTGGGGCTGACTTGTGGGAGTGCCTTGCCACACGCACAGGACATCTCTGGATCCAGCCCTTTTATATCAGCAGTTGCAATTAATGCAAAAACACTGAACATGATCTGGACAAAATGGAATTGCTGGAGAGGCTTAAGCAAGTCCTCAATTCTCCTGTTGAAATTAGTAGTATGTGAAAGTGCTTAAACTTTTGATGAATTTTGCTTTTCAGTAAATGAAAGTTGTTAATAAAGCACAGCCTGCCTCCTAATTTAATGCCACTGATACTTGCACTGATTTTTGCAAAAATGAAACAGGCCTCAGGTTGTTAAGAAAGTTTGGACATTATGCACATAGTACTTTTGACATCTAATTGCTATGGCTATGTTTCTTTGCACTATTATAGTATTTCTTTTAAAATATTTGGATATGTTCAGCTTCTTAAGAATGAAAAGAAACTGGAGCAATAGTTCTTTTTAAAAATGTGGTATACTTTCTGATGTTTCTTGCTGCTCTAGCCTATTAAATACTTCTATACATATTTAACTTCCTGTTTATGCTCTATCTTCTATAAACATGTGGCCAGCTGCCAAGTAGTAGAATGAAAGCCATTTAATTTCACTGAATTCAGCCAAATTCTGGGGTATTTGGTAGTATCTAATACTGTTCATGGTAACTTGCAAACTCAACAAGAAGCGGATGAACAGTTGCAGCCATTGTGAACGTAATGCCAGTATTGCAAGGAATAATCAAGACAGGAGCTATCTAGTAAGTTGTGCATACATTATAGAAAGCACAATTGGTATCTATCTGAAGGGTAGTTTCCCATTGGCAAAGCAAAGCCTATTGAGTTGGGTTATAGTTCCAACTGTTGGTTGAAGGTAGAACAAACATTTTGGGAAGTAAAGAGCTCCCACAATCTAGTTAGCAGACTTGCTAAGCCCAAAGTAGGTCACAGGAGCGAACCTAAAATGTAAGTATAGTACAAGAAACTGAGAGAACAAGGATCAGCTAGGCCTGACTTCCACGTGTGTATGTCTGTCTGTCTCTCTATATATAATAAAAATTCAGATTACTGCATGGGAATGAGTGAATATTAAAGTTGCAGTCATTAAAAGTAGGGTGCAGTAGCCTTGTGGTGCTAATGAAAGCTACCCTTAAGGTAGGTACCAATTGGTATTTTTTCCCAACTGACAACACACGGCTATATAGATGGGATGTACCAAAAATTACCCCCAACTAGGCTGGGACCCCCACTCCAGCAAAGAAAAAGAATTTTTTTGAGAGAGAGAGATGCTCTTACCAAACGCTTCTTCAGCCTAAGCACAGGAACCAATTTTACAGTATCTCGTGAAGGTACTGGGAGAAAGATCACACAGAGAAAGGAAAGGGAAAGGCCAAGGAGCTGCCAGGGGCTGCAGAAGGACTGCTTTCAGAAGCCAGAAGCAGCTCTGCTGTCTGGCTGTAATCGGGTTGTGTTCAACATATGTGCCCGAGGTAACAGGCCCTGATGGTGCAAGTAAGAGCATGTTTCAACAGCTCCACTACACACACAGCTACCTTCCTCAACAGTCAGCGCGCAAGGGAATGGTGGAGGGACGAGGAAGATAGAGACAGAAGGATTTTTTAAAAAATTAAGCAGAGAGAGAAGGGCATAAAAAATAGGTCATGACAGTAAAGTGGGAGCAGAGAAAGCGATGGGTTGAGGAATGAGAAACTAAAGTCCAATAGTTTCTGAGAAAAACAGTGTAGGACCAAGAAAAAAAGGGGGGAAAGATAGCAAAAGCAAGAAACATTGACCTGAGGACAAAAGCCAGTGGAAGTTTAAAGTGACATTGCTGCTTTTGCCAACAGCAGGAGTGAACTGGATTATGGGAACTGCCTACTTCTTAAAATGTTCATCCTGCCTTTGACCACCTGGTGGAGCCATAAACCAACCAGATAGTCTTGCATTGCCAGTGGGGGGAAAACAGTTGCTCACACACCCGGACATCTAAAGCAGCTATGGTACATTTTTACTGAACAGACACAAACTCTTATTTGCTGCATAAACCTCAGGTCCCAACTTGGTGTTGCATTTAAATTCCTTTATATCCAGCAAATGTGGCATAAAATGCTCTCTTCACCTCCTCTTTGGTTCCTAGCTCTCCCTTGGCAATTTTTGCTGCCAACGTTTAATTCACCTCCACAATTGCAATGTTCATGTGATGCCTCCTAGACAAGGTCCTCCATTAAGATGCACACGCAGAAATCAAAGAATGCAGTTTAGCCACTTTGCAGTAACTGAGATGCCGGATTAAAGAGTACAGTGCCATGACTGTAAACATATTTACTCGGGAATGAAACCCTTTTCAGAGTAATGGCAGTGCCAAATGATGTGTTAAGATTTTTGATGATAGTGGGGAAACAGCAAAATAGACCCACCTGCACGTTGGAGCATCTTATTAGGAAATTCATTATGTCAATTGGCTCATAGAATGTGCTGTGCAGAATGAAACTGCCCTTGGCTATAAGCAATAGCAGCTTAGTAGGGAAGTTTTCAAATTAGAGACATACCAAGCTACTGCTTTAAGGTATCACAGTCTTTGGAAGTAAAACATTTCTGCTCTGTGAGCTAGTAGTAGAAGCGGACACGGAGCAATGGATCCAAACTACAAGAAAGAAGATTCCACCTAAACATTAGGAAGAACTTCCTGACAGTAAGAGCTGTTCGACAGTGGAATTTGCTGCCAAGGAGTGTGGTGGAGTCTCCTTCTTTGGAGGTCTTTAAGCAGAGGCTTGACAACCATATGTCAGGAGTGCTCTGATGGTGTTTCCTGCTTGGCAGGGGGTTGGACTCGATGGCCCTTGTGGTCTATTCCAACTCTATGATTCTAGTAAACAAAGAGTACAGTAGGTTTGGCATCATAAAAAACCAACAACACTCACGTTTGCACCTGCCTGCCACTTATGAAGGTTTGATCATCTGGAGGTGGAGGGGCTGAACGAGATACTGGAATTAGTATCCTCTATTCATGTAAAATATGAATTGTAATCAGGGCTACAGTCCTGATCCAGTAGTCAGAGAAACTGCATGGGCATTGCTGTACTATGGATGCTTGTTCAGCCCGCTTCCACGCTTGCCTTCCAGACTGCCAGGGAATTTGCATGTACGCATCTGGATACGCATGCACATTGTCCCAGCTGGATGATTATTTTAAGTATGTTCAACAATCAAAATCTACTGAAGGTTTACCACTAACCAAAGCAACTGTTTGTGGTAGCAAACTCGCTGTTCGGTCATAGGCACAATGAGTTCATTTGCTATTTTAAGGTTTGATTCCTATGAATAAAGCATTTCAGGAGAAAATAATTTATAATGCTACTTTATATTCCAGGCAACTCCGTTTGCACAGGGGTTGCGTTCTGGGTCATCTCGCGTGTCAGTGGAGTGCGCGTAAGCTCGCCCCATTCCGCTCCCTTCAGGGGCTGAAAGCAGTGCTCGCATTGGCAGTAGCATGCCAATAAAACTCACACAAAATGGTTGCCGTTTGTATTCCCTTGCTAGAGCTAGATTTGGAAAGAATTTCTATTGCAGGTGGAAGAATAACATTACAACAGCCAGGCATTTTGTATTCGGAATTTTAACATTGTACTGTGAAAATTTTGGCTTGCAAGAAAGAGGCTTACTGTGATTTTTATAATAATAAATCCTAAGGATTTTAAAAAATCTGGCACTCCATTGATTAATTGCACGATAACTCCTGGTGTCTGTCTTGTATTATCACTTCAGTGTGGAAACACTGGGTCGCCCCTTGTTAAGGCTGTAACTTCAGTCATCTAATTGGTTATGGTTGCTGAGGCTGGTGAGTTGGGAGTCTGACAACATCTAGCGGCCCACAAGTCCTCTGCTGCGATAGTCTTCAGGTGTGTTCCATCTATGGACTGCCAGACAGGCTCACCTTGACAACTATCTTCCTTACATGCAATGGGGAAAGGTACTCTTCCATAGTAGTGGGGTAGGAAAGCTGGGGGGGGGGGGAATTCACATCTGGCAACCAATATGCTCCTTTGGTTTCAGATAGTACATGGGTAGAAGAGCCTGGACACAAATTTTCACAGCTCTCTAGTGGTTATTGGTAGTTCATTTACCAGGAGTAATTACGTATTTTTCGCTCTATAAGACGCACCGACCCACAAGACGCACCTAGTTTGGGGAGGGGAAACAAGAAAAAAAATATTCTGAATCTCAGAAGTCCAGACAGCAAGAGGATCGCTGCGCATGAAGCAGCAATCCCTCTTGCTGTTTCTGGCTTCTGGATAGCTTTGCACAGCCGTGCATTCACTTCCATAAGACGCACTACACATTTCCCGGCTTACTTTTTAGGAGGGAAAAGTGGATCTTATAGAGCAAAAAATACGGTATTTAGCATTAAACTCGGAAGGTATACTCAAATTCCTGAGCAAACTAAGCTTCCCTAGAGCAAAAACCTCCTGGGAGGCTTTGAATCGGTCAGAATCAAAGTATACACTTCCATAGTTACGTGATAAAAACAGCAACTGGGAGCAAAGTGACTCCAAATCTAGAGACATTTTTTCCATTGCACAGTACATCACATACTCTAGCCCACTTGTATCCAATGTTAGTTATACTCCAAGTAAGCCCACAGAAATAAGACATGATGAACTTGGGTTAATTCCAGCAGGTCTACTCTGAGTCAAACCTGGATGACTAAAACCCTGTCTCTTATTCATGCAATAATACCAATACACATTTTTTCCTATTCTTGGTTCCTTGAATCCAAGATATTTTGAAAATGCTCAAAATGTGCATTTCATTTACTGTAGTCTTAATTTACAATTGGCGGTTTTCAATGTTTTCTTACAAAATAATCATTTCATTAGATGGGAGCATGTTACTAATTCATGCACATGTAAGTCATAATAGTAAGAATTTCAAAATACAAGTTCTTTTTTGAATGAAATTTATTTCATTTCTCAAAAGTGCCACTCCAATGTAGTGTATTTTTTCCTACAACAGATTATGTGTTACCCAACAGCACATGGCAAGTGTGTTTGACACTATTCTGGAAAACAAATGCAACTCATGAACAGGAAGACATTTCGTAGTCTACAGTGTAATTATACACACTGCAGAAACCCAGTGCTTCAATTCATACCTCCCTCCTCCGGCTATTCCCATTCTGGTATTAGGAAGACCAATAACATTGAAAGTTTAGTAAAAATATATTTTTGGTCCTCAGTATCTTGAGTAGGAAAGTGTAATGCATGTATTACAATTTGATCTTACATGGATTATAAAACCCCATAGTCCATACAAAAGTGTATAAAATTGATCAATAAACTTTGAAATCCTGCTTCAACATACTCAGCTTAGAAACTTGGTGTTATCTTATTTTAGAAAATAAGAAAGCCAAGATGCAAGTCATGAATTATATTACTACAATACATTTTGAATTTAAAATGAACTCTGGAAAATACAGGATTTTAAACACATCATTAAGTCAAAATACGATTAAATTAATTTTCTATTATTTTTTAAACTTAATTTTTCCTCTATACAACACTAGTGGCAACAAACTTCTCTTCAACAGAACATAATGACCTGATACTGTCTCTCTATACCAGATACCACCCAACATTATACTGCAATTTATGTTCACATCCTATTCATCAAAACTATATATACTTCTGATAGACACTTCAGGGACCTAGAATAAGTAATACATATATACACATTACTTAATGCAAAGTTAATTTACTGTTCATTAGTACAAGTTAACGATCTAAATATAAAAAAATGGAAAATATTTCATTTGATGAATCATATAAACAGGGAAGGACTGTAGAAATGGGAGATTAAAAAACCTATATTGTAAAAGCTATCACTTCCCACCTCCCCCATTCATAATTATACAGTAATATACAATTGTGACACTTCTTCAAGCTGAAGGGAGTCTGATAAAAATAAAGATATTGAAACATTGCCTTGGCATAGTTCCACTAGCCCTTGTGACTACACCAGATTAAGTAGTTGCATAGGATATTTTAAAGAATTTTAGCAGCTTGATTCTACGGTGGCCACCACTCTGCCAGTTCTCCGGACTTCTTTCTCTTTCTTTTGAAACTTTTCTTTCTGTTTCTCCAGCTTCTCTTGTGCTTTCTTAATATCTTTAATTTTCTTCTTTATTGTTGATCGGTCATTTTGACTGGATACTCCCAGGGCCTTTCGTAGAAAAAAACACATTTTATTATATTCTACGAAGTAGAAATATTTGCAGCATAAACAATGCCCTTTGTTGTTGCATGAGTTTTGGATTGTTGTTTTTTTAAAAAAAACATTTTCAGCAGTACTCACAACCATTAATAATCATTACAACGAAAACAACATCCAAACTTTTTTTTTTTTTTGGCAAACTACAAAATTCAGCAAATCTATGGAAGGAATACAAATGATTTAAACAAGCTGAAGTGAAATGTTGTAGTCAGAATAAAAAGCATCTCAGCGCAGACAAGAATGGTTTGCAAGTAGTACAAACCTGGGACAGCTTAATGTGAAATACTTAAATTTCCTTGACTCCTAAATACATAGTTGGAAGAACCAACCTTAAGGGGCGAATCCACACATTTCCCTCATATTCACTAACAGTCATAAAATGTCTTCATGAGTATACCCATGATCATGCGAGTAAAGATTAGTGTGAACTGGACTGTTCAACAACAATTCATGGGGCTTCAAAAGATGAAGGGATGGCTTCTATAGCCATGAAAATTGCTATCAGTAGTTATCTGTATCCAGGCCAGATCATACTAAAGTTTACCTACTCAGGCATGGTGCAGTGGCCATTTGCATTCACAGTGCTGAGGTACTGGTAGTAAGAGGACAAGTTGCTTGCAGCTACCTTAAAACCTATTAATTTTGCTGGGCTTCAGAGCAACTTCTTTGGACTGGCACAACTCTCTTCAAAAATAACCTTATGGTAAAAAGGTAAAGGACCCCTGACAGTTAAGTCCAGTCGCAAACAACTCTGGGGTTGCGGCGCTCATCTCGCTTTATGGCCAAGGGAGCCAGCGTTTGTCCGCAGATGGTTTTTCCGGGTCATGTGGCCAGCATGACTAAGCCACTTCTGGCAAAACCAGAGCAGCGCATGGAAACACTGTTTACCTTCCCGCCAGAACGGTACCTATTTATCTACTTGCACTTTGACATGCTTTTGAACTGCTAGGTTGGCAGGAACTGAGACCAAACAATGGGAGCTCACCCCGTCGCAGGGATTCGAACCACCGACCTTCCGATCGGCAAGCCCAAGGCTCAGTGGTTTACACCACAGCACCACCCGCGTCCCCCAACCTTATGGTAGCACCCTATAAAAAAGAACCCCTGGACGGTTAAGTCCAGTCAAAGGTGACTATGGGGTGCAGCACTCATGCTGCTTTTAAGGCTGAGGGAGCTGGTGTTTGTCCACAGACAGCTTTCCGGGTCATGTGGCCAGCATGACTAAACCGCTTCTGGTGCAAGGAGGACCATGACAAGTGCCAGAGTACACACAGAAACACCATTTGCCTTCCTGCGGCAGTGGTACCTATTTATCTACTTGCACTGGTATGCTTTTGGAACTGCTAAGTTGGCAGAAGCTGGGACAAAGCAACAGGAGCTCACTCCATCGCATGGATTCAAACTACCGACCCAAGAAACACTGTGGTTTGGACCACAGCATCACCCGTGTCCCAATAGAGTAGCACCCTATAGTTAGGGTCTAAAGAAATACAACGTTCTACATACTCAAATAGGGTTACATTACTTTATGTGACTGCTGTGAGGTCCCTAAAGGAAGGCCAAACAGATGTGCTGCCATGGAATATGAGAAGCTAGTAACATTCTGTTAGCATGGTGCAGTATAGTTTTTTATCAGCAGATGGCAACATCTGATAAGCCCAGAAAACCTTTTTGACTACTTTTTAACATACTAACATTTCATACAGTCAAAGCTTACTGCATTAACTTAGGATACGTTAAAAATGTGTGTCCTAATTCAACAACAAAAACACCCAGTAAAATGAATCTATTTTATGTAACAAGGAAGTGAAGGAAGCCAACCCCTAAATTATCAACACATAACACTATGCAGTACAGTACTTATATTAGGGATGCGGTATTAAGGACTTAATTAGGGACGTGGGTGATACTGTGTCTAAACCACTAAGCCTCTTGGGCGTGCCAATCAGAAGGTTGGCGGTTCGAATTCCCGCAATGGGGTGAGCTCCCGTTGCTTGGTCCCTGCTCCTGCCAACCTAGCAGTTCGAAAGCACGTCAAAGTGCAAGTAGATAAATAGGTACCGCTCCGGCGGGAAGGTAAACGGCGTTTCTGTGCACTGCTCTGGTTTCGCCAGAAGCGGCTTAGTTATGCTGGCCACATGACCCGGAAAAACTGTCTGCGGACAAATGCCAGCTCCCTCAGCCTGTAAAGTGAGATGAGCACCGCAACCCCAGAGTCGTCTGCGACTGTACTGAACCGTCGGGGGTCCTTTACTTTTTGTACTTATATTATTAAGTGTGTTCAGATTTTCAGTGCACAGTTTTGGCTTGGCATAAGGCAGCAGGTATACAAGCTTACCTTCAACTTGTCACTGTCAAGCAGCATTAACTGCTGTCCATCTATACATTTGGCTGTGAATTCCGCAATGTACTGCTCCATATTCATTCCCATTAGCCAATGGCACACCTGTTGTGTTGTCCATTCAGAAATGGGCCGACTGTGCCACTGGTTTTGTTTCCCTGTAGTTGATGGTTCATCATCGGAAGTCTAACAAAGCAAATCAGCTTTTACTTAGGTACATAGCAATTTAACTTACTGCATTTCTGATATATATATATAAAATATAAACATTCAAGACTTTGAATTGTTGAGTGCATAGCTGGTCTCCCCTCCAATATTTCAGTTTGTTTTATTATTTAATTCCCATAGTGCAAAGTGTCTGAATACATATATCAATGCACAGTAATTTAAAGAACGCTCATTGTAAATACCTTTATGAAAAAGTGGACTCGCTGAACCAAGTGTAAATTTCCAGGTTCGTGAGATATAGGATTTTCAGACCCTGCTCAATAACTTACAGGTATTCTCAAATTCACCCGTTTTATGGTATCACTGACCGAATGTCCAAAAGAGAGTTTTAAATTATTGTAAAGGATCATACAGTTTCTGGTCTTCTAGGTGCAGCACTCTAGGTGGTAAGTTTTACTCAGAGTAGATCTACATAAATTAATGGCCCTCACTTAGTCATGTTCATTTATTTCAATGGGTCTACTCTAGGGACGCGGGTGGCGCTGTGGGTAAAAGCCTCAGCGCCTAGGGCTTGCCGATCGAAAGGTCGGCGGTTCGAATCCCCGCAGCGGGGTGCGCTCCCGCTGCTCGGTCCCAGCGCCTGCCAACCTAGCAGTTCGAAAGCACCCCCAGGTGCAAGTAGATAAATAGGGACCGCTTACAAGCGGGAAGGTAAACGGCGTTTCCATGTGCGGCTCTGGCTCGCCAGATGCAGCTTCGTCACGCTGGCCACGTGACCCGGAAGTGTCTCCGGACAGCGCTGGCCCCCGGCCTCTTGAGTGAGATAAAACTTGATGGCATACCACTCTCTATGTTTGTGCCACATAAAGTCCACCTATATTATACTGTTTCCATACATACATCACAAATGCCATTGAAATGGAAATTAGGCCAAAGCAAATGAACTGCTGGTGAAAGTCCACATCAGAGTGAACACTTCATGCTAGAGAGAAGGGAATAAAACACTCTTTTTATCTATTGGGTAGGTCTCTATTGCTGAATTCATTTTATGGAGATAGTCAGTTTTTACAACTTATCACTTAAAATACCACCTCGGTCTGGATGTGTCATTAGTGGAAAAATACAAAACTATTATGTATTACTGTATATTCATTTTGTACAAGAGTGCCATAGTTTCTTTGGTTCCCCAACTTTTATTAGGAGTCTGTAGCTAAGGGGACAAAGGACATACTTCTGACCTACCAAGGCTAGAAACAAAAACTATTTTTCAATTTTTCTAAAGCTATCATACAGTGTTTGGTTGAAGAGGAGGTTTTTCTTTCTTACTCAAGGCAAATACTAAAAACTCTTTATTTCATCCTGTGCCGAAAAGAAAAGGATCACAATACATAAAGACTAACCATGCTGATTATGCATCTTCATTGAACTTTTAAAAAATGAAGTACTGATAATACAATTTTTTTGTTAAAATTCAGCAATGGCATTTGCACCACTAACTCAAGGTTGCTTTCTATATGCTTGTAAAAAATGTAGTATGTGATCCCTACTTTTGTTATTGTACTTGCAGCTCATTTTTTTATTGGTTTACTGCTTATTTCTTCAGATGATAGCAATGGTTTATGAACTAGGTGCTGCATTGCTCTAGATCAAAATATGCATGCATATGGGGGCAAACAGGTTTCTTACAAGTTTCCATCATAGCACCTTACAGTGCTGAAGAGGCAAGGCACTTTTTCAGTTAAATTCGAGAAATTTAACTGGAAAGGGAACTACCTCTTTGCTGCAGCATGCAAACTTCACAGAGCCTCCCCACCTGGGCTCTTCAGCATTTCTTTTACTTTCAATGTAGATGCAAGGACCACCTGAAAGCAGTAGGGATCACGAATGCAAGAGCCACTTGTTGTTCAAATTTAAAAGCAAAATAACTTTTCAAGTTATAATATAAAAACAAGGAATTAACAAGTGATGTCCGTGAACACAGAATACTTCTTCCGAGCCTGTTTCACAATGCCAGGCTTGTCAGCTACTCTTGTAGACATACTGTATTTTTTGCCCTATAGGATGCACCTTTTCCCCTCCAAAAATGAAGGGGAAATCTGTGTGCGTCCTATGGGGCGAATACAGGCTTTCGCTGAAGCTTGGAGAGCGAGAGGGGTCTGTGCGCACCGACCCCTCTCCTATCCAGCTTCAGGAAGCTATCAGCAAGCCTGGGGAGCCCGCGGGAGTTCCCGCAGGGCTCCCTAGGCTGCGGATAGCAGCCTGCCGCCCGGCGCGCAGACACCGTGAAGCAGAGCGCCCTGTGCGCCGGGCAGACATCCGCAGCCTGGGGAGCCCTGTGGGAGTTCCCGCAGGGCTCCCTAGGCTGCGGATAGCAGCCTGTTGCACGGAGCGGCGCTGAAGCAGAGCGCCCCATGCGCCGGGCAGACATCGGCCAGCCCCACAAGCTCGGGGGACAGCGAGGAGGCACAGCGCCGCCATCCCGCTGTTCCTCGACCTGGTTTGGTTTCCCCGACCTGGTTTTGGGGGGGAAATAAGGGGGGGTATTCCTTTATTTCCCCCCCAAAAAACTAGGTGCGTCCTATGGGACGGAGCGTCCTATGGGACGAAAAATACGGTATTTTTTAAAAATAGAAATAAACTACTCCTTTTGTTACATTAAAATGTTTAGCACAAGCAAGTATCCCAATATTTACTCAAAAACATTAACTTGTGTTACTGAAAGGAAACTATCTCCATCCTTCCTTGTAGAGATATGCAAATTCCATTTCTAGAAATCAAGTAAAGGTCAGTTTCTGAAAGCCCCGTTGATGCAGAGAGAGAAAATGAAGAATAAAATCCGGCCCTATTGTGTTGAGAGTGCAAAATCCTCAAGACAACTGGAAGAGAGTCGCAAGGAACAGTATCCATCTAAACTGAATTACAGAGTAATTTGAAAGAGAGGTGAAAGGTCAACATAGTGTATAGACACAAAACTGTTCAAGAAAGAACTATTCATAAGAGTAGAGTAACTATAGGGCTAAATGCCCAGATGCTACATGAGGAGCTGTGAAACTCCATACTGAAGGCTGAACTTAGCTGGCACCACAAAACCTTCCTCACTGAAGTCTGCAAAGTTTTGAAAGATCCAATTTAGGAAATTCAAAAAATGTTTGGCTTTATAATGATCTAAAAATATTTCAAAAATAACGCAGCAAGAATTAAGCTCTACAGCCAAAAGACTGAAATGAGGAAGACAAAGGTGTATTCTGTTAGAAGTACTAATGCATGCCATTCACACAAATAGCAGAAGCATAGAAAGCAATCTGCATTGCCTGATGGTACTATTAATCAATTGGCTGTCTTATAATGTTAGGGATGCAATTAAAGTGTTTTCTTCTTGCAGTGGAGGAGCAGAGCAGATGCACATTCAGTCTTGGTTTGGCTTCGGTTACATGCAAAGTAGCTCAGTGTAAATGTTGTCAACAATATATCAAACCCAAAACTGATAACAAGAAAAATACTTTTTGTCTCCTAGGTACATTTTTCAATGTGGGCTTATAAAAATATTAAGGTGCAATGATGACAACCTGCTCTTTTCATTAGAGACAAACTTAAATTGCATAATATAGTCTGAATTGTGATATCAACAATACACAGACACACTGAAACTCACCTCGTTTGAAGAGAAGGTTAAAGTGTGTGAACGCCCTGAAAGATTTGGCTCTGTCACTAACCCTGACAGATCACAACTTGGCTTGCTATCGTATGAATCATCTATGACAATTCTACTCTGCAAACAAGTGAAAATAATGTGTTGTTAACTTCCCCCTTGGAACAATAAATCACAAGGAGGCACAGTGTCTTATTTTTTAAAAAGCAAAAATAACTAATCATTTATTTCCAGTAACTCTGAACTAAGCTTATCTACATTCATCATGACTCTCTCCCAATTCACAATACAAAAGTATTGGGCTCTTATCATCTGATCTATAGAAACATTCAGAGAGTTCTGGTAGCTATTTTCAGCACATAGGGTTAGTCAGGAATGAATAGGGTTAGTCGTGAATTCATTCCCTTAATGGGGGCTAGGGAGGGATTACACTTTGACCTTAGTTTTCTGATTATCAGAGACTGGAACCAAAGACCTGCACCATGGGCAGTTCCTGGTCTTGAGGAGCACAAATGACTCTGCTTCCAAATGTTCCATCCCTGCTTTCAAGTTGCAGGCAGAGTAAGAAAAACAGGAAGCAGTATGGTTTCCTGCCATGATAACTTTTCCTTTTGCTACTGTCCTTGCACCACCTGCCCTATTTAGAGCAAGCAGGCCCTACATTAGCACCCACAATGGTCCAGCAAATGCTGCCCCCCCCAGGACTGACACTTGCCTGCTGCACCCTTGCTGACTCCCCCTCCCCTAAAGCTGGCTTCCCTAATCTGCCACCCTCTCAGATACTCACCGCCCTGAATCACAATTTGGGAGAAAGGCAGGATATAAATACATTAAGTAATAATATTCAACAGCCCAACAGGCATTGGCTGAGTCCTCTTCCTGTCCAATATGGGAGGAGAGAATAGCTAGTCCAAAATAACACAGGCTGAGGGGTGGCTGGAATGAAGCACCAAAATCGACAGTAACATGTATTTCTATCCTGCCAGCTGTCTGTTACACATATGTATGGTGATGGTTATGGGATTTCATGGAGGCAAAGATGGAACAAGAAAATTGGGAGGACCGGGTATTTTAGTAGTAATTATGCCCCTTAGAGATAGGGGGACCACTGGATCCTGAAGATCTACCACTGCAGGTGGAGTAGATGGTCCACTACTAGAGGCCAATGGTGATAGGAAAAGAATAGGGCCACATTGTGATGGATCAAGGAGGCCTTGGATTCAAATCCATCCCACTCCCAACAAGCCCACAAGAAGCAAGAAAAACTATGCCTGCCCAGAGGCGTAGCATGGGGGGAGCATTGGTGCAATGGCCCTGGGTGCAATTTTGAGAGGGGGCCCAAAAAGGTGCCCCCACAGCAGGCTCCTTCATCGGAGCCTGGCTCTGGGCCAGAAGGAACTGAGCCTTGGCTGTAGCGTTGGTGTCTGTTACTGTTCTGCCCCCTGGGTTAGGCCTGACCCGGGGAGGAGAGCAGGTAAGTGGGCGGCAACGCTGCTGCCCACCCTCCTTGGCCGCGGCATACCTTGTGCCTGGTGGCAACAGCTCTGCCACCGGGTCACTTCTGACATGGTGGTGGAGAGCAGCACTGCTCAGCCGCGGCAAGGCATGCCTGGCCACAGTGGGTCTGTCACCGGGTCAGGTCTGACCTGCCGGCAGAAAGCAGGAGAGGCATCAGTAAAGCTGCTGTCCACCCTCCTAGGCGGTAAGGCGCCTTACGCCTGGCTGCAGTAGCTCTGCCTCCGCCACTGGGTCAGGCTTGACCCGGTGGCAGACAGCAGGGGGAGAGAGAGTGGCACAGCTGCCTCCCACTCTCCTCAGCCAATTCTTGGCCATAGCAGCTCTCCTGCCATGTCGGGCCTAATGTAGCAACGGAAAGCAGAATAGGCAGGAGCTCCCCACCTCTCTCCAACCTTGTACTCTGGCACACTGGAGGGTGCCCTCCGCACTCCTCGGGGGCATGTTCTGCAACCCGCCACAGGTAGCGCGTATTTACCATAGTTTCCTTCACTCAAAGGCACAAAAAATAACGGTAACAAAGCCCAACAAAATAGGAGGCAGGAGAAGATTACCTGGGGAACAAAGGGCTCACATGAATTGAGGTGTGCTGTTACCTTATTTTAGTAGTGTATATGAAACAAGCTATGGAAGGAGGAAGTAATTATGGGCACAGGTAAACAGGCACAAAGCCTTTATAGCTTCCTATATTTTAATGCTTCTTCAAACTTTAACCTTCATTCCTTCATTAGATCAGGGAAGTGCAATCCTTCCTACCTGGCCCTATTTCTTTAGAAACATGCATTTCCCACTCCAAGAACCACAGCACAACAAACCTGACTTTAATAAAACTGAATGTATCACTGGTATTTATCATAGGTGCCATGTGGTGACAATTCTTACATAGCTTTTGAGGTCTGCAATAACAGGCAAGGCTTATCTATGCAAACAGAAAACAATGAACCACTCTCTCATAACAGTACAAAAAGATGTAGACTCAAGCACAGAAAGGTGCTTTTTAAGCCATATACATTCAAGTGTAGTTAAGCACTACTGTGCTCACTGCAGTTGCAAGTTATCAACCCTGGGTTCAACTGAAAAAGCTAGAGATACAGAATCAGAAAGTTCTAAAGACAGACCTACAACTGTAGCATGACAAGTCTGGACAAAGACACCATGCATTTTGTTTTAAATGACTGGCAGTGCAACCCTATGCATCAGGAATGGGGAATGTCAGACAGAGGAGCTAAATTCAGCCCTGCAGGCCTCTCTCTATGCAGCCCTGGGGCCACACCCACCATTAGCATAAGACATCCAGAAGGTTCCTCACAAGGGAATGTGGCCATAGAAATGAAAAACGTTCCCCACCTCTGGTCAGAAGTAAGCATGATGAGTTCAACAGAACTTACTCCCAGGTAAGTGTGCATAAGATTGCAACCTGAGTCACTTCCCTGCATGGGAAGAACTAAAATCACAACCATACTGTCTCACCTATCTGACAACTCACAAGTTGATGTGAGTAAACTGTTCAAGCATTGAATGTGGACACAAGCAGGCATAAAAACACTTAAGGTATTTTATGTTGGTTAAACTTCTGCCGGCATAGATTGTACACACTTCCGAGGTTTAAAAATCTTTTCCAAGACCAAGACGTACAAAATGAGATGCTGAGGGCTTGAAATGCACATGTAGATTAATTTAACAAACTGAAACAAATATGGAATCCACAAAACGAAAGAAAACTATGGGAAGAGTAGCACATTTGTTTTGTCGAAGTTATTACCATATAGAAAGGATCAAGCATGCAACAACATGCACATTTAATGGGTGGCAAGGACAAAGCGGGGGGAAATCATCTGACTGCAAACAGCCTTGCCATAACCATTGCCTTTTAATGTGCAGATTTTCTATTTTCATCTGTGTACATGTAAAGCCTTTAGTTTTTTCAGAAAGCAACATGATGATGAACTCTTTAACAAGGGAATTTCCACTACACCATTTCCTCCAGTGGAAGGCTCCTTTGGTTCAGAGTTCTTTCTGTGGACAGAATAAGCCCTTATGTTCATGGGAGGGCATGCTTGGATCGCAATCCATTTTTCTTAATAGGCTAGCTTATCGTAATTGGGAAAGCTGGAGAAAATAAGTCAGCACTAGCACTAGTCATATATAACATATTATTTCCTAAGGTGAACAACTTGCACATGTTTCGTTTTTACGATACTTGTCACAGCATTTAACTCTTGAGCAACATTAATCAAATCTAAATTTATGAAGTATATACAATAAACACCATTTACCTTGTTTCTGTTCTTCTCCTGGCTCTGTTCCAATGCAACATCATGACCACCCTGAGAAAAGCTCAGGGTGCTACTAGAACTATGCTCTTTATGGCTGTCTCCAAACCAGGAGAAAGGCATACAAGTTGGGATAGGGGAATCTGAATCTGACGCAGATAAGTTGTTGACAGAGTCTTCCAGCAATTCTCGAGAGCCCCTGAAAGAATGTAATTTTCATGTATGAGCTTTGACAATCTATTGTACATATAATCATACAATGTGAAATAGATTAGACATAACAGTCATATTTTCATCATCAGTACACGACAACACATTATACACCACACAGTTTAAAGCAATTTAATGTTATTCAGACTAGTAGGTCTAAATTACTATGTATAAAATATTTGAGAAGTAGCTTTTCTCCTATGTTATCTTTTTGCAAACTGGGCACTAGTATGTTACCAGCTATGAAACACTTTAAAAGTAAATCTGATTGCCTTTGAATACTTTCCTTTTTCAAAAAGACTGAAACTGAGATTCAACATTCTAACAATGCATGCGATATAAAATTGAGAATGATGTATATTCATTCAGATGACTGTTCAAATTGCACAATTCATTGGAATGCATAGTTAAGAACATAAAATGCTTCTCTAAGTACCGGCTGTCTAGCGAACTCCTTGCATTTTCTTTTTCTTGCTTCTTCCCTTTACCACCAGATTTTCTTAGGCCCCTGAAATTAAAGAAAGTAGTTTAATAAAACGCACAAATTAGCTAAGTCAAATCTGTCCAATATATCTGTGGCATACTGCAAAATAAATCAATAGGTTTCACACAATTGTCAATTCACACTAGTCAAGTACAGTAATGGGAAGTGGGGTAAATGAGAGAACAAGTAGATCAATCCCCAATTGACCACAAGCAATAAGTTAAACTGAAATGACCTACTATCTTTGAACCAGCCCAATTGTCAATTGTCAATAGAAATATGGTTCACATTTCAAATGTATTTCACAGTGCAATCAATTATAACAAATATTTTGTAATATTCCATTATATACACTGAAGGAAAAAAGAAGCAACTCATCATCATATAACCTAGTAAATATAACTCAAGACACATAGGTGCATCCTTAGCTGTCAATATATATGGTCTCTCCCCCAAAACAAGAATTGTCTTGAACACCCACAACTTTACATCCCATCCCATCTGTGCCTTCTTTGCTCTGTGCTACAATGGTGGCTGCTGTTATGTGCCAGAGTTCATGTCTTGGGTTTCGAAGGAGAGGGATACAAAGCAACGATTTCCAAACTTCTCCAGAGTGAAGTTGTCACTACACATGAATCATTATTTCAGTTTTGAGCTATGGACATACACTGTAATTTTACCCTCAACTCTGACAGAGGGGAACCTGAGCATCCTTCTCTAAAGATGCAGAAAGTTAAACAACAATGAAAGCATTCCACTTTAAAAGTAACTTGCTGGTCTCATACAGAACCAACTGCAATTTAGCTAATTTATTATTTCAAATTTTAAACATAAAAGCCCTACCATAAAAGGTATAACCTTTATATTTTGTCATAATGCAACAGAACAATGTTCTTTATTTATCTGAATGTGTATAGTCTGATCCTAAAGGTGCCTATCCCAAATTAAACTTATTTCTTATTAAAGTGTGTTTAAGATTGCAGACTGAGGCAAAGCCATTCCCAAAGATCAGTCACTCAAGCACTGAAGGACCCTTAAGGCATGAAGCAAATTATTAAAGCTTTGAGATGCCAGAGGAACAAAGAAATTTGAAGCGCGGTTATTTCCACTTACGCGTATTCTTCAAACCAGTGTCATTTTCAATTTTGAGACAATCATGCACATAATTATTCCCAGCTGCCAGTTATGCAGATTAGCATCAAATTAGTTTTTGACACATGAAAAAACTGCAGTTCAGTTACAGGAACTTTTAACAAACATTCTATCATTTAAAAACATGCACGCCGTACCCAAAATCTGGGAAACGCCTTTTGGACTTGCCCACAGAGGCACCATCACTTGATTCAGTCTTTTCTTCACTTCGTTTGTCATCTGTGTAAAATAAAATAATGACATAAGAAGTCTAACACTGATATACTGCCTAACTTAAAAGAAAGCAAAGCCTCTTCTATAGATAAGCACAACAGAAACTGCATTCTGCTGACAAACATTTTACAATATATTGTTCTCTTTGCTTTTGCAAGGTGACATCAAATGACTGGAGCATACTGATTGTGCAATTTCTTACATTTAAATAGAAGATTAAATATTATATCAAACTTACAGTGTTGCTTACATTCGAAGCATAATGTACAAGAATGGGGAAACAGCAATTGTTTAACTTTTAATAGCAGGAGGCAAGAACCACACTGTGTGTATCAACAGTTTTTCAGGACATAAAATTTTTAAACACAAGGAATTTTAAATTACCTTTGTTCACTCTTCCTTTGCCTTTTGAGTCTCTATGCTTGACATTTCTGCTGCATCCTGAAGGAGAATTTGGAGTTGTATCATCATTAGAAGCTGGCTGAGTTGTTTCAGGACTATTTTCTGTGTTTGGTTTATATACTGGAGAAGAGTGCAAGGAAGTTGATGGACTTGATTCTAATAAACTGTCAGTGCTTTCAGCATGCTCATGCTTCTCATCTCTTTGATCTACATCACTCTGCTGTGATGAAATGATCTTCTCTGTCACTTCTGAAGATCTGCTCTGGATTATTTCCTCTGTATTTATCATCATTATCATCCACATCCTAAAAATGTATTAAGAAATAAAAGTTTTTAAATTTAAAGTTTTAATAATTGCCTAAGTCCAAGGTACCAAATGCTTATGTACTTCAAGTAATCATGCAACCACTGTTCATTACTTTTTTATTTAATATATTATTTGTATTAAACTACATGCCTCATACTTGGCTATGTTAGGGGTGGAGTTTTCAGATAAATTTGTTGTGGTGGCAGCAGGAAGAGAGATTTACTGAAATCTGCAGCAAAAACCCAGCTCATAGCAGGACATCTTATTAAGAGTGGAAAGGTGGTACAGCGGAGTGTTGGGTAAATGATAAAATTAATCTCATCAGTGAGTGCATTTAAACAAAGTTAAATTATATCTTTATATCCCGGGAGTGCAAGTAGTTAAATAGGGACCGCTTACTAGCGGGAAGGTAAACGGCGTTTCCGTGTGCGGCTCTGGCTCGCCAGAGCAGCGATGTCACGCTGGCCACGTGACCCGGAAGTGTCTGCGGACAGCGCTGGCCCCCAGCCTCTTGAGTGAGATGGGCGCACAACCCTAGAGTCTGTTAAGACTGGCCCGTACGGGCAGGGGTACCTTTACCTTAAATTATATCTAGAGGGGAATCAATAAAGTGAATACTGTACCAGCAAGTTTATTTCCTTCTGTCCAGCCCCAAGAGATGCTTTCAGCTTTGACCGAGAAGGTGGCTGACGTTTCACTTTCAAGGCAAGCTGGGCTTTTGCTTTATGTGCACTGGTGTCTAACCTTGGTGTGTCCCCAACAAAAGTATCAAAATCTGTAAACAAAACAAAACAAAACAAAACAAACAAAACAAAAGTTACCTTAAAAATGATATTCCAGCAACAGAACCTCTGTCTCCCCATTCCCTCCTTAACAAAATTAGTCAGTGCTCTTTTATAAGCTTGCATTCAATGTCTTAAGTAATCTGACTCTCTATAAATTGAATGGAAACACAGAATTCAGACTCCAAAGCTTGCACACCCTTTTCAGTAGCGCAGCTGGTTCAATAAAATGCCCTTTTATAAGTTGTTTGTTAAGTTCTTTGTTAGTACACAACAGTCAGGACCATATCTGAGTTTTACAACAGAAGGCATACCTTGCTGAATTAGCAAACAGATGGCAATTCAAAGTGGATTGTATTAAAGAACATATTGAAGAACTTAAAAATTTTGCTTGTACTGTGCACCTTTTACAGGTTGTTTAACAGTTGTCTAACAGTTGTCTAATACTACATACCTAATTTATTACTTCACTGAGGATACAAAATATATATGTTCTCATTATGTATGCAACTTCTGTGCATACCATGAGTAAGGATATCAGGAGATCATTATTACAGGATGTTGGGAGATGCATATCCCAGTGCTCCTATCACTTAATTCCAGTTAAGGGTCTGCCCTGGTCAGATTTAGATTGACTTTTAAGATGACCATTGCACTTTCTGTTGGAGCAGCTACAAGCAAGTTTTCCCCTTAGAAAGAGGAAACATATTTCATTTTTAAAAAAAGACATATTCCTTAGCAGGGACTCTTTCAGTTAGGAACCCTGAAGACAACTAGACTCAGCAATACAGTTGTGGTGAACCTTTTGATGCCAGCAGGCTAAATTGTTACCTCCCTCAAACCCTGTGGGCCATTTCACAGCAATCATCTGAAGTCACCATTCTGTCAGGTGAAATGTTTTCCTATGCCCACATGATTTAAAATCAACATTGCAGGCAAAGGCTTAGGGGGCATGCAGACGCCAAGAGTCAGTTGATCTGTGTGCCTGCAAGCAGTTTCCTGTGCCCAATGGTCTGGAATCGGTGTTAGAAACTGAGAAATGAAAGCTAGGAGCTAAATGGCACCTTAAACCTAGGTTATGGGTGCAAGAATCAAATGTCTAGGCCAGGGGTCGGCAAACTAAGGCCCACGGGGCTCGTTAATCTGGCCCATGAACCTTGCGGACCCTGCCGCAAGGCAGCCCCCGTGCAGAGCAGAGGCCTCGTCGTGTGGGGACTGACTTCCTTTGCTTCGTGTGGGGAAGCTCCTGCAACCAATCCAAAGCCGTGGACACCTCTGGGCGATGCCCCTTCCTTCCCGCTGAGACGGCTGTGTATGGCCAAGAGCTGAGCGGGAGGAAAAGGCAACGGCAGGGAGGCTGCCTTCGCCGCCAAGGCCAGCGGCCTGGGCTCTGTGCCCCACGGACCCCTAGCCGAGGCAGAGGATGACGACGACACTGCCAAAGACAAGGGGGTGTCGACAGCTGCGGTGTGAGTGGAGTGGCGGCGGTGGGGTGCTTTCAGGAGAGGGTGGGTCCGGCCCCCCACAAGGTCGAGGGACAGAGGACCGGCCCCCTCCAGAAAAAGTTTGCTGACCCCTGGTCTAGGAACACTTTTTTAATAGCAAGAATACAAAGCTGAAAAGGAATGAACTTCAGCTAAAACATTATGCTCATTTTTCACATGGTGTAGTCCTTCACCTCCCCACCCACCCTAATATTCTTAAGAGGGTATCTTCTCCAGACTTCACAGAGTAGCTGGAAGTGGGGAGGCAGAAAAAGGTCCTCCTTTCCTTCAACTCTGCAGTTTTAATCTGAAATCTTTGGTGTAGTACGGCACCCAGAGCTCAGAAACTACTCATGCTAATGAAATTCCCTGTCGCAAAATGTGCCTAGAAAAATGGGAGTTTCGAACGCTGGCTGGAATCAAACAATACAGGGGAAGTATCCAAGGTTTTCAGGGTTGGAGGTTCCCATTGATGCAGTAAAAGGGCAGTAAAGTTTTTAAGCCCTGAAATAGCCCTATTTATACAAAGGGAATCAGTATTATTCCTGCTTCATCAGATTGACGCTTCACCTAGGGACTAACAGTTTTACTTACTAGCAAGATTGACATCTTCCACTGTAAAATTCATAGCAACAACATATAGCACATATTTAAGAAATCAAAGAAATAAATCTTGCTGAATTTCTACTTTTACTTACCAGAAAAATCCAATTTCTCTATTGAAGACTCAAATTCTTGAACATCATCTTTTACTTCAAGGTTTTCTGTAAGTTGTTCAGGACTTGGAGTTGCAGTTTCTAATAAACTGCTATTTCCAAACATAAATGGGAGTCTCTCATATATTTTTAATTTATCTTCAAGCTCTGAAATCTGAAAATGTTACAATGCAATTTAAAAAATCAATAAAGCAGTTTTTAACATATTTAAAGCCAGTAATTACTAAGTCATCTTGCCTAACCTTCTCCTGCAATATCTTCAGCTGATTTACATGCTCCTGGTCTCTCTCTCCAATAATTTTTGTATGATCCTCTTCCTTTTTCATGAGTTCTACTTCTCTGGAAGGGGAAAGAAACAGTCACATTATGCAATTCAGAAGGAGCTAGTTGAGCTAGTTATCATGTTGAGCTAGTTATCAACGTGTATTGAAAAACTAAAATAACTACCAGTGTATATTGTTAAGTCTTCTACTTTTACAATCTCATCTCTTACACAGTATTATTCTGGATGATATATAAAACTAGTGAACACCAACATCTCCATGAAATTACATAGCTTCATGTCCTCTTTCTTTCTACTTGTTCTTTGTTCTCCCACTCACTCCCTGTCTGTCCCACATCTACTCTTTCTATTGCCACTGTCCTCTCCCGCTTACCAAGATGGCCTGTTCTTACCAGCAAAATACATTTCCAAGTAATCTCATTGTTTTTTTATTAACCTAACCAGTTCCATTTTTCCTTAAGACCAAAACCCATTCCACATTGTAAGCAGCCTGATGGATTTTATTTTCTTGCATGCCTCTGAATGCACATATAGGAGACCCTGTTGCAGGATTTGACTAACCAGTCTAAGGAGAAAATGTGTTGTGGTTTTCTATTCTACTCCCACCTGCCACCCTATTTTAAATGTTAATTCTGTTGCTTAGCAGATGTTCCATGTGACCTCCTGGTTCCTTTAAAAGTTCTTTATTTGTTTTTACTTAAAATTTACCTTTAGAGTTACACACTCTGAATCCTAGCCAATTTACCTCTCTGCTGTGTTTATTAGAGAACTGAGTCTCTCAAAGCCCCTCCAAGATAATAGCAAAGGATACACTATCAAAGTATTGTGACTTTGTTTTTAAATATTCTGTAGAAACTACATGGAGTATCTGTCAGATTATGAGATAAATGTTGTAAAGTATGCATTTTCCCATTGTGGCATCAACTTAGATAACTTCCCTCTATTTATGCTTTCCATGTTTCAGAGTGTTTTCACTACTGAAATCAAACTCTCTTAGATTTTTCTGCATCATCCAAAATCAACCACTGACAGATATGCATAACTTATAGTACATGCAAGAAATGACAAGGAATGTCCTGTATGAGATTAACTGAAAGAAAATGACAATGAACTCACTTTTGCTGATACTCTTTGAGTAATTTTTTGGCCTTGTTGTATTTTTTCTCCAGGGCATCATATTGTTCCTGAGTTTCTTTAAGATGTTCATTTACTGTTTTGCATAAACTTTGTGCTTCTAACCAATAGGTCTCCAACTTCTTTATTTTTTCTTTATTCTCACTTAAAGTTTCCTGGAGCTGGGATTTAGTTAACTCCCATTCAATCTTTTCAGCTTCTGATGCTTTTAACTTTAAAAAACAATTCACCAGTATTAGGTATTAGCTATTTAACTCTTCACAATCATTTATGAGTCTTAAACAGCTATGTGCAGCAATGAACAACAACAACAGCAAGAAAAAGCTACTGACTTGCAAATCACTGATACAGCTAATATTGCTTCATAGAAGTCCTTCTGGACAAAATCTGTTCAGGATTATTCATTTTACAACATATTCTCATTTTATTTTTTATTTCTGGCCACATCCCAAACTTCTAAGATTCAGACTGCTCCTGTCAGCATGGAAGACAAATATGCTATCCCACCTTCAGAAACAAACTCATTTCTAAAGGCCTACATCATCAGACAGCTTATTGCTAGCAACATTTTGAAAGTTTCATACAAGTCATTGAAGCTGCAGTATACATTTACATTCAATCCGTATCTGCATCGGAATTTGGGGGCTTTTTTTGGTTGAAGAGTGGAATTAAAAGGCTTTAAATAAATGAAAATTGGCAGTGGCGTTGTCAGATCCAAGGCTTGAGTAACATTTACGAGTTTCATAGAAGATGCTTTTGCAGAGGTTCCTGTTTTCTCCCTGCCATGTAAGCAGCTGTCCCAGTGCAGCGTGAGATTTACTTTTCATACTGTACTTTAGATAGAAGGAAAGAGAGTAGCCACAGCCGGAACTGGTCTGTGACCGTAATAATAAAATTCATTCATTCAGTATCCATAGTTCACTCTGTGCAACAAGTCATTGCCACTCTGCTACTAAAATGATAATGTAGAAATAATATTGACAGATCAAAGACTCCTATGCTGTTGAAATTTACATAGAATGAATTTACTTTGCCTGTCAGATATTTTCCCAACACAGTTCTGCAGTGATTGAAAAATCCACACCTGGTACAGCTTTTTATGCTAACGTTCAATTTATGTGTGTGTGTGTGTGTGTGTGTGTGCGCGTGCGCGCGTGCTTTCCTTATCAACAAATGTTGCAATCTCTATCTTAATAAAACTTTCAGCATATAGACAACATACCAACATTTTTACAGTGCACCTGGTAGAATTTTTCCTTCTGTAGCAGGAGGTAAGAAATCAGACTGCACCATGTAATTCTCAAGCCTGGCACTATAGATGATGAAGGGAAAGGAGGTTGTTCCCTTTACAAAATGAGAATAGGCAGTAGACAAAGGTGTGTTGGAAATAAAAACTGGGGTGCACAGAGCAAGAGCTAATGCAATTTTCCTCCAATACAGTTGCCATTTCTACCTGGATAGTTCTGAGCTTGCTTTTGTTTCCAAAGCATTATTACATGGAATAATTTAATAAACACATCATATTTATATTTAAAACAAAAATACCAAGAGAAAGAGGAAAAAATATACAAGGACCAACATCCTTCATCAATCATCATAAATAATTTATTTAAATAATGAACTTACTTGCTTTTGATTAAAGTTTGGTTTCACCATAGCTGTCCTCAGCATATCCACATATAAACCAAAACAATTTTCATATATCATTATATATTAAAATTGTACCTTTTCCTTAAGCTGGTTAACTTCAGCTGTCGTAACTGCATGCTTCAACTGTAGCTACAAAAGGATAATAAAAAAACAACTTGTCAGAGGAGAAAACAATGGGTATAATGAAAGGTTGTTGTTTTTGTAAGATCATTAAGTCCTTAAACACAGTAATTCTATACTGCAGTTTCTACTGCTATCTTCAGAGTATCTCTAAACATAAAAAGGATCTATGAAGCAACTGAGATCCATTTATCTGCAACGTAATATTTATGTTGATCACACTGTGCTTATTGGATGAGTTTGCTGGTGTATGTATTCCTATTTGTGAGTCAACCACTCATTTCCAACTATAGCTGGTTCAGGAATGTAATGCTAACATATACTTTTTACCGAATATCTAACATAAAATATGAAAGCAAATAAAAATGTCTTAAGTCAAAGCTTTCTGGAAAAAAGAACTGAATTTAAATATTTTTAAAGATTAGTGATCAAGTTTCATTATTCACCGACAGAATTCTAAGAAGGAAAACATTTCAGGCTGGTTATCCTTTGCAAGATAGCAATAAAAGAAGTGATCCACTACTAACTTATGAGACTCTCAGGGTTGCAGCATGACCAAAGGAGCATAATTCAAATGAGAACAACCAAGTCCCCAGCTCACACATGTGGAGACTGAAAGATTATACTTTTGGTTTTGTGTTTTTTAAAAAGCATCTCTGGAGAAGTGTATTCTGAAGGCTTGATATTACACATGCCAATGCAAAAACAAGTTTTGGTTTTTATATCAGAAAGTTAGTAAGGTCTATCTGATAAAGTCTCAGATCTAAATGTCCACTGAAGAAGCTCAGTGTAAAGGTTTTGAGGCCACTGAACACATCACCCACAGAACTCAGAATAACTGTGACAGCACACTTCAGTACTGCTCTCCCAGTGCAGATGAGGAAAAAACCTCAACCAAACAGGGAAGCTCCTGCATGTAAACAGAAGCACCAATATGGATCTAAGAGACTCTTCGGATTGCCTTGAGCCTCACTTCTGGGGAAAAGGTGTGAAATAAAGGCAGGCAAGCAGGCAGTGGAATGGATATAGTTTTGTAATCGATAAAATATATTGCCAATATATAACTAACATATATTGATAAATTTCTGCTAACTTGCTCTTTTTCCGTGAAATCTACCATTTGAGAAGTGATTTGCTAATAAATTATTCTTTTCATAAAGGAACAGCAGAAGATTTAAGGAGAAAAATATCCTTAAATCTAGAATTACAGTATAGATGCTGTAACCAAACCTTGGTTAAGTGAAACTGAATTAACGTGTCAGCTCCTGGAGAGTTGACTGCAGTCATTTTGCTGCTCCCAGTCCTCTTTGCAACCATGCCACACTAAGCTAAATTGCCTGAACTAGGACTCATGGTTAAGGTTTGCTTTTTGTTACAGGCTCATGGTTAGGGAGGAGGGAGCTTAACCATGACTCCCAGTTCAGATGACATGTTAAGCCAAACCTTAGCTCAGTGCAGCACATCAGCAAAAAAGTGTCAGGGTGGAGCAAAGTAGATTTAAGACAGAAGCCTGCACATTTGTGCAGTCTAAGGCAAATGTGTGAATCATGCTAATGTCTGTAGACAATAGAACATGTAACAGGGACATGTAATGGAGTCCAACCAAAATTAACTATCCATTTAATAGACAGCAAATCATTGCATCATACCTCTTTAAACTTCAACAGAAACTGTGTAGAATCCATGTCTAGTGGCAAATTAATATCCTCATTTTCTGGAAGATAAAACACTTCCACCGATTTTCCATGTAAATTTGATTCAAAAGAATCTTCATCTTCATCATAATCTTCATCCTGAAAAGGTATTATGTATTATTGAAACTAAGTACAACTTTTTCTAACAAAGATAAAATGGCTTTGAAATGTCCCTTCTATATTTCTGCATTTAAAATAACAACAACAACCTGTGTAAATCCATACACAATTCAACTTGAAATACTCAAAAACAGTTCAGTTCTGGTTGCCTCACTTCAAAAAGCATATTGTAAAGTTGGAAAAGGTTCAAGAAAAGACAATCAAAATGACCAAGGGAGTGGGAAAACTCCCATTTGATGTTACAGAATCTGGGGCTTTTAAGTTTAGAGGCTTTTAAGAGGCTTTTTTTTTTTATAGAGGCTTTTAAGTTTAGGCTACATGAAGGCAGTGTATAAAATTATTCATGACATGGAGAAAGCAGGTGGAGAAGTGTTTCCTCCACTCTCTTATAACACTACACATTTTTCTTACATTTGCTGTCCAAAAAAGACACATACTAGTTTTGAACTCCATTGTATTTGATAATTATAGGAGGGCACTGCTCAGGTACAAACATATCCAAAAGCTTGTAGTTGCATAGATTACTTTATTACAGCTTTTACATTAGAAGTCAGCAACCAGAGCCCCCTGGGACTAAATCCGGTCAACTGGGGAGTGCAAACTGCCCCCTCAGCTGCCAACTTACAGACACCTAAGTTGAAGAGAAAAATACAGTAACTGGTAACAAAAAGCAAGATACCGTATTTTTCTGTGTATAACACAACCCCATGTATAATACAACCCCTACTTTTGGGAGCCCAAAATTTAGAAATCATTATTTTAAAGTTGTTCAGCTTTTTGGGGAAATCGCCCAAAAGGTTGTTGAGCTTTTTTATGGCGATTCCCCACTTGATTCCTCGCACCTCAGCACAGCCTCGCCTCTCAAGTCTGTATCTGGCTTCGCCTCACCTCAGCCAGACAAAGCTGACAGCGCCACGGCCATGCTCCCTCCTCACCTCAACACCGCCTCGCCTCTCCATGGCCCTGAGTACCAGCTCACCCAAGACTTACTGTATAAATCTGTGCATAAGACAACCCCCAATTCTGACTAAAAATTTGGGGGGCGGAAACATCGTCTTGTACACAGAAAAATACTGTACTTTATAGGCTGGTGGTTAATATACTGGCCCACTATCTCTCTCATTTCTCAAAATAGCTCTTTAAGAAAGCTACTTGCTGGCTAGGGCTATAGATTAAGCATCCTCCAGGAAAGGAAAAGGTTTGCTGAAATATTTTGAACATGTACAGTGGGAAGTTGTAATATTTCTTTCTATTACTGGTGTTCAGGGTAAGTGACAATCTCTGCACATTCAAAACATCACCACCCACAAAGATGGAGCAAATGCTTGCGGGACCCTGGAAGTTTACTTGGGTGAAGGAAGAGGGGGGAGGAATAGAGAGCAAAAATGGCAGTGGATTCAGTCAGCAAAGTTGCCCATTCAGAGTATGAACTATATTTGACCGGTAAGGCTGAACATGACTGTACCGCCTCTTGATTATGTGGACAGTTATGAGGTGTGGAGAAGGAAAGGTAACACAACAAGATCAGCAGGAAAGGGGGCTCAGAATGAACCAGGAGAAAGAACTTGGGAGCAGGGCACAGGAGAGGAAAGGTGTACAACGTACATGCAATGTTATATTTTAATTGATACCTGTTCTGTATCATCATGGGCATACTGATGCTCATACAAACATCTCTCCTGCTCCAATGTCTCACTTATAAGTCGAGCTACTTCACTCTGAGTTCCTGGTTTTTCTCTTCCAATCAGAAACCTACAGAAAACCATCAACCACCATCAATAAGTCAAATATAAAATGACAGTGTCACCAGCAGGAAATAATTTTAATATTTCCCCTTCAACTCTATTACTAAAAAAACCCTGCTTAGCTATTTATAAAATTACACATACCTGACTGTGCCTTTTGTATTTTTTAGTACAGTTGCTGCAAAAAACTGGGTTACTCCAACAAGACTGATACCATCAACTTCAACAATTTGATCATTTACTTGGATTCTGCAAGGCAAAGAATAAACATATTTGGTATTACACACCACACTATATTTGTTAAAATAAAAGGGCATTTGAATGAAAACAATAAAAAGCATATGAGTAAGGGCCTGTCTGTGATTATGTTCTACAGAACATACCCTACAGAATATTTTCAATGGTGACTTTTGGATAGATTATTAATTCTATTTATATCTCACCTTTCCTCACAAATGAGCCCCCTACCACAGGGAAAAAGAAACTAAAGATCTAAACCAGACTCAAATATGTTTGCTTTAAAAATGAAAGTATATGTTTAAAGTGAAGGTAGGGACTGGGAGAATATATATTTAAACTAGTTAAGAACTTCTTAAGGAGGCAATATGCACTTGCTCAATTCCAAGTGATACATTTTTGATAATGAAGAGCTTGTGTAAGATCCTATCTGCACCTTCCTTCTGTTACAGTGGTAATAAGCAAGCTTCTAGGGGTTGGAGAACCTTCTAGAATGACATTCAACACAATATAGGGGCTGTAATCTCATAGGATATTTAAAGAAGACATCCACCTTTGCACACTAACACTGCATGAGTGAAAAAGTAGAATTTACATGGCCTACTGTGTTGTGCAACTGTCTCTCTAATAAACACTATCCTTATAGAAGGAAAACATGGTTTCCCATTTCACCTGAACTGAGCCAGTGAAACATTCAGATACTGAAAGTAATAAAACTTAGTTCATATACTTTTACTCTGGCTTGGTTTTACTAATATCTGCAAAACAGAATAAGCATTCCTAGCGGAAACTTACCGACCGTCTTTCTGAGCAGCTCCACCTTCAGTAATTGTTTTGACAAAGATTCCCAGCTTTTCCAGCCCCTGATCTGCACCAACACCCATTCCAATAATACTGATACCTAAACCACTGTCACCTATGGGTTACAAAAGAAAAGAAAAAGACTGTGTATTTTTAAAATTAGATTCATAGCTAATAATTATTGGTCATATCTGCAAAATGCCTTATTGGCTTAATATAGTATTTACCGTATTTTTCGCCCTATAGGACGCACTTTTTCCCCTCCAAAAATGAAGGGGAAATGTGTGTGCGTCCTATGGGGCGAATGCAGGCTTCAGGAAGCTATCCCCAAGCCTTGCGAGCCCGGCAGGAGTTCCTGCCGGGCTCGCAAGGCTTGCGGGCGGCAGGCTGCAGCCCGAAGCACGGGGCACGCTCCGGAGCGCACCCCGGGCTTCGGGCAGATATCGGGCAGCCCCAAAAGCTCGGGGGACAGCGGGGAGGCGGAGCGCCGCCATCCCGCTGTTCCCGCTGCAAGCTTCTCCCCACCGCCAGCCCCACAAGCTCGGGGGATAGCGGGGCAAGCCGCTGCCCCACGGAGGCTAGGGAGGCTGTCCCTGAAGGCAGAAGAGGGAGACGGAGCGCTCCGTCTCCCTCTTCTAGCTTGGGGATATTTTCCTTGATTCCCCCCCCAAAAAAAAAACTAGGTGCGCCCTATGGGGCGAAAAATACGGTAAATCATAAACAGGAAGTCATTCTATGATGACTGAAGTAAGAAATGCATTTATGCATTCTTAAAAAAAGAACGATGTACTGTGACAATCCAATGAATTCTGTTTTTGCATACATTCCTGTACTGTACAATCCTCCACTCAATTTTCAAAAATCTTTATATTTCAGCCTTCCAGCCCTTATCAAACATTTAAGAAGCAATCCTAAACTCAGCTGACAAGACAAAAAAAATTCCTTCCAGTAGCACCTTAAAGACCAACTAAGTTAGTTCTTGGTATGAGCTTTCGTGTGCATGCACACTTCTTCAGAAGTGTGCATGCACATGAAATCTCATACCAAGAACTAACTTAGTTGGTCTTTAAGGTGCTACTGGAAGGAATTTTTTTTGTTTTGACTATGGCAGACCAACACGGCTACCCATCTGTAACTGTCAGCTGACAAGGTCTTTCATTAGTCTTCTATGTCTACTCAGAATTCCCATCAACTTCACCAAGGCTTAATTCCAGGCCATTTTGACCACTTTGGCCTGAAAGTAAAAGTTATTTTTGCAGGATAAATGTTTAAAATGCATACCTTTTTCAATTTCCACAGGAAAAACCTCCATTTTCTCCACCCTTTTCTCAAGTTCATACTCAGCTGATGCTGACACAGGGTCAACCTCTTCATTACGTCTATCATAGTCTTCATTTGAGTAAGTATTGAATACCTAAGAAAATAAGAGATGGTTTTAGAGCAGTTTTGCACTCATGAGAGTTCACTAGATCTAAAAACCAGATACTATTTGCATGTAAATACTAACACATAACCCTTCATTTTCATACCCCTTTTGCAATTTCTCTAACCAATGAAGTATATGAACTCTTTACTCAAAGTCATCAACTCCACACAAAGTTAACCAAAACTCCACATCAAAGGAATAAAAGATTTAGTCTTAACATAAGAATATGAGTTATATCTCCTAACTTAAATAATTTGGTCTGCTTCCATGGCCCAGTTTTCAAATGAACGAACAATCAAAATTATTTTAAAAACAACATAAAGAAACAAAAGGTATGAAGATTGGGTATAGGCAGCCCACTGAGCTAAGACAAAAGAAAAGAGGTAGAAAAAATGCAAAAAGGAAAAACCTGTTCTCAAAAGTGTCAATGAATTATTACAATTCAATGTATTTCAGGGTGCAGTTCCTCCTTCAGGAACAATGTACACATAATTAAAAATATAGAAGTCAAATAACATGATATGAACAAAATACAATGCTTATCAATGGCTTGTAATAAAACTTATCAATTTGCACTTTTGAGAATAGGCTTCTATTTTTTGCATTCTTTCTGTTTGTGTGTCTTCCTCTTGGAGTTTTGGCAAAAGACAACAGTAGTGATAAACAAAAAAACAAAAAGGTGCTGACAGGAGTCAGGGACTACTGACAACTATCCTGTCAGACAACTACCCTGACTACTGACAACTCTTCACATCTACTTTTTCAGCACATTTTTGGAGCTCTACTTTGGACAGGATAGTCTGAAAAACATACAAGCCAAAACTAGTTTGAAGTATGCTAGTTTTTTCTGTTTGCAGATGGCAAAAATCTGCACTGAAATCTACTATACTTTTTCAAAGAAGGGTGTTTTTGGTAAAGTATTTTTAAAAACAAACAAAAAAAACTTATACATGTTTCCTTTTTTCTACCATCATGAGTTATTTCACTCAGTTCCATCTATTTCATGGGACATATTCTAATATTCTAATATAATTTGTTAATAATATAATCTTAGTAATGTGTTTGTTCTGTGCAGAATCAAACTGTTTCCAGGAACAGGAAACATGAATTTTCTGATAACACTATATTTAGTAATCATGGCAGTAATCCAAAATGCCTCAGAAAAAGTAGACAAATATTTGTTATGTATTTATTAAGGGAATGAAGATGTCCTTCTTTCAGAAAAATGCTTTTATTCAGATTAAACCTGTTTCAGAAATCAAGCCACATAGCAGAAATAGCAACTGCTATATCTTGAGATCCTTGGAAGATAAAGGTGGTATATAAATTAAATGAATAAATAAATAGATAGATAGATAAACAAATAGTATAGTCTGTACCAGCTTATTTTAAAACAATCAAGTTACTAGAGATGGACGGGAAAAAATCTCATAAATTTCTTCATATAAGAGTTTTTATTCCCTAGGTATCACTGAAATGCTATCTAACTAATTCAGAATTCTGGGCTGTTGCACAAAATTTCCAAGATCAGTCTTTGACGTTGCACACAAGTAGTAACAGGAAGTATTAATGATTCACAATTGCTGTGTACCATGCAAAGCAGGAATTCAACCAAGTTCCATATCTAGCACCTACACACGTCAATGCATGGTAGATGCAAAAGTTCTAGCTTTGTACATTAACCAGGAAGCAGAAAGGGAAAATAGCACAAGAGCATATTACTGTATTTATATTGCCTAATATTTCTGGACATTCTGGACAAAAGAAAATTAACAAAGAGGTAGTTGGGTTTCCACAGCTTATAATCCACTCTTCACAGAAGTAACAATTCTGCAAAAGTGGGAGTGGGTGGCTGGAGGAAAAACAGTTGTCCTCTGAGAAAAGTCTAAGAAAAGTCTGTTGGTGATGGTTATAAGAAAAAGACTAGGGTTACAGAGAAAAAAGGGCGGTTGTGTTAAATAAAACAGGTGATAGTAACCGAGGTTACAATTTGGATTATACTAAGCCCGCAATTTACACAAGGGTTACATTCTGTGGATTGCACCTAAAGCCAACAGATTGTATTACAGTCAAAACCAACTGGGTTCAAAGGTGAGTGGGATTGTCAAAGCAATTCTTCCCAGAGCCTCACCTCTATTCCGCCTATTATTAATTATTATTATTATTATTATTATTATTATTATTATTATTATTACATAAAGCTGTATGTGCAGAAGTTAAATGTGTGTAAGTTGCAGGGTATAGAGAGTATAGAGGTAGTGCAACAAAACCTGTTATAGCTTTTGGGTAGAGAAATATATTTACCTCAACTGTTTTCTTCTCAAGGTTCATGTTACTGAAACATATTTTATTTGCGATTTATGTTTGAATGTTTTGCTTTGGTCCCAAGAAAAAATGTTTTTAAAGAGACCCTGCTAATTACTATATTCCAAAAAGGTGCCAGCTACAACTCGTGAGATGCAGTAGCTTTGAGATACGACATAAACAGGAACCTAGTAGTGTCGTGGTCAAGGCAGTGCTATACAGTGGTACTTACCATAGATTCCAGCGTATAAGACGACTTTTTAACCCCGGAAGAGGTTAAAAAGTTGGGGGTTGTCTTATACGCCGGGTATGTCTTCCTCCCAGCGCGGAGCCCAACACCCACTGCTGCTTCGGAAGCTGCCGTTGCAGCAGCAATGGGCGGCGGGCTCCGTGCCGGGAGGAAGCCGCCCAGCGATGCTAAGCCGGCTTTGCTGGGTGGCTTCCTCCCGGTGCCGAGCCAATATATAAGACAGGGTCATCTTATACGCCCAGTCACCTAGTATGCCGGAATCTACGGTAATTTGTTCTGGAGGTCTGTTCTTAACCTGAAACTGTTCTTAACCTAAAGCACCACTTTAGCTAATGGGGCGTCCTGCTGCTGCCATGCCGCTGGAGCATGATTTCTGTTCTCATCCTGAAGCTAAGTTCTTAACCCAAGATACTATTTCTGGGTTAGCAGAGTCTGTAACCTGAAGCGTATATAACCTGAAGCGTATGTAACTCGAGGTACCACTGTACCTTGATTGGCTATCTAGGCAAGTAGCTCTCACATGTACACATACCACAAATTGCTACATGAATTAAGCTTCCCAGACAATAACTTCTAATGAACTGAGCTTTTAACGGAGAGAAACTAGGAACAGAAAATTTTCTGTATGTATAGACCTATGGGCACCAGCTTTGGTGCTTTCATGAATAGTGGGTGTGTGCAAATCCCAGAATTGTAGAGCTGGCAGGGACCCCAAGGGTCATCTAGTCCAAGCCCCTGCAGTGCAAGTATCTCATGTGCATTTTCTGAGCAATTTACTTGCTAACTAGAAATATGGGCTCCAAAAGAAGTTTCCTATAGAAAGGTTAGATTCTGAAAACACAAGCAACATCCACTGAGTTCTCCCTTACTCCAGCCACACTGTCAAGGGAAAACCACCCTCTTAGCACTGTGTTCACTTCCACCCTTACTGGGTACCTTTGACAAAAGTAATTGCAAGAGCCTTGCTCTTTCTGTTCCTGTGTCACAAGTGAAATAGAACTTTTACATCACACCCATCCAGGAAATGCATAAGCTAAAGTCACTGGATGATAAGCAATATTAGTCATACTCAGAACAGGACCATTGAATTCTGTGTATTTAAGTACATTAATTTTAGTTGCTGTACTCTGAGTATGACTTAGCTCTCACCCACTTGCTTTTAATCTACCATAATTATGAATTTTGGCTATCAATGGTTACTAGGGTGTTTGCTTTCAGAGGTTAGAGCTTGTGTGATCATTTTGAAACAAGTATCCCCCCCCCAAATCCACAATCTTTTAAAATGAGATTTCATTCACAAGCACCAAGATACAATTAGGTCTATGGCTATTAAACTTCAGCAATGATCAGTTTATTTCCTGTTAACATGTTTTGATGTGGCAGCATGAATCAGTATGGATGATATGAACATTCCAATGTAAGTTATTTTAATTTCCATTTTTCCAGCGCCTGTTCCAATTCTGCCATTTGTAGCAGATTGTCCCCTAATAACCAAAGCTACTGGTAGTCATCTGTAATATAAATGAAATTCTATTTCTCCTAATATAAACACAGGCTCATTCAAATCTCTTAAGATCATTTTCTGTAAAGACAATTCTTCTCAATGTGCTCTGAAAATTTCCGCACCATCTACAGCAGGGGTGAGAAACCTGTGGCCCTCCAGATGTTGTTGAACTTCAGCTCCCATCAGCCGAGACAGTGTAGCTAATGGTCACAGATGTTGGCAGCTGTAGTCCAGCAGCATCTAAGGAAGCACAGGTTCCCTAGCCCATCACCATTTTTAATTATGCCAATATTGGTTAAGGTATTTTAAAAGATTATCGAATAAGATGTGTGGACACAATGGTGAGTATGAACAGAACTTCACATTCCCCAAACAACTTTGGCAACAACTGGTATTCAAAATGCTTGATCATGCCATGAGTATGGCTGCCATTAACACCATGCAGATAGCAGTTTAAGAAAGCTTCCCAGGCCTTCACTTCCAGCTCACAAATAACAAATGCAGTTTGTGACTTTATTTATTTTCTGCTGCTCCAGAGAGTAAGACTGAAACCAATAACTTCAAATTACAAGAAAAGGGATGTAGACTGAGCACCAGGAACAACTTCCTGGCAGTATGAGTTTTTCAACAATGGGACACACTGCTATTGAAGGTGGTCTTAACATTAAACTTTTGCCAGCTGTACCATAAAACTTCTTATTGCTGATTTTTAAATTTCAAATTCTTAAATTATGAATCCTATATAAGCTACTAGAGCTATTGGTGCAAGGAAGAAAAAAGTATGTGTCACTAAGCTGTACAAGGTAGTACAAGACAGGGGCCTCTCAGGCCCAATTTAAGTAAGAAGCGAGAATGTCCCAAAGACTAGTTTGGGTGGGAAACCCCACCCCATTGTAAAATGTTGATATGATAGGAAGTAGCTTATGGAAGATAATGTCAAACTTTTAAAATAAGATACAGTATATCAAGTACACAACATTGTGATTACCTTTCACCAAGAATAGCTTATTTATGACCATCATAGTAATTGCCTACAATTGTATAGATTTTGAATGGTTTTATATAGGACCCCCTACATGCAAAATCTTAAGAAAGAAACGTAGCTTAGCACAATCCTAACCATCTAAGTGCAAATGCAAGAGAGGAACATTAGCATGCACTATTCTGCACACCTGGGTCAATTACAGGGAACCATGCTAGTTAAAGAATACTGCTACTCTTTCTGCAAGTAGCAAAAAAGAGAAATAAGAACAGCAGAGAACTTCTCCCACCTCCATTGTGAGGTAGGTCAGGCTGAGATACAGTGACTGGACCAAGTTCACCCAGTGAGTCTCATGCCTCAGTAGGGATTCCAACCCCATTTTCCTCAGGTCCTAGTCTGACACTCTAACCACTAAACCATTAGCTAAGAAGGAACCTTTTTCAATTAACCATGGTTAACACTGGTACAGAGGTAAACATTGACAACAGAAGGGAGAATCATGCCATAAAGGGGAGGAGATAGGCAAAAGGAGTATGTGAGCTTTCCATCTACAGCGGTACCTTGGTAGTTGAACAGTGAGGCTCCCGAACAAATTGGCAAATCAGCTCCCAAACACTGCAAACCTGGGAGTGAGTGTTCCAGTTTGCGAATCTTTTTTGGAAGCCGAACGTCTGACACGGCTTCTGATTGAGCGCGGGAAGCTCCTGCAGCCAATCAGAAGCTGTGCCTTGGTTCTTGAACCATTTCAGGAGTTGAATGGACTCCCGGAATGGATTAAATTCAAGAACGAAGGTAACACTGTACTCCCAATCTCTCAACCACAATGTCTGATGCTCCGGAAATCAAAAATGCACCTTACAAAAGACAAAACTGATGCTTACTAGAGCAAAGTAAAAACATGTTCGCCCAAGGTAACACATGTTAGATAGAGCAGGCTTCCTCAACCTCGGCCCTCCAGATGTTTTGAGACTACAATTCCCATCATCCCTGACCACTGGTCCTGCTAGCTAGGGATCATGGGAGTTGTAGGCCAAAAACATCTGGAGGGCCGAGGATGAGGAAGCCTGTGTTAGAGAAATGGTGGGAAAGGTATCAGCTGATTCTTTAATAGTCAGTTAAATGAAGATATCATATGATCATCAGTTGTCAACATTAGTTTACCTCAAGTTTGCCCATAGGCTATGAATGAGGTTTTCGATTCAGAATGACCAACAACTGGCTGCAATCCAGAGCAGTTCCTTTTCAACACACTTCCATTAGTTTCCAAAAGTTAACTGAGGCTGAGATATTAAATGCTAGCATTTTAAACTAAACTGCATTTTATTTTAGTCACATGATCTTCAGAATTCCTTTTTGAAACTTTACTGCTTGAACATGAAACCAAAGTGTTGGGCCTTTACTGAATAATCACAAAATTAATAGGCTACCTAGGTGCTTATTAGGATAAGAATAAAAGCATCAGTCCAAAGGATCTCTGTGCACAGTACTTGGCTGTAGCGGAAGTATCTTCAGGCACAGAGCAACTGAATTATCAGTATGGGGTCAAAGCAGATGTGACCGTAAATATGTCCATGTCTCCCATTTAACATGCAGGTCTTGTATGATGCAAATAGCAGCATGTCGGGTGGTAAGCGGTGGAGGACAAATTAACCCTTTTCCTTCTCTGCTATGATCCTGAAGAAAATCCCTCCTTTGAAGGTGCCATTTTCTCTTGGAAATCCCCATTCACAATAGGGAAATCTCTCCCAATTCAAACAGCTCATTCTCAAGATCACAGCAGGTGAGAAAAAGGTTAAATTCTTTCTCATGCCTTCTGAAATCCAAATAATAATTATCAGTTCCCCTTCAATGTTGCTGCCATTTACATTAAAACAAACACATGTTAATTGCAAAGACACTTTAACCTCATAATCATGTCGGCCCACAATTTTAATATCAACTACAGTGGTACCTCGGGTTACAGACACTTCAGGTTACAGACTCCGCTAACCCGGAAGTAGTACCTCGGGTTAAGAACTTTGCTTCAGGATGAGAACAAAAATTATGCTCTGGCAGCGCGGGAGCAGTGGGAGGCGCCAATGGCTAAAGTGGTCTCAGGTTAAGAACAGTTTCAGGTTAAGAACAGACCTCCAGAACGAATTAAGTTCTTAACTCGAGGTACTACTGTATCTGTTTGGAGGTGAGAACGGGCTTTTGAATTCTTCTTCTTCTTTTATCTACTCATTTCAGGTGACTGGTACAGTCAGAGCTGGATACACTGATTGAGGGATGCAAATAGGAAGTAACCTGGCCCGTCATTGTTCTTTTTTACTGAGGTAATAACAGGGTAAAAAACACATATAATTCACATAAATTAGGGCATGGCTAGCAAAGGTATTGCCCTCCAGCTGCTTTGACTAAAACACCCATCTGCCCAACCAGCATAACCAACTGTCAGTGCTGATGGGCCTTATAGTCCACAAAATGTGGAGGTCACCACACTACCTACCTCTGAATAGGCACATTGTGTATGAGCCTTATAATTTCTGGTTACAGTGGTTCCTCTGGTTAAGAACTTAATTCATTCTGTAGGTCTGTTCTTAATCTGAAACTGTTCTTAACCTGAGGTACCACTTTAGCTAATGGGGCCTCCCGCTGCTGCCGCATTATTTCTGTTCTCATCCTGAGGTAAAGTTATTGACCCAAGGTACTAGCGGAGTCTATAACCTGAAGTGTCTGTAGCCCGAGGTGTCTGTAACCCGAGGTACCACTGTATATAAAACAACTATGGAACAGAATTGATTTGGAGTTGTGGAATTTTACTCCTACTTCAAGGTTCTAAACATGCTTATACATACAAAACTAAGTCCCACCAGTTTCAATGGGACTTACTGCCCAATCAGCATGCTTAGGACAGAAGCCTCAGACATTTAACTTAAGTTCAAAATTTGCCATGTATTAGCAGCACATTACCAGAAGGCTTTATAAATATTTTTTAAAATTCCAAAGTAGGGCTCAGCTACCTTTTTCAGCCATCCCTCAGACCATGTGGTGGGCCGGACTATATTTTTTTTTCTATGCAAAAATTTCTATGCCCCCCAAATAACCCAGAGATGCATTTTAAATAAAAGGACACATTCTACTCATGTAAAAACACACTGATTCCCAGACCATCCGCGGGCCGGATTGAGAAGGCGATTGGGCCGCATCCGACCCCCAGGTCTTAGGTTGCCTACCCCTGTTCCAAAGCATAAATAATTATGAGTGCCCAAACTACATTCTACCCACTTTTGTCTGTTTGTTCCAGTATTAAGGGCTCCGGGTAAACTGATGTATGCAAATTAATAAAGCTAATCTGTGTATCATGTAACCATCCAACTAATACTGTTTAAATGTTAACTTTCAAGTTTTAAAAACACACTTGTTGCAAAAATGAATCTAATTCAGTACTGAAGTCAAAAACGACCTCAAACTTCTTTTAGGAAGACACAAGGTTCACATCACACTTGCAAAAGTTAACTGAGAACAATCTTGGTTAGCAGTGCTATCTTTTGCAAACCTTTCTGTTGCTATGCTTTTGAAAACACACAACTCCCTAACCTCCCCCAAAGCTCTACAATATTCCCAATCCGTTCTACCCTAAAATGATAATCCATGTACAAGCCTAGCAATTTGAAAGTTCCAGATAAATGATCATCTTCAAACATTAACCACTATTGGGAAATACTTCCTTAGATCACTTTGGGTGATATCCAACACTTCTCCCCCCTGCTGACGAAAGGCATCCATCAGGAGAATAGAGAGAAAAGCATTTCTCAGTAATTCCCCCTCTTCCCTTCAGTCTCCTGTGGCTCCTCAAAATCTGGAGGGCTGAGAAACCCTGTGAAGCAGTTTTTGAGTGACAGCAGAGGGTGTAGAGAGGAGGAGTCACCAAAACTGCCTCCCGCCACTATTCTGCTGACAGAAGCTTTCCACCGGTGAAGAGGAAGCAGTGGATATCACTCATTCAACCCAATTATAGGCATGCTTATTTGGAAGTCCTATTAATATCAAAAGGGACTGGCTGCTAAACAAACCAGGTGGATGAAGCCAAGGGGTTCTACAATTACATTCAGTATTATTTGTCACCATAATTAAATCAAAAGCAACAATGATTATACCATACAACATGTAATCTTCTGGAAATGGCATCATCACATTAGGCATTAGGGAAAAGGAAGGAAAATACAACTATCCATGACACTTTACCTTGATTGGGGCTGTGGAAAACTTTACTTTCCTATCCGGATCGGGATCTTCTTCTTCAGAGAGTCCAGGAAATTCCTCATAATTACTATCATAGTTGTATTCCTCCTCTGGCAAGGTTTCCTCTCCTTCAGGGCCCTGACTATAAGTCTCTGTTTCTCTGTCATCGTCAAAAGCTGCATTCTCTATCCCAAAAGCACTGGAAGAAAATCCACTACAATTTTCTGGCCTTTCTTGTTCTTCTTCCTCTTCTTCACTATCTCCTACTTGTTCTACATGATCATGCTCTCTTGTCTGAACTTCCTCCGGAGATGCCACATCTTTTACTTCTTTTTGATGGGGCTCACTGCACCCACTAAGTTTCTCCATTTCTTCAAAGGTGAGGCCATTTCCTTCACCTTCCCAGCTTGGAAATCGGAGTGGTTTCTCCTTCTGGAAGACATTAACTTCCCCCACAATTTCACCATCATTCTCTGAAGTTTTATTCTGCACCATTATCAATTCAGCTCTAACTACTTCTACCTGAGAGATTTTTATTGGGGCTCTATCTACTTTAGTGGACACATTGTTTGTATACTGCAGCTTCCTCTCAGAGGTTGGTTGCTCTCTTCCAGATGCTTCTTCAGTGACCCTACTCTGTTCATCCTTTTCACTAGTACTGCTGCTGCTCAAATAGGAAGGAGTGACAAGAGGTTGATTTTGCTTCAAGTACAGCTCTTCCTTAACCACTGGTGATTCCCAATTGCAGAACACCGACTCGACTGGACTTTGAGTACCCTCATTTTTCGAAGTGTCTTTACACTCTTCACTGTCACTGTCTCCCAGGAAACTCTCCAGTCTTCTAGAAATAGGCCCAGCATTCAATGAGGACAATCTAGAGCTGGAGTACTGCACCTTGTGTTCACTGTTCCCTTGATCCTCTGCCTTGTCTATGGTGACTTGAGAGCCAACATCGGCATTGAAATTAAAGTGATCAACCACACTACTACCGTCAGAGGAGGCAGAGCCATGCCTCCTCCTATCTTCAATCCTTTCATTTTTGCTAGGAGTACATCTGTCCAATGAGCTTGGTTTTTTTGTGTTCCTTTCAAAAAGTTTCCTAGTCTCAGAAAACTTCTCCGCTAGGGCAGCTTTGTCTAGATGTCCTTCATCACTGCTACAGATAATTTTGTCAGTAACCGAAGAAGCAGGTAAATAATCCTGAGGACCACTGCAAGGGACAGAGTCAATATTTAGGAGGTTGTTTTTTTTAACACAAAAGAAAGATGGGCTACTGGGAGAAGGAGGAGCAGGGTCACTTGCAGCTGTTTTGGTGATGATCTTGGGCTCAGAGGGTGGGCTGTTCTCAGAACAAAGTGGAGTGGAAGAGCCACCCATCTGCATGAACATATTTTTGATCTTATGTACCCTGTTGCCATAGTTGACAGCTCTGCCCCGAACATGTGGGTCATTACCTCCACCATTGGATGAGCTGGTCAGCTTTTGCTGGGAGCCGGATCTATTTGAAGCATTATCCGCGTTCACAGAATCAAAACTGCACTTAATAGCATGAAAATCAGCTTTATAGGCATTTCTGTGTGGAGAAGCACTTCTTAAAGTCCTCTCTCCTTTTCCTTCAGTCTTCATCATTGTCAAAAGGAGAGACCCTTCACTCATTTACAGTGGGGAGAGGTATGAAAACCAACAGCAGTTGCCCTTGCTGTTCTTCACAATGCCAGGATACAAGCCTCTTACAAACTGGAGACAGAATGAGACTGGAAGACGCCTCTGACTGGCTTATTCCATGCAGGCACTGAAGTGAGTTGTGGGAAGAGCCAGAGAAGAACACACAGAGAGAGAACAAGCACTCGAGGAATGTATCTGGAAAAACGGGATCCTAGCGCCACGGCTGATCTACTATCCTGAAAGCCATCTGCAAAAAAAGAAAAGTTAATGAGCCGAAGGAGTAGACCTCACCCTTCTACGTATCTCAACTTCTCTCAAACATAATTCCATACCCTGAGGAGCAGTGGGAAACTTATCTCTATTGTGCTCTGCCAATCAAAGGGGAAGCAAAATCAAAATAAAAAAACGATTAAGTCACAGACAAAATAAATACAAGCTCTGAAATCCTGGAATTAACGTGAACCGAAGCTCACTTGGGCTTTACCCTGCAACAGTGTTGGAAATAGTGAGGAGAAAAACTGCTTTAAGCATGTGGAAAGCAGTTGCCTCTTTCTCACTGGCCATTGAATAAACCGTAGGCAGCTCTTCCTCATCGGGGATTAAGAGGAAAGGCTTCCAGGGCAAGAGGATGCGGCTTCTAGGCAAGGCTGGGGAGCCCTTTCCACAAGGGGAACAACATTTGCTCCCGCGCTGCAAACTTTTCTTTCTGGACAGACCTGCCGGCCCAAAGGAGGCCGATTTCTCTCCCCCCCCCCCAATGAAAATACTCTTTCCCCTCCTCTGCCTCCAAGAGGCTTGGCCGCTCCAAGTTCCTTGGAGGCCCATCTCTGGCTGTTCCTAATTCCTGAGGCGGCGATGGGGGGGGGGGCGGAATACAGTGTGGGGGGAAATACGTGTACGCCACAACCTCAACCCCCCCCCTACAATCCCCGCCAGCCAGCCAGCCCCCGCCTACGTCCTTCTTCCCTCACTCGGTGTCTCTCCCTTTCTTGCCTCGGGCCAGGCAGGAATGCGAACAATTCCGGCCCGAACTTTGAGGCTTCCTTATGAGAGAAGCGGAGATAGAGAGTCGTCGTTGCCGTCGTCCGTCCCCCCACGGGAAGGGAAAGAGAGCCAACTCCGGAGGCTCACAATGGAAAGCCGCTGCCACGAAACTCGCCGGCTCCCCCCCCCCCCGTGGAGAGTTTGCCCGCTTTCCTTTCCCTCCTCACGGGAACTCAAACAACAACAACAACGGCCCACCCGCCACACAAAAAGCACCTCCGAACTTATTACCTGAGGTAAAAAGCTCATAACCCACGCGGCGGCGGCGGCGGCTCTTTCCCCTCCGCCCGTATCCGCCCCTCCGAACAGCGGCCCCCGAGGCTCCGGCTCCGGTTAACTTCTTCTTCTTACTAGCTCTTTTCTTCTTTTTTTTTTTACAACTCCGCCCTCCTCACCCCCAAAACAAAACACACACAAACTATTCGCCCGCCCGCCTTTCCACTATCAACTACTCTCCGTCTCGCGCGCCCGCCCGCACGGCCAGTTTATAGTTCTTCTACGGTTTTCTTTCTCGCTCTCCCCCCCCCCCTTCTTCTTCTTCTCTCTCTCTCTCTCTGTCTCTGGTTCCACAGCCCCCTCCCCTCCTCTCCAGGCCGCGCGGGCGGGCGGGCGCGCGCTCAACCCCCTACAACAACAAAGGGAGAAGAAAGGGGGGGAAAGAGTCCCCGGAGCGCGCGAGCCCCGCTTCTTCCTCTTGGAGGGAGGGAGGGGGAAGAGGGATCAGAGGTGAGGGACCGGGAGGCGGGGAGGAGCGCGAGCGCGGCGGCGAAGTTCTGAGGGAAACGCCTGCATCCGTTGGGATATACCATACTCGGGAGGAGAGGGAAGGCTCGGGCCGTACCATCTTGACTTGAGGGAAAAGCCGGGGAAAGAGGAGCTCCGGCGCCTATTGTTCCAAGTTTGCCCCCTGCTGCTGGTGGCATCTGCGTGTCTCTCTCTTTCTCTCAGCAACGCAAGGAAACCACCCTTGGGACTTGTTTTATTTCCATATTTTCCATTTTCAACACCCTCGCAGCAGCTCATAGATGGAGGGGAGGGGGTTGGCTGTTAGATTCAAATCCCAAAGCAACCAATGGACCATATCTATCTATCTATCTATCTATCTATCTATCTATCTATCTATCTATGTACAGGCCAAACGTATATGAAAATGTACTTTTTAAATCAGAAAAATGCAAATATTTCAACCCTAATACTATATAATAGATTAAGCTATTACTGGACCAGGCCCTGGCATCTTAGAGAAATGATACAATTCCCCCAAGGTTCCGAATTATTTTATTTTTAATGGAATTTTATTAGAGGACACGGTGCGCATATGCATGTAAATTCCGTTGATAAAAATGGGGCTGACTTCTGAATAATGTGGATATACAATCCTTTGGCAACTGTTAAAGCCACTACAATGGTGTTTACTTTGGAGTAAGCATGCAGGATCAGACTCTTAAGCTTGCAGAGGTCACCTGCTGCATCCAGAATTGTGGGTGCCTGTCAATGAATGGCAAAGTTGGTGGAGTGGTTTAGGAAAGGCAAACTTTCTCTCAGCCTCCAGCCTCCCACCCCTCCAATTTAAGATCATGTATGGCTGCCTATTTGCTTTAAGGTGCTGGCACTGGTCTTCAAAACACTAAATGGCTTGGGACCCAAATAGCTGACGGAATTTATTGAGAATTCAAACTTCTCTACTGTATGAGAAAGTATTGAGTCCTATCAAATGAGGTTTTTTCTTCCTCGTTTTCTCTCAGGTCTTCTTTCCCCCTCTTAGGCTGGATACTGAAGGTCATTTCTGTTAACTTGCAATAGAAGTTATTACTGTAGCACAAATTCTGATACTTGTACATACACAATGGGGAAAGAGGAACTTTGCAGCCTGTAGAAAAAGTGAGTTCATTCTGTCTTCTTATTTCCTAATTCCTACTCTCTCTAGCCCCATTCCAGCAGATGGAGTTATGAAATTGGCTACATTAGATTTCAGGCAGCACCTGGTATTGTCAATTTCATTTCCTTAAAATATGTTCTCCAGTGTGACAGAAAAGGGCAGTATATACTGTTCAAATAGGAAAAACCTAGAAAATGTTTTTCAAATCTTCTGGCCATGGAGGAGCATGTGCTTCCCTACCCTTTTTATTTATTTGTATTTGTTTGGAGAAAGATACCCTGCCTTTCCAAAGCTTTCTCACAACTCAGAGCAGTTTACTCTGAAACTGAAATACAGTGGTACCTTGGGTTACATATGCTTCAGGTTACAGACTTTGCTAACCCAGAAATAGTACCTCGGATTAAGAACTTTGCTTCAGGATGAGAACAGAAATTGTGCTCCAGCAGCGCGGCGGCAGCGGGAAGCCCCATTAGCTAAAGTGGTACCTCAGGTTAAGAACAGTTTCAGGTTAAGAACGGACCTCCGGAACGAATTAAGTACTTAACCCGAGGTACCACTGTACTACATTCCCATAACAAAACCATAATTTTCAAAGGCTCATAGGGAAAAGCAGATATGAACACATTGCAACACTGTGGAAGTGGGGGGTGTTTAAATAAGAAACTTTAATATTTTGTCTGGGCAGAGGCTGAGGAGAAGAAAGAGTGTGTTACCCATCTCCAGCGATGTTATACCCAGTAGCTTATGCAGTGATGCCAATGGGTATCCAATGGGTATCCTTTGCAGCCATTCAGACATATTGCTGCAGAGCTACTTGGGCTGTTCGGTGTTTCGCTTTGTGTCATGTGCTGCTTTAAGGACTACAAAATCCTGAAAAGCTAGTTTGTCCAAAAGCTATGGCAAAACATGTACCATAAACACTAAAAGGCCTTCAGTATTGCCTGTTATAACAGCTGAAGTGCTATGGTGCTGGGCTGGATGCAAAAGCAAAACTTCACAAGCATTTGAATCAAAAGCCACAGAAATGCTGATTCTAACACAGTTATGGGGTGAAATTGCCTACAATGATATGCAGACTAGAGATAACCAAGCAAGGTGACGAGCAGTTTTAAAAGCTATGCCCATGCTATTGTTATTTTCATTTACATATTTATCAACTGCCCTTCACTATAAGATACCAGGACAGGTTACAGCACTAAAACAATATTTAAAATGGTTGAAAGCCAAGCCAGTAGAATTCCAGTAGGATGATGGTGCCCAAGTATGTTTACCTGGATAGACAAGCATTTCACAGAATCATAGAATGGTAGAGTTGGTTTGTTCAACATTTTTCTTTCTGCAGACATGAAGTCATCTTGTGCCGTGCTCTTCTTGAATAAAAATGATCACCACCAGAATAGAACTGGGTCTAGTTTACAGGTAATTTCCAAGCAAATAATCAACATTGACAGAAGAGGCCTACCAAAATTGATCCAAATACAAACTCTGACGCTTCAAGTTTTGACTCTGCATTTAAACTGACAGCCAGCTGGTGAACTGTAACCAGGTGAACTTTGTGAACTTCCCACCAGAAGTTGTACACCAGGCATCTTTTCCTCCCATGTGTCTCCCTTTCTCCCTGCCCCAGACTGTACACAAGAGTCTGAAAGCCTTGAATCTCTTTAACAGGCCTAATATGTGCTGCATGGGGACAGGATGGCAAATCCTAAATCACAAAGTGCAGCGAAGAACATAATCTAAATCTGCATTTTGTTTTCCTCACATACAAACCAGGGGAAAACAATAAAAAGGGCATGGTGGCAGGAGTCAGAAGGGTGGGAGAAGGGAATTTCCTCCACATTCTAAATGTTAAAAATGTTGTGTAGCTTTGCATTTACAGAATAATGTATAAACTGGTCCATTATTAGTTTCGAACAGAGAGGCAGTGAGAGATTCCAAGATGATTCCAGGCGGTATATATTAAAGTGCTCAGGGGTACAGACTTTCCTCAGGGATATTCCAGGCTGTTTTCTGAATGTTGAACTTTTACTAAAGGAAATATAAAGAAAGTATTGGCAATATTCTCTCCCCCAATTGCTCATTAAAGAATAAAATGTTTCCACCTTCCCATGTTCCAGCCGTTGAGCTCAATGACCCTGGGATAACTGACAAACATGGCTGCCTCATTTCTTTTTTAAAAAAAACATGCCACTTTAATTGTATTTTATTTTACTTGTATTTATTAACATGCTAGGCTACCTATATGTTCTGGCTGCTCTGCAGTGTTTCTCTGATCTCCTAAAACAGGCTTCTTCAACCTCGGCCCTCCAGATGTTTTTGGCCTACAACTCCCATGATCCCTAGCTAGCAGGACCAGTGGTCAGCGATGATGGGAATTGTAGTCTCAAAACATCTGGAGGGCCAAAGCTGAGGAAGCCTGTCCTAAAGTCTCACAATAAAATGTCTGGCAACAGATTTGGTTCTTTGTTGTTCTTTGAATGTATTAATCAAGGATACCACTGACTGGTTGATTTTTAAAATTTCATGGGCACAGCATAAAAAAACCATCTAAAAAGTTATGGAAATCTAAAAGACTTCCTGATGAGTTTTACCGCTCAGTGTGCCTGGAATACAACCTTTGTAAAGCCTTGATGTGAGGAAGAAATATGCCTGAAAGATGTTGCTTCAAATATCATTCTTTTCTGATTCCCTGAATGCATGTATATATGAAGTTAAAAAGATGTATGTGCTGTTGTCATACAGGAAGTGATTTTGGTTAAGAAAAAGGCTTACGTTTTGAAGTGGTACCAGGTTTCAGTGGTAGATAGGCTTAGTAAATTGTAAGCCAAAGAAAACTTCTCTTCGGTATAGAATTAGACCACAATTTCTGTAAGCTTAAACTAGGTCTCTAATTATAGATTACACTCTTAGTCAAGCCTGAAGGTTATAATTTAAAACTGTCATAGCAACTATAGTTCAAGTTACACAAAATCCTGTCATGGGGACTTAGTAGAAGCATGAGAAAGAAACCTTTAAAATGTAGTCATGTGTCTTTTTAATGGGATGGGATGAAGCAAAGACAAACAGTAAACTCAAACAGAGGGAAGAAAAGGAGGCAACCTCCGCCTCTTCTTAACAGCAGAGCGCAATTGTATCAAGAACAGGATGTGCATTTATTTAAAAGCATTTCCCAACCGCTGTCCAAAACACACACTCAAAAAGGAAGAATAGATTTATTAACATATGCAGTGTGGTAGTGAACTAGCTGATTATGTGCGAACTTCTATGGAGTCTGGAAGTATGTCCCATAAAAAGTTTGGAAGATGGTGGGTGATAAATATGGAAATATAAGCTGCCATATGCAAAGTCAGACCATTGGTTCAGCTGGCTCAGTATTGTCCACACTGTGCGGCAGCTGCTCCACTGTGTGGGTTGCAGGCAAATATATTTCCCTGCCCTATCTGGAGATGCCATGGATTAAATTTGGGACATCGTTAGTTAGTTAGTTAATTTATATTCCTCACATTCAGTATGAGTTTATGCTCTCAGGGCAGCAAAGAGAATCATAAGAAACAAAAGCTACCATTTTTGAAATGAAATAGATTGGAAAATCAAACTGTTCTAAGTTAAAGAATGCTTGCATTCACAGTTCTTCAACTAGGAAAACAGAAATGTTTTTGTCTGACATTTAAATGATAGGCAGGCCTCTTTGGGGAGGGCATTCTCAAGATGAGGAGCCACTACAGAAAAGCCTCTCCAGTCACTGTCACCCACTGAACTTCAGATCAGAGGCATAGCGTGGGCAAGGGGGCTGTTGCCCCATATACAGCTTTTTTTGAGGCCACATTTTGCTCCTCACACCATCCCTGCCAGCCCCACGCTGCTTTGTGAGTCTGATCCCTCATCCCAGCAAAGCAGCATGGAGCTGGCAGGGCATCAGGAGGACACAACAGACATGTGCCCTTCCAATCAGCCCAGTCAAACCGATTTTAAGGGCACCTGCCTGCCTTGCTACATCCTCCTCATGTCACCCTCCGCACCACCACCACCCTGGCGTGTCTGTCCTGGGCGCCTTGAAGACACATTCCACTGCTGCTTCAGATGGTGCAGTTCCCTGGAGAAAGATCTCAGATGATGATCTCAGTGAATGAGCAGATTGATACAGGAGAAGGTGGTCCAACAAATATCTGGGCCTTCTTCTTCTTCTTTGGCGATCACTCTTAGCCAAGTAAGATTGTCTTCCGGTTTTAACAATGAGTCCATAAGTGACTGTGGAGGCCAATTCTGGATCCCCACGTCCTTCCACAGTGGAGACATTGGTTTCCGGGTGGGAGTTGATCACGGTGTGGATTTGCCAAGCGAGCCTTCCTCTTAGCACATTTCTCAATTGCGTCCTGAGTTCAAGTGTCTTCAGAGCCCTCAACACTTTTGGTAAAGGCTGTTCTCCAATTGGAGCGCTCACGGGCAAGTGTTTCCCAATTGTTGGTGTTTATACTATATTTAATAAAAACTTGTGTTGAGACAGTCTTTAAACCTCTTTTGTTGACCACCAGCATTATGCTTTCCTTTTTCAAGATTGGAATAGGGTAGTTGCTTTGGAAGACGATAATCAGGCATCCACACAACATGACCAGTCCCACGAAGCTGATGTTGAAGAATCATTGCTTCAACACTGATGAGCTTAAGCTTTAAAGGGAAACCACTTTGAAATGAGATGAGAAACTCATAGGGAGCCAGTGGAGTTGTTTCAATGCAGACAATACATGCTCTCTTCACCAGATCCCTGATAGCAACCCAGCGGCCATGTTCTAGACTAGCTTCAGTTTACAGACAATCTTCAAAGGCAGCCCTACATAAAGGGCATGGTAGTAATCCAGCCTCAAAGTTACAACAACGTGGATAACTGTAGTTAGGCTATCTTTGTACAAGAAGGGGATCACACTTTACATATAAGTCTCAAACTGATAGAAGGTCCTTTGGACTACCAAAGCTACTTGAACTTCAAGTGATCAAGATGTCATTTCCCAAGGTTGGTATCACATCATTGTGTTCAAATTCTTTTGCTTTGGAAATAATATATGTATTTGTCATGGAATTCTACTCAATATTGATCCAGAGCAGAACCTCAATGTATAGTTAGCAGAGTAAAAACTTAAGCACGTTGCAGGATTCCCCCCCAAAATAGACTACTGAAGGCAAATGAGCATAATGGTCACAAATCCAATACATTTAGGATTGGCACTGTCCATAAGAAAACAAGTTGCAGCAGACTTATTTTAAACTTACAATAACTTATAAGTCTAAACTTTAACACTAAGCAAACTATGTACAGAACCCCACACCAGAAGGAAAAGAGATAGAAAGATATAAACCCAGGCTCCTTCTGGCCCTACTTTTATAGCCAGCATGACCTTGACAGAAAGAGATAAGAGAACCAGTTAAAGCCAGCTGTACTCAGCTTCTCTGAAGAAATAACCCAAACATCATGAACTTTCTGCTTGTTTCACACAGAGAAGCTTCCAGGACCCTCTAATTAATTAATTAGAACAGGAAAGATCTCTACACATCAGATTGATACTTTCTGCACTAAGAAATGCAAACTGACAGTACAGTTGTACCTCGGGTTAAGTACTTAATTCGTTCCGGAGGTCCGTTCTTAACCTGAAATTGTACTTAACCTGAAACACCACTTTAGCTAATGGGGCCTCCCGCTGCCGCCGGGGCACGATTTCTGTTCTCATCCTGAACCAAAGTTCTTAACCTGAGGTAATATTCCTGGGTTAGCAGAGTCTGTAACCTGAAGCATATGTAACCTCAAGCGTATGTAACCCGAGGTACCACTGTATTGTTGTTTTTAGCTCTCCTTAGAAACTTCCCTTAGGCAAATGGCTGGTTATTGTGAGAGCACGATGTTGGATTAGATGAGCCACACTGGCCGGATCCAGAAAGGGTCTTCTCAAGCCCAACTCTGCATGGTAGCCATGGCAGAAGGGGGAAGGTTGCAGGGTGTAGGCTGGCACAGAAACTGGGTTTAGATCGGGCCCAATGGCTATGATACCATTTGGGGATTCAGTGCTTTCTCTTGCCCCCTCTCACTCTGGCAGGGATACCACCAGTAGGTCTACCACCTGCCCACATTTTCAGCAGAGCTGACTAGAAGGACCACTCTGCTCAATCCAAGGCCCTCGCAGCACACCATAAGGAGTAGCAGGTTGGATTGTTCTGTAAAATAGCAGGGTGGAGAATGGTGCTTCTCAGTGCAGATTCGATACACGCAAGCTACCAGTGAGGAAAGAGTAAGCATACCTAATTATAGTTTTAATTGGATATAAATACCTGATCAACAGATTTAATATTCAGTGGAACCATCTGGCTACTGCAGAAGTACATAATATATTTGGTTTATTAGTGAGAAGCAGAAATGGGGGGGGGGGGAGGACATGATAAAGAGACAATGAAAATTCTTCTCTAGCTGAAGTGGCAAATTTCTGTCTTTGTGAAAGTATTTAATAATGTTGTAATTGTACCAGCACTGTGAAGTTATAAGTAACTCAAGTGTGCAGTGATGATTAGAGGATCACAGTTGGCTAAAGACATGTATCCAAGATTAGATTAATGGAATCTTTATTTAGCATAAAGTTAAAATTGTTTCATGACAAAGCCAAAAAGAAAGAAATGAAAATACCCTATTAACATTTTCACAATTGCTGCTAGTAAAGCTTTTCTGCTATACCATTTCTTATCTAGAATCATTATTATTATCATATTTGCCCATTTTTTCCACAATACATATTTATTTCATTAGTATGTCTAGACAAGAATGTGAAATCACCCTGATGCCATATGTTTAACTGTTTATTTTATTTTAGTATGACTCTAGCTCATCTGAATGCCTACTATTATTAAATCTTCTGAAAGAACAAACAAACATTTAAACTCTGTGACACCTAAAAAATGTAATACATGTTTAAATTCTACAGTAGGTAATAAGGCCCAGAAATTTCATTCAGGCTTAGTTGTGAAAGAGTTGCACAAAATTAATGTAAACCTCTGTTATAATCCTATACTTGAGATCTGTGGCAGAAGAGTAACAGGATTTGGCAGAAGCCCTTCTATGCAAGTAGAATGCCAGATATACCATTAAAAAGATGCTGGCAGAAAATCCCACATGCCCCATGAAAATAGGCTACCAGCAGACTCATTCCACTGGTGTAGATATGCTGGCGCAATGGCCCAAAGGGGGTGAAGTTTTGGGTAGAACATGAGCAACATACATATGCTGTATCCTAGTAGCCTTCAACCTTTTCAGACTCCAGTACTCACCTTCAGCCCAAACATGCATTTGGGGACCAACTACTTAAGTTTTTAACCATATAGTTATATGGTAGCTGTACTACTGTTGCGACTCAGTATTGGGTCTTAACCCATCAGTTGAAGACCAATCCTCTACTCCAGGGGTGGGCAACTCTCAAGAGACTGTGATCTACTTTCAGAATTAAAAACTGGCAGTGATCTACCTCCTTTTTGGGAGAGGGGGGTTCAGCTCAAAGTTGTTGAGCTTTTTTTAGTGTGTCTTATGGAGCGAAACAGCACTTAATAAATCTATATAATTGAAGACTTAGGCTGGATATATAACAGAAGACTTAGGCTGGATCTAGACACATCAAAGAAGCATTTCATTTAAAGGTGTTGCAAACTTCATACAGGGAAATCCCGTTGGCGAAAGACAGGACTCCACAGCGCCATCTGATGTCACAGTGTTAAAATGCATATAAAGCGCTTTTATCTTTATGAATGTAGCTGAGTCCTTAGTGGTGTAGGGAAAAACATTACCTTTTCCAGCTGCCATCATGCTGGAGACTGAAACAATGTCATGATTTGTTAGAACCACTAATCTAGAGCAGTATCAGAGAAGGCTTCAGTTACCCGCTACCGCATAGCCAGATGAGTAATGCAATCACACACCTACTAAGTTTGTATTTGCAAGCCAGCACTGATACTAATGAACAAACACACTTTTGTTCTACACTAGTGGATCCTGAAATGGAATTTGCTGGCAAGGAATAGTTGCACCGAAGGGTCTTTCAGTTCTCTTTTAATTATTGAAGCACTTTATCATTGCAGGTGCATATTATTCAAAGTGTGAGGGGTAGCCTTTAAAGCCTTATTGATGGCCTTGGTACCTGAAGGAATGCCTGGCCTCCATAGGAGCCTGCCTACATGCTGAGTCCTTCTTGTGGGATGTAATCACTATAGCAGTCAAATACAACATTTCCTGTTTGCCTAGAGTGGACATGCAGGGGAATGTTACTCCAGCCAGGAGGACTTCCTGTCACACCTGTCTGGAGCATCCTTCCCCTGCGTGTGACCAGGTAGATGGGCATGGCCCTGGGAGACCCCATAAAAGGGCTGGTCACGAAGCCACCTTCCCTTCTTCCATTTTTTTCTCTTGGACTGCACTGCTGGCTCTCAGCTAGCAGCACATGGGTCCATCTTCACAAAGGGTGTAAGCCACATTCTGTAACTGTAACTACCAGCCAAAGCCTGCCTTCAGGGATCATACTGTGAACTGAATGTAAGTAAACTTCTCATTACTTATGAAGAAGACTGTTGTGTCTTTATTCTTTTTAAGATTGAACAAAGGGGATTTACCAGGAATAAATTCCAATCTGGACAAGCCAGATTGGATTGCTTAACTCAAGAGAGTCAAACGAATCTACCAACCAGCTTCCTGCAATATAAAAGGGTAATGTACTGTGCTGCTGGCTCACCAGTGTGAGTGAGGAAGGATAATATTTAATCAATATATCCTCTCCTACTATTCACAACATCCCCACACTTCTCTGTCTTTTCCCCAG